AAGGCACGAGCTCAGAGGCAAGATAGTACTCAGCCTACGCCTCAGCCTACGCCTCAGCCTCAGCCTCAGCCTCAGCCTCAGCCTCAGCCTCATCCTCAGGCACAGAGGCTTAGCCGAGAGGAGCTTCTACGTCAGCTTGCGACGTATGATGAAGATATTGAGGCGGAAATTGACCGAGATATTGAGCAGGCGGAGGCGGTGATGCGAGGGGGCTAGGCTCAATGCAAAGGAGCCGTAATAAGGTGAGGTTTTGACAGGTTTGGCATACTTGTAGACACGTAGGCACTTCTAGAATAGAATTTCTATTCTATACTTAGACTTAGACTTATACTTATACTACGTGAGCTCGTACGTGAGGCTAAACGAATCGGTGAGGCTACAGAAGAGCAGAATGCTGCCAACCTATTTCACGCCGATTAGTATAGCCGTACGTGAGCTCGTACGTGAGGCTATACAAATCGGCGAGGCTGCACGAATCGGAAAGGCTGCACGCCAATTCGTATAGCCTCACGTGATGTATAGGTGAATAACCGGAGCTCCGGCGCAGTGCTCCGAGCCAATTAGAGGGCGGTGAAACGACAGGGGTTTAGGGGGTGTACAACTACTAGAAAGGGGGGTGTACAACTACTAAAAAGGGGGTGTACAGGTACTAGCGCCCTATCTAGAAGGGGAGGGATATTAGTATACCTCCTAATTACTCCGCATATACCCCCTTTTTCATTCCACGCACACCCCCCCTTTCGTTTGATCTTCTAATTGGCTGGAGCGGCTCGGAGCTTCGTCCGGAGCTCTATTCTCACGTGCATTTGCACGTGTAGCCTTTCTTATTCACTTAGCCGTACGTGAGCTCATACGTGAGGCTATACAAATCGGCATAGCTATATAGCCTCTCTATTTTACAGTGCATTCTTTCCGATTCGTGTGGCCTTACATATGAGCTCACGTACGGCTGTATATACGGCTGCACGAATTGGAAAGAATGCACCGTAGAACGGAGAGGCTGTATAGCTATGCCGATTCGTATGGCCTTATGTATAGTCTTACGTACGAGCTCACGTACAAGCTTATTTACGAGCTCACGTACAAGCTTACATGTGAGCTCATGTACGAGCTCACGTACGGCCTCGCGTATAGCATCACGTGCAGAGAGACGTAAAGGTGAATGCCCAGAGGAAGCTCCGCGTTGCTCCGAGCCAATTAGAAGGTGGTGAAGCGCCAAGAGGGGGGGGTGTGCGTGGAGTGAAAAAGGGGGTGTGCGCGGAGTGATTAGGGGGTGTGCCAATATCCCTCCCCATTCTATAAGAGCGTTGTAATGTTATTTAATTTTGTTAAAAAAAAAGGCGGTGTGCATAAGTTGATGAGCGTGCACGAGTTGGTGATCACTTCTACGTGTTGTCAAACTTGTTGTTTCCAGGTCCGATATGATGGCCTGCTCTCCCAGCCCTGGCATTGCGGACCAGATTAGGAATCTGGCCCTCGTCTCCCTCGCCATACATAGAAGTAGGACGCAGCGCAACTGTCAACATGGAACCAACCCTGCGATTGGCAGCCAGTACGATATCCTCCGCGACTGCCTTGGTATGAGAGTAGTAGTTGGACTGCTGCGGGTAGTACAAGACTGGCAGGGTCTCATCCGCATTGATCAGAGGGTGATAATGGTCGTGTACAAGGGACGAGCTGGAGGTATAGATGAATGCCTTGACCATTCCTACTTCCTGTGCGCCCTCGATGAGATTCCGTGTTCCATCTATGTTGACCTTGTCTAGGATCGCGCGGTTTGTCTCGAAAGGATTCGGAGACGCAGTATGGGACACCACAGTAGGCCGGACTTTCTGAAGCAAGGGGTCGATGGCACTCTTTGATGTAATGTCCGCTTGATGGTATGTGACACCAGACACGAGGTTCCTGTCGGTCTTGAGATCGAGCGCGTGAATTTGGTCGTGTTTGACTCCGTTGTCCAGTAGGTCTTGCACGAGGTGGTGGCCGAGGAAATCGGTGCCTCCAATTACCAGGATCGGGCTATTAAAAGTGGTTGCGGCAGTAATATCCGCATTTAGAGTATTTATGCTCTAGAAGAGGAGTTAACCCGTTTACTAGGTAATTATAAGGTCGTAAATCAGCTAGGGAGTGTAGGTGGTGCGAGTATGGTGTGTGTAGCAAAAGGCGTTGGTGGCATGTACGCAGCCTTAGAAAATTAGACGTGAGAAGTATAAGAAGCAGGGTTTATTAGCCATTTATTAAATTCGCTTTAATTTGTGCCCTTCCTTCCAGATTATCTCTAAACAGAAGAACCCTGTCTTGGATTTCATGAAGAGTAATAGGGCGACTATGTGCCTCCAGCTGAACGGGCACCTTCTATAGCATGAATGCCTGCAACTACTGTCATAGCACGAGTATCGGGTGGAGCCGAAAGGCCCAATAACCCTGATGTGCTCAATCTTGCATCCTCGAGGGCACTTCTGAGGGAAGAAACGACGGTTTCCTTCTAAAGCCCCCTGACTTAATCTAGATGACGAGGAAGGGTATTCCCTACCTTGCGTCGGGTTGAGAGATTCTGTAAAGCTAGTCGTTGGGTTCGCCAATCGAATTCTGGATTTGCAGATTCGTTACCAAAGATAATCAATGCGGGCATTCTTGGGGATACAATCCATGCCTGACCTAAATGATCAGGTTGTTTGAAAGCCAGACAATTGGCGCAGCATTGCTAGCAGTGCCCGATAAGTTTGAACTTGGGGTCGATAGCGGAAGTTCGATATGGAATGTTAAGATCCGCTCGTAAGCCGTATTCATCCGTTCTTTGCAGCATCACAGGCAGCGACAAGCCGCTTGAGGGTGACCAGAACGTCCTCGCTGATATCTTCCCTAGCTCCTGGAGTCTTCGTGAATCGACCATATCGTAGATCGCTTAGATCCCCCACTGAGGTCTGGATCTCGGCTAGAAGAGCGTCAGATTCGGCCTCCATTGTCGCTATTTGGGACTCAAGCTCCGCAGAGGCGCGTTCTATCTCGGGGACGACGGTGTGTATGGTGTGCGCGTCGCGGGGCGTGTGATTCTGCGAGGGACCGAAAAGCTGAAATAGCATTGGTGAGCGCGGCTCATATTGTTTGGGGAAGGTCTACAGCAAAGCATACCTCAGCTTCTCCATGGATTTCTTGCCCACCAAGCTCTGGAATGTCGACTTGATCAAATTTCTGCCGCGAGTTGAAGGTTGCGCGCCTCTGCTTCTCCCCTCTGTTGACTTCGGCAGCTATGTTGCGCTTCACATCGTCGGCGTCAATGGCGCGTTGGTGCTGTAGTTCGCGGTAGAGTACTTTTATTTCAGGCTCGGATTGGAGCGCGCGGGGAAATAGTTCGGTGAATTGACGGAGCGTCATGAAGGCGGGCAATGGAGCGGGAGGAAGTAAGAAGTTGCTGAGGATGGATGCTTCGGTGGGTGCCATGGTAACAAACGTGAGCGGCGGTGGTGGTGATTTGTCGTGGATCGTGAAAGTGTTGAAGCTGTAGGCGTAGTGAGCAGTGTCGCTGGTCGGCTCGGACTGCCTCAGGGCGCGTCGACGCGTTTCGAGGGCGGCCAGAATTTCAGAGCCCCAGATCCACCTTTACCACAGCAAGCAACATCCATCTTCACCATCGCCATCTTGAAAACCCTCGCAAATTCTCCCAACGCCCTTGCGATTGCCTGTCCGCTGCATCCTTACTGGCGGGTCAGATCTCTGCGGTGGTGAAACTCATTTCTCACTCCTCATATTTGTGCGAGGCGATCAGCCTCCTTCATCCTCACAGCTTCACATCATGGCGCCCTCATCGGAGCCCATGTACAAGAAAGACGAGAAAGCGCTTTGCTTCCACCATGAGCTTTTGTATGAAGCGAAAGTGTTGGACTCGAAGCTAGAGGATCCAGATGACAAGCGTAGTGCCTATCTTTACAAGGTGCACTACAAAGGCTGGAAGAACACGTGAGTCCCTCCTCCTCTTCAACTCTAGATATCTCGTACATCCTCTTCGCCGACTTATAGGTCATTTCCTCTGTATCCAAATAGCCTTCTCGGTGCTAAACACATCTCTCTGCTCCTGTCAACTGCCCTTAGCCCAGTCGCTATATTTAATTTGACTTGCACAAATACTTTGCCTCCTTAGTTTCGATTATAGCTTGATGACCTTCTTTCTAGGTGGGATGACTGGGTTCCGGAAGATCGTCTTCGAAAGCTCTCTCCAGAAAACAAAGAGCTCGCGCACAACTTGCGGCATGATATGCTACAAGCTCAGCGTAATCAGCGTAGTGTGCCAGCATCCAGCAAGAAGAAGACGCAGAGCTCGACTCGTGGGAGCGAGGAGCGACAGACATCCGTCGCGGCAGGTCCCAGAGGACAGAAGAGGGGTAGAGACTATGAGATCGAAAAGGTTAGTGAAGATCACCAAACCAGTCATCAACTGCCACATTACATTAATCGAAGACGTCCTATTGCTCCGTCGAACCGGTCGTTTTGACATAAGGCATACTAACGTGAGTTCAATCTAGGAGGAATCGTTCCAAAGTCGCCTGGCCGTACGAATCTACACACCGGACAGGCTCAAGAGCTTGTTGGTTGATGACTGGGAAAATGTTACCAAGAACCAGCAGCTAGTTCACCTTCCATCGAAAAAGCCGGCATCGCTTATTCTCGACGAGTATTTCGAGTACGAGAAGGCTAGAAGGCGAGCGGGAAGTGCTGAATACGACATCCTCGAGGAAGTCGTCCAAGGATTAAAAGAGTACTTCAATAAGAGTCTGGGTAGGATCCTCCTTTACCGCTTTGAGCGGCAGCAGTTCTTCGAGATTCACGAGCGGATGGAGACTTCCGACGACACCTTGTCAGGGCAGCAGATTGTGGACATATATGGAGGAGAGCATCTTCTCAGACTGTTTGGTACGCTTTTGGCCTCATGCTCTAATTCACTACACTACTGACCGCCGAACGCTCAGTGTCAATGCCGGAGCTAATTGCGCAAACAAACATGGACCACCAATCGGTCAATCGCCTTCGGGAGGAGCTCAGCAACATGCTGAACTGGCTCTCGAAAGACGCGAATGTGAACACGTTTTTCACGGCCACTTACGAGAGTCCCGGACAGGAGTACGCCGACAAGAACCGTGGGGCCCACTAAGGAGATGACATGCAGAAGGTGGAACCACAGAACGTGATCGATGTCCGAGTCGATTTGGCTTAACCGATGGACTGGCTGCTTTACTTCTCCGAGCACTTTTTAGTGGTTTTATTGATCCTATCTCAAAACTTGGATGGCGTGCGTGGATGGCTTAAGGAGTACTCTGACCAGCCTGCGCGCGGCAACTCTTCACATTGCATTTTGCTTGCTGAGAAGAACACAGCACGGAACGGACAGGATGGCTGGACGCTGGTCATGCTTAAGTTCGGAGTACATTGGCAGTCATTCGGGGTTCTTCGGTGAAACCAAGTTACGGGCTTTACAGTTGCCCCGAAAGGAACGTTGTAATTTTAGAAGACAGGAAACTTTGTTTTAGAAGCTGAGCAAAACCATAGACCTTCACAATCTTGATGCGGAGAATAGCTGCAGAACGTGACCACTTTTGCAAGATAACATTGCGCGGCACCGAGTGATACCTGATTTGGCTACTTGGCGTGGTGTTCTTGTCTGGGCCTATTCAGCCCAACTCTCCTTTTTTGCGGAGAGATATATTCTAGTAGATTGTACCCTTGTACATATCGGCATGGTGGTTCCGTGACAACACAAGCAAAAGCCTTTTCGACGCGCACTGCACCTGTGGCGTTTCTTGACTCGCGCCGGCTCGCTCCAGACGCCTCACTATTCGTCGGTGCTTGGTGATAAGCTTGCCGTCCAATGCCTGAGCTGACGAGCCCTAGCCTCGAGGCCGCCGATCCTCAGTGCGAATTCGATCAGCCGCGCGGGAGTGCTTTTTATCTCCCGCCCGCGAGAGTATGGACATACAACATTGAGCGCACTCGTTCCCCATCAGACGCCGTCAGACCTCTATCATGCTCTTCGTGAGTGGTCATCATCCCCCCTAACTGGAAAGCAGTAGCCACGACACGGAGCATCGACTGGTCTTCCGGAGTGAGGATGTTGCCTTTGGTGGTGGAGGCCTGGGTTTGGTAAGAGCTTTGGCAACCTTGTCATTATCAAGATCTTTAACACCTATAGGTATGGAGTCGTTGTAGTGGTTGCGCTGGCCCGCTTCGTATCCCGCGGGCTGCTTTTCGGCACGATCACGAAACTCCAAATCGATGACTGGATTATGGCGTTTACATTATGTTTATACACTGTGCTCGTTGTTTGCATCAACATCGTCGCTCATGCGAACTCCAATCTTCTCGTAAGGAATCATGGGAGCTATTTAGATTCGCAACTATTCAGAAGCTCATGTTTGACAGCCACCGGGGTTTGATGTGAATCATCTTACTGCACAAGATATCAGAGACCGTGAGTACGGGAGTAAGATGATTTTGGTAGTCGAGCAATGCCAATGTTCTATTATCTGTACGTACCCTGTATAGGTGCTCTTGCTGTCAATGTTCCTAGAATGCTGTTGAAACAAAACTTAAATTGTGTTAATTACAACAGCCTCTTAACTCGCGTTTCAGCCCCTTTTACAGTGGCATGAAACATTCGACGAGGCCAGAGAGGTGTCTTACACATGATCTAAGTGGCACTCGAGGAACATTGGCACTAGAGGATCTAATATCTGTCTTAAGCCCCTTCAATGAGGATCCGCTAATGTGTTTCTCGGCAACTTAAGGGCTCTCAAAGGCGTGCTTACTGATAATGTACTATCGCCTTACATATAATCTTAAAGAGAACATCGTTATCAAGATACTAGTAGTATATGTGGCGGCTAGTTTCTTGATTATGGAAATATGCTACCTGGCGGTTTGGTGCAGGTATGTAGCCCTTGAGGGTATTCTACGTCATGTACTAACCCGGACTTCCTAGGCCATTCAGTAATTATTGGGCGGTACCCACGCCAAATAGTAGGTGTTATCGGGAACCCGTATGTCTGGTCCAGAATCTGACCATAGACATCTAGTCCAGTGCAGCGCAGCAACCCATCACCTCATCATGAATGCTGTCTTCAACATCTCTTCCGACCTCTTGATGCTCGTCGTAGCTCTCCAAATGCTCATCCGAAGTCGGCTTCCCCTCCGTCGGAAAATTGTTCTATCGGGTATCTTCGGACTCGTACGTAAACTAATGGGGCCCAACTGCGACGAGAATTCACTAACATGAACCGCAGGGAATATTTGTTGTACGTGACTTTGGTCCCCTGACGGCCCGCGGCGCTTATTTATTTACCATGCTCATTCACCGTCTAGATACTAGCTGCTGTTTTGAACAAGTATTACTCCTTCACCCAGCCTTTTGGGGGGGAATGGACCTATTGTATGAAACCCCAGCGTCGTTCATTCCCACAGCGACCCAACTTACACTTCACTTAGGGTACGTCCGCGAGTCATCAACCGCTCTCCTGGTAGCAAATCTGCCGTTCTGCTGGACATTGCTTCGCCGTCTGTTTAATTTGCGTGCCTTTGATAGCGGTGGCGCTACTCGCTCTCAGCGGACTGCAACAACGAGAGCGACAGGCCGGGTGGCTGATATCGATCGAATGAGCCGGATTAGCGAAGGAAGTGTTGGAGGTGCGAATTCCGCTACTCTCACACAGGACACCGACAACAGCCTCCAGCCGTTAAATGCTTGAAAAAGCGTTGACTGCATGACTATAGAAATAGAGAAGGCACATAGGAAGATAGAGGTGAAGGTACAAGCTAGCAGCAGTCCAGAGACTACGTAGCTTGAAATAACTACGCTAGAGAGAGAATACAGCTGCGATGACCGGCACGAACTGGGAATATAGGCGATTCATTTCCTTAGGATACCCCAAGCTTAAAGCTAATTGTATGTATTTCTAGCCTCATATACAGCTCGAGCTTTATCTTAGAATCGTATTTGTTGGTTAAGCAGCATCTGTGTGCGATCATACTATTACTAACCTAGACACGTCCACTGGGAGAGGGCGCCTGTGCTGATCAGCAAGATAACAATATCGTTGTCTACTTTTCTTTGCCCATAGCTCTTTCGATATTCTGAAGCGCCCACTCCAGACAGTGCTTCATGCTCGCCTCTGCTTCCCTAGGCATGCCATGAATATCGGCACGTTTGCACACATCCTCATCCAGTTCGCCTTCGACATCGCCTTGCTGGAACAGAAAAGAGTGGTCTTTTACGTAGTTTGGCCAGACTATCTGGTCTACATATCCCGGGGGGTCCTCCCAGAAGCCTTCCAGGGTAACGTAGCCGGTCCTTGCCTCCCGTCGCGCCTTTGCTGTGCGGTATGAGGTCCTGAGAAACAGCCGAACGTCGAAAAGATCCCTTATATCGGACATTTCGTTGGAAAAGAGTAAAAAGCCATCGATTATTGCGATGGGGAGGTTCCACGACTTGTCTGTGACGAGGGCTTGGACTCGTTGCTTTAGCTCTTCAATATAGGCGGGATCCACTCCATGCTGACCGACGGCATTTTGATCCTCTTTTGAAACCAACGTCGGTGGACACGAGCCGTGTTTCTTGATGTACGAAAGAGCATCACGAAAGCCGGCAAGGTCCAAAGACTCAATGCAGTCCCAGTCTTGGACGCCTTCTCGAACGGGGATCTCGGAATCGATGCGATAGAAATCATCTAAATGGAGAATGAAGCTCTGCGGTAATATATCACGCAAAAGACGAGACAGAGTAGTCTTCCCTAAACAGGATTAGCAATGTTGGCAGACATGATATTCTATAAGCAAAAAAAAATACCCGATGAGCTGGGGCCGGAAATGCCTAATAGAAGCGCGGTCGTTGGAGCAGAAGCCATCCTGATATAAAGTCGCTGTACGTGTTGTGGTTGCGAAGAACATGCAGCATGTTGAAGCGGGAATGTTGAACAAGGGTCTCCACGTGGGGTTCTTGGCGGGCTGCTTTTTTAGTGACTTCAATGGAGCTTCCTCGAAAGAAACACCAACTTCGCAACACCACGGCGCCAATCCCCATGCTTCTTCCCTCTCTCCGTCGCCGCAAGCTCCCACGCACTCTAACTGCACGAATCGACAGCTACGGTCGCCCTGGCGTCTTGCACGCGCAGCGGCTGACAGCATGGACCCCTCCCCCCTCACACAGCAGGTAAGTCTGCAAATACACGCTGCCTCCTCACTAGCGGGACGCTGACATACTTCAGGCTCGACCCGAGACTTTTCAACCACTGATTGTCCAGCTCTACGAAACGCTGTTCCGGGTTCGTTTATCACGATGATACTTGCACGAGTCAAGGGCTGAGTCGGGTCACAGGAGGATGACGAAGAAATCGAGCTATCCGAGGGATTCTGGCAAGAATACTTCCTGCTGCGGCCAGACCGTACCAGTCTGAAGCGCATTCTTGGCTATCTGAGCGGCGATGACCTTCTGCACATCCAAGTATGCTCGCCGCTGGACCACATCGCCTCCACAATCTGCTGACACCAATCACCTGGAGGGTCGCACGCAGCAACTCTTCCTCAAGGCTATTGAATGCGTCAAGCGTGGCTCCTCGCCGTCCGACGAAATCGCCCTCGATGTGAGCTAGCCATGTTCTCCAACAATGGCAATCTACTCACAGTGTAGACCTTGATAGTCTTCTTAGGCGCTGTCCTCAGCAAGAAGTACACGAATCCCAGCTCGGATATCATTTCGGTCCTGACTGGTTTGAACAACGCGGATACTGTCATGTCGGACTTTGTGGCGTCGTTGGACATAGTAATCCGGACTGGTCGAAGCAGTGAGTGGACTGTGAACATCTTGCACGGCGATTACTCACTGCAGTAGTGCAAGTACGACAGAAAGCTGTCCTAGCTGCGCTGTCAATCACCGCTGGCGCATACCGGACGGGGCTAATATCTTATTTCACACATCGTGATCTCTTTCCCTCTTTAATGAAGGTAGGGAAGCTAGTCGCTTTTATAAGCATTTGCTGATTTATACAGTGTATTCAAGACTCGGAAAGCAGCACTGAAGCAGTTGCCCCATTCTTCCTCCTGGGCCTCTTAGCCAATTACAACAAGTTCGAAATGCAAAATCCATATCGATTGCGGCTCGATGATTTCGTGAACGAGGCGACCATCCGCAAGATAGTACTAGGGTTCGGTTCGACGTGTTGCCAGTTACGAGACAAATACGTTGCGGTGCAGGACGATCTACCAGAAGGGTGGAATTTAGGCTCTACACTGAATTATATCAGCCTTGGGTTGCTTGCGCCTGGGTCTCGGCCGACTACTCCTGTGCCGAACCCCGAGGAGGCCAAGTCTCTTTTCTCCATCCTGTATGGCAGTCCTTATGTGCGGCCCACCTTCCGTTTGCTAATTTGTCCTTCAGTCCAGATCCGGAAGTGGGAATCATTCTTGCCACATACGACTTTGTCAACGCGAACAAGGTTTTCTGCTTTACTTTGGTGACTCTCGACGGTCCTACGAAAGGGGATCCATCACCGCTTGCTTCGTTTCTCTCCATGACATCTTACTTGTTTCAACATGCCCATCGATCTTTACGAGCTTCGTTGTATACCTACTTAAGCCTATACATACTGCAAATCACCGTAGAAGATCAAGCCCTGGCCAAGCGAATGTGCAGCGAGGACAGCAAAATGTCCGTACGACTTTGCAGGCAACGTCAACCTTACCTTCCTCTGGTCAAGGGAGATCGGGTCGCTATTTCATTCATTCTTGACATGATGATTGATGGTATCAACCACAACTTACGGAGGAGATTGGACGTTGAGTTCTACATGTTAGTCCAGCACTCTTGAGTCAATGGTGTCGTCGCTGATTACGTAGATTGTGCCTTGGCGTGATTTTACGCATTGTATCCTTCCTCAGTAGATCTAGGCTTCGATTAGGTACGCTTTTGCTCGAGCATGCACTACTAGGATTCTCTAACAGCATCTAGCTTATCACTGGTCAGAGCTCTGGCGCACTCTCCTCTCCTTCCTCCGATTCTTGGTCACTTACGCAAATGATGTCAAGTCTTTGCCGCGATGCTCGCAGATGATCGACGATGTGGTCAACTTGATAGCCCTAAGTCTTTCGGTTGGAGAAGCTTTTCTACCTGATCCAGCTTCCTATGATGACCTCTTCTACAAGTTGGTTGAGACGGGGGATATATTGACCAAGTTTCGAGACGCATTTGACTTGTCAACCCACGCGAGCTCACATTCCATGGAAATACTAATCAACGTGTCCACACACTATTACACTCTTCTTGAAGGCGATAAAGGCAAGGCGAAGGGGAAAAATCTCAGCCCGAGGGAGGTCAGCAAGGTTATAAAGCAAGGATATGATACCCTTTCGATTCAAACTAAGGAGGGGCTGGATCACTGGGACAGGTTTCGAGAAGTCGATCACCGCAACGTGCTGAAGAGACTGTCTCGCATTGCAGTGGAAGATGCGAGGAGTTTGATCGAGGAAAGATAGCACAATTGATCACCACTTGCTCGAAACTGCGTCTTCCTTGCGCTGAGATGAGCACAATGTCAAGATGTTAAGACTTCATATATGTATACCGCTACTATTGCATATTGCATAGAGGGTGATAGACTTCTTAGTAGCCTGGAGACTACGATAGATGGCTAAAGGGGGGAGAATAAGCGACTCCTCAATGGTGTGGGTGGTTGAGCAGGAGGTGTAAAACATGACAAGCGACTAATAAAGCAGTTTTATAAGCACACCCCACTTGGCTTTAGTGTTGAATATAGCGGGTTTTTTCGGAAAACCACACAGAAAACTACACAAGAACCACATTGCGCGGAACCATATTGCGCACGGGCTAGCTCGCCCGCAAGAGGAAAGGTCACGGAAATAAAGAGGAATTTCTTTATAAAGTGGTTTGTGGTAGCAAAAACCCACCTAGTAGATGCCGTTTATAAGGCAGATTAGGTAGCACTTGAAGCGTTGGAGGCTGCACAGTTTCCCAGAAGTTGTCAGTGCCCGTGAAGAAGGGAGTGGCAACACAGCAAAAGTAAGACTAAGTCCAATTAGGCTAATTTTTTTTTTTACTATGCCTACTATAGTCTATTACCTATTTAGGACAAGTGCCCATTTTAGAATTGGCTAGGAATTAAGCCCATAGTAAGGGTAGATAGATAGATAAATAGATAGATAGATAGATAGATAGATAGATAGATAGATAGATAGATAGATAGATAGATAGATAGATAGATAGATATATTATACTAGATATAGCATTTAAAAGCATATGTATAGGAAATTATTTTTTAGTATATATTACTTTAAAGCAAGAACTTAGTCTATGCTATAGAGAACCTCTTTTATTCTTTATAGCTACTTTTTATACTACTAGTTAAATATTATCCTATTAGTATATTAAATAAAACTTAATAAAACTTAATACATTCTTTGGCTACTATTAGCCGTTCTAGCTACTGTAAAAAGCACCTTTATAACCTAGCTATTTTTTCTTTAAATGCTTTAATTATAATATTGAATTACTTCTAGTTAATTATTCCTTAAAGGCTTTAAAAGTTAAATATTTTTTCTACACTTGTCTTAAATAGTAAGGGCCGCTAATAATATATACCACCTTCTATTACCAAGACGTCCTTGTTTTCTTATGCAGACATATAATATAACCTTAGCACGTTCTAGCAAGGTATATAAATTACTCCACCGTCTTTAGTAATATTTAAGAGCCAATTGGTTTAATTTAATAGATAAAAGGAAACTAAACTCTAATCTACACGGTGCAAAAACCTTAATAGTTCCATCTCGTCGGTACTATATTTAAATAACATATATACCCCCTGCCGCTCTTTTAGTAGGCGTCGTTGCATGTTAGATAGTAAAACAACGTGCAGCTAATTAATGGCGCCCTGAGCACAAACAATAAAATCAATACCCAGAGATGAATACAACACACGTCTTGCTCTTGAGCATTCTTACTCAGGGCCTAAGGAAAGCTAGTGAACACTAGTAGCTTCCTTGTTTCCGTTCACAAAGTATCTAATTCTTTCTATGGGAACTGGTCTTCGACTTGCTTGAACCTTGGCCATGAGCTGGTATCTTTGCCCAGGAATTTAGCCACAAGTTCGATGACACCCTGAATCTCCTCCGCATCTTTGGCGTTCACGCCGATGTATCGTGTGCCGCGTAAGTGAACCAAAGTTGTGTAATATGCGCCTTGTCCCATCGTGAGTGACAGAGTGACCAATTCGTTCTCCACCGTAGACAAAACGTTCAGATCCCCCAAGAATAGACCGTAAATAACGTAGTCCACGGTCCAAGCTACCTCTTTTAGCTAATTCCCTGGTTAGGTGAAGTTCTTGGGATGACTACTCACTGAAATCTTCCTCATTGGCATACGTGCCTTCAATTCTAGCAATTTCTTCTGGCTTGAACACTTTTTCCCACCACTCATTGCGACGTTGAATGGCACGTTCAGGTGCAGCGGCATACTCCTTCCGGTCCCACTCTCGCGCTGAATCTTCTTCTGGTTCCACGCGCTTGAGTGCGAAAAAGGCGTCGCTACAACGCGGCATGCCGGCCAGACACCAAGACTTCAGAATTACAGCGCGTAACCGTCGGGATACGTTCCGGCGTGATTCCTGGGAACTATCACTTCCGAGCTCTTTAATAATGAACTTGTACAGTTCGCCGACGTGTTTTCCGCCATCTGCGGTGATGAGGGTCGCTGTCTATTCACGGGTTGTATTAGTTGGGTGATGAGCCCGCATGGTGCCTGAACCTACAACTATAATATACCAAGCATCCTTTGAGAGAGATTTCGGGGTCTGGTCTCGGGCTGCTTGGAATACTGCCTCTAGTGATGACGCTTCGTTGGACATGATTGAAAATGTGCTGAAATCAAATGTTTCTAGTCCGCGTGGAACGTCTTTTTCTTGCAATGATCAGAGTAGGCGATTGAGGAATTGCTGTTATTTTACGGAAGATGTACGTTAGTCAGTGTACAGGACTGGCGGTCATCGAAACGCAATGCCATGATATTCATTATTTGATATATCAGACGATTGCATCGGGAAGTCTGTCAGTCGGGCCACACAATATCCACGATCCGAAGATGGTAACCTGGGACGGCTCGGTTGCGGTGGACGGAGCGGAGTTGTGAGACCCGGAACACTGTATGGTTCCTAAGGTTTGATTGGTCCCCGCATTTTGCTTCAACTCCCCGTTCTGTTCCCTCCGAAACGTGGACGCTGTTCAAATACTAATATTTCCATTCTTCTTCCAATTCGTCTCGCGAGTACTCTGTGTCTCAGAGTCACATCATGAGCGTGCCGAAACGTTGGATCGGCCTGGCACTAAGCATAGTAGCCTCCATAGTCCTGTACTATCATCCGGTTTCCTGGTTCTCGATGTCAAAAAGAGTTGTTGTTTTAGGGTCAGTGCTTCTTTTGATAACGCTTGTCAGTGGCCATTGACACCATATAATTTGTAGTGGAGGTGTTGTGGGTCTGCAGACAGCAGTCGATCTGCTTGAAGCTGGATATGCAGTCAATGTGATATCGAAACATCTTCCGGGTGATATAGATCTGAATTACCCTTCCCAGCAGTAAGTCCTCTTCAGAAAGACATAGTCCCTTTCTCACTTCACTAGGGCTGCCGCCACATGGGCTTCTGATGAGCCCGTGGTGGATGCTGAAACGAAACGGTGGTATGAGGAAGGATACAACCAGTGGGAGGTTATGTCCCAAGGCGACGAGTTTGAGTCTGCAGGTGTTGCTGTAAGTTAGTTGCGGTGCCTTGGTTGGTTGATATGTTAATTCTTAAAGAAACGACCATGTTTTCGATATTGGTGAGTTTCCCCATGAATTACGATTACGGCACAGAAGGTGACCCGTACGTGCCCAAGGGAAAATCCACCAGAGAATCTCGTCAAGGGCGGTTCGTCAGCACTTTGGCACTCAGAAGGAGTATCATCTTTTAGGATTCTGACGTCGGAAGAGCTGCCGTCGGGGGTTGGCTTTGGTACAACCTTCACAACCTTCTGCGTCAACGCACCGGCGTATCTTGAATACTTTCAATCCCGGATTCTTGCGTTAGGTGGAACTATCAAGCGTGCGACTCTCCCTGTCGACAAGGGTCTGGAAGAGGGATTGAAAGCAGCAAGACTGCTCATCGCAGACGAATTGGCTGGTTCAAAGAACCAGTCTATATATGCATATGTGAATGCAATGGGGATGAATGCGATGAGACTAGCGGATGATAAGACTCTATTTCCTATCAGGAGTCAGTCAATACACATCAAAGGCGAAGCTCACAAGATTGCGGACCGGATAGACGCGAACGGCATCTACTACGCCATTCCAAGGGTTGGCGAGGGTGTTACAGTTCTAGGAGGATTTATGGAGGCTGGGAATTGGTGAGATTTCTTGAGTTCCAATGGCGGAGCGAGCTGATTTTGAAACCCTAGGAACGCAACAGTCAACCCTGAGATTAACCGAAAGATTCTTAAAGGTTGCAAACAGCTAATACCAGAATGTCTGGATGAAAATGGCGAGTTCACGATTCTGAAAGAGTATGTCGGTCTAAGGCCGCATAGAAAGGCAGGACCAAGAGTAGAGATAGAGCAACTCAAAGACAAGGCGGAATTCGGGGAGAGCATCGTGGTGCACAACTATGGACACGGTCCAGGCGGGTAAGTTGATAAGAGTCGATGCTTTTGGTCTGCCCTAGAAGCCGTGTTCAAGGAGCTGAATTGGGCGCGCACAGATTTTTTAAGTCAGTGGGTGCATCGAGAAAGGTTGTACGACTCCTGAATAGCTTCGCATCAGGTGAGCTACCAATCTGGAATCGTGTATCTATGGGAAATACTAACAAGAAGTTTTCTATTCGCAGGGACCTTATCTGAAGCAGACGCTGAGACGTCGAGTTCATCCTCGAAGGAACAGGAGGTATTCGAAGGGTTCTATCGCCAGGGTGGTGACTCAAAGAAAGAAGATGTCTAAGACGAGGTTAATGTTACTAGCTCCTGGCGTTATGCCACCAGGCATCGCAAGTCACATGTAAGAATATAGTAGCGGGTCTGCGAGATAAGGTATCCAAATAGCCTCCCATGCCGGAATACAGATCGCTTCTTGACCATGCGTTGAAACCGATACTTTCAGATAATGTAGTGAGGTTGACTGCATAACGATGATCCGTGATCTGGAATATTACTTATTCGGCGGCATTTCATTGATAGCGAAGTTCTACTAGGACTTGAATGTGATTCTTTGAGAGACCGCATCAACTATGCTCAATCTCGCCTCTACTGCCCGCAAAGCTCAACAGGCCCGAAATACCCGGCTCGCAAACCAAAGTACTGCACGCACAACCGTTCTATCCGCGGCGCTCGCAGTGCAGTCCCGTAGTCATTTGGTAATAGCGTTTGCTGTGCAGCTGTACGGAGACGTCAGTTACTGTCCAGATATAATCGGTGAGTTATCAGGTCCAGCTTATGGGCCCTCGTTGCTGCCTTCGCAGTGGATACACAGCTGTTGCCGGCTTTCGTATCTCGTGTCATCGTCTTGATCGATCAGGTCGTGAATAGAGTGTCCTCCTCCCTGAGGTACTCTCCAATATCCCCCTGTCGGAAAGTCGTGACACCTGTTGGGTCCAGCCGTCTCGCCTCTGCTGTCGAGCGCGCACTCACTCCAAAGCCCTACGTATACGGATTAGCTACCGTCCCATTTGTCCTTCGAAGGTGCTTGAAGATATAGCTAGCTTGGATACTCACTAGAGGGGTGTCGTTCATGCTCAGCACTACTACACCTGTAGATGATTATGATAAGCCTTGAACTTGAACTACGTGTATTCTAGGACCATACCTTGGTGCTCCGGGCAGTCTTCGCTCCACCTTCCAACGTGCGCCTTGACCACATTCCCTCCGTACAAGAACGGCATCTCTCCATTTGGCTTCACCCAGACCTTATAGCGTGCGTGAGGAGCAACGATATCGAGGGCGGTGATGTGCATGCGAAATTTTCCTGTGTGTGAATCAGCGCGAGTGGCTTTCTGTGCTGCAGAAATAGAGACGGTCATACCAGTCTTTGTAAATTTTCCAACACAGGTCCCCAGTGAGAGTAGCTGGACTCGCGCAACACTGGTAGCCAGATTCGCTATCGACTCTCTATTGACGCAGTTAGTGCCCTCCAACGCGTGCATGAATTATCTTTCCACCGTACCGAACAAAGTATACGCGGTTGTTCTGGACTCGGAACACATTTCTATCCGATGAACTCGAGGACGGTTCGGCGATGATGCTCTTCAGGGATGCGCCAGTACTGGACGTGGTGAGCTGCTGCTCTCTATGATCGTTGATTTCGGGATTTTACTAATTTGCTAACTTCTCGAAGAGCGTCTTCGTCCTTCAAATGATTAGCTAAGATACAGGATACGCATTTGACCTAGACCTACTCGGTTTCCGTGAGAGGCCGCATTGTGAAAGTTTCAGATGGTATTGGAGGTCTTGGAGCTGCAGACGAAAAAAAGTTGCGGAGGTCTTTGGCCTGCAGACCGCGGAAGTGGGGCCACTATTCCCCCGGACCCTCTTTAATTTTTCTTCCAGCGATCACTCTCAGACTGCAACACAACTCACCATTCATGTCTCGAATACCTGCAGCGAAAAGGCGGCGTCTCTCGCCCCAAAAGTCGGGAGCATCCGCCAGCCCGCCCCCGAAATCTGCCAAAGTAAATGGAAACGCACAGAACGACTATCTTGTCACCGCTTCGAAATGGAACTTGGAGCAAGAATACGAGCAACGGCCACGAAAAGTCAAAAGCAAGGAGAAGGAGAACTCGAGACTACCAATTAGGACATCGAAAGGCTGGGTGGAACCTGAAGCAGTACTAGAGCCAGAGGTTGCGGCCGAGGAGTCGGATAGTTTCTTGGGTTTCGGAGATGAAGACGACGGCAGCGAGGAGGAGGAACCAGTGCCAGAAAAGCCCAAGGTTTCTTTGAAGCAGCAGATACTGGAAGCAAAGGAGGAGTTGGCAAGGCTGGCGAGCCTCATTAATGAGGACCCGGAAGAACATACAGGCTCACTGAGGGCGTTGGCGCAAATCGCTTCGTCGGAGAATATTACAATCCGCAAATTGGCATTGGCGACCCAATTGGCTATTTATAAGGACATTATTCCTGGATATCGAATACGACCCGCAAGGGAAGACGAGATGAAGACGAAGCTATCGAAAGAAGTCAAGAAGCTCTGGACTTTTGAGCAGTCATTGGTCTCCACATATCAGAACTACGTGCGGGAGCTGGCAAAGCTAGCAAAGGGTAGTAATGGCGCCTCATCAGAAGAAGTTGCCGGCCTAGCAACAGTCGCTATCAGCTGCGCGTGCAATCTCCTTGTTGCAGTCCCGCACTTCAATTTCCGAGGAGACCTTTTGAAGATCCTCGTCGACAAATTGAGCGGCAAACGAGTCGATGGTGATTTTTCAAGATGCCGCGAAACTCTAGAAACCATGTTCCGGAACGACGAGGACGGGAACGCGTCCCTTGACGCAGTTACGATGTTGACGAAGATGATGAAGGCCCGCCATTATTACGTGGACGAAAGTGTTCTAAATACGTTCCTCCACCTACGGCTGCTCTCTGAATTCTCACAAAAAGCTTCGCAGAATTCCGTTGACAGACCGTCGGAAGACGCTATGGCTGGGAAGAAACTGAAACAAAAGCGCGAGTTTCGGACGAAGAAGACGCGGAAGCTGTTGAAAGAGCGCAAGGCCATCGAAAAAGAGTTCAAGGAAGCTGACGCGACAGTGAGCCACGAGGAACGCGATCGTATGCAAGCGGAGACGCTCAAAATGGTGTTCGTTGCTTACTTCCGCATTCTTAAAGCGAGGTCCCCGAAATTGATGGGCGCAGTTCTGGAGGGATTGGCAAGATATGCCCATCTCATAAATCAAGACTTCTTCGGGGACATTCTGGAGGCCCTCAAGGATCTCATACACTATGCAGAATCTGTTGCGAACGACGATAGTGACGAAGAAGACGCCGAAGATATTGAGGAAGAAACCCCTCGTAATGCCAGCCGCGAGTCGCTGCTCTGCGTTATTACAGCATTTGCTCTCCTTCAAGGGCAAGACGGTAGCATGGCAGCGACGACACTTAAACTTGATCTGAACTTTTTCATTACTCATCTTTATCGGATTCTACACCCCGTCTCTCTGAACGCCGACATTGAGTTTAGCGCAAAGTCCCTTCATCTTCCTGATCCGCATGCTCCCGACGCTGCGTCGAATCCCAACAAGGTCAACATCCAAACCACCACCGTGCTACTATTGCGTTCGCTTTCCTCAGTCTTGCTTCCTCAGGCCGCAGTAAGATCTGTGTCTCCGATCCGTGTGGCTGCATTTTGCAAGCAGCTCATGACCGCATCTTTACAACTACCCGAGAAGTCCTGTCTAGCGATGCTAGGCCTCATGAACAAAGTGACTAAGATACATGGACGCAAGATCGGTGCTCTGTGGCACTCGGAAGAGAGAAGAGGTGACGGTGTGTTTGATGCCACGAGGGAGGAAATTGAGGGAAGTAATCCTTTTGCTAGTACTGTCTGGGAGGGAGAGATACTGAGGAGGCATTTCTGCCCTGCTGTCAGGGAGGCTGTCGTTGGGATTGAGAAGAATATTGCTGAGGCGGAATAGATGATTAGCTAGAACCATACTATGATGATACCTTGAAATCCTACCATCTGAAACTATAAGTTCTGTGATCTCGCAGTTCCAATTCACTTCGTGATAGTCCGTTAGATCACCCTGGTTGGCCACCTTGGAGCCGAGGATTTGCCGGCCTACGTGAAGCAGCAGCGCGTCGACCTCACACTTTCAAGCTGCTCCATCATTTTGCGACCACTTCATCAACCCTGCAATCCTCTCCAAAGCTCTAACGTCTGTTGCATAGAAATTCCGAAGGTGTCTGGTTCTGTCAACAGCTCTCAAGATGCCGCAAACTGCAGCAGGTAGGTTGCCCATCCCGTTGCCATCACGATGCACCACGAGACAGCAACTAACGTCCTCAGTGCGCACAACGCCCTCGCATACGGACCTCCCTCCTTCTGTGGAGAAAGCGTACTACCGGAAGTGCATCGACCTCCGAAGGCGCATCAATGACATTGAAGAGAACAACGCTGGCACTCAGCTACGGCTCAAGCGACTCAACCGGGCAATCACTAAGATGCGCCTTGAGCGAGCCTTCTTGCTGGAGCAGCTAGCCCAGCGAATGGAGTACAATGTGGACGAGTCGGACCGCAGTAGCAGCCCCCCGCCTACGGTATGTCTATGTGCGAGCGAGATTCGCAGCAAGAAGTGATGGCTGACGAGAGTATCCACAGCCGCAAGACAAGCCCCTTCGCAGCAAGCGGTCGCATCGGAAGAACACGCCAACATTGGGGGCTCACCCAAGTGGGAATTTGGCTCCTCAGCATCCCTCCCCACCTGCCACTCAGCACCAGCATCACCAAACAATCCTCAATCCAATGCGCACATTGTCGTCCGCTCACTCTACCCCCGATCCGAGCCGCTCTGGCCCAATCTTCTTCAATAATGTGCCCGGAAGCGCGGCATCCCCACCCGTCAATGGCACTGGCGCCACGCCGCTGCCTCCCATCCACTCGCATCTGCCGCCCCTGCACCCCCATCAGCCTCAGGTCCACCCGGGTCAGCCTGGCGCATACTTTGAGGCGCCCTACGATGACCGGCGCCCGCACAATAGCGAAGCAGAATATGCTGAGCGAAGGCGAGCGTATTCTGGCGGTCAGGGCGCACCAGTTGAGGGCCTCGAGGGCACCAATGGGGACAGGAGAGGACAGGATACTGAAATGGGAGATGCACCGGCTGGAGCAGGATTCGGTGGTGGATTCACTGCGGTGAATAGGTAGGAAGAGGGCAGGAAACGGGTTCACGGCTGACTGGTGGCAACGTTTATGATTTCACCAGGTTGCTGATTAGATCGTATGGTGGACACCGATCTCGAATCCAAACCTACTCGCGTTTTTCGCAGTCGTACTTGGTGGACGGGAGGTGGCACTACAGATCTCGGGGGTCTTCAGAAAGAGGTTAAAGGCAGCAGCGATGGTGTTATGGCGGTTGAACTTTCACTAGTACTGGCGTTGGAAGGTCACAGGCTATGATTTCCTGGCTTTTGCGGCAAAATCTTGGTGGCGACACTGCAATCTGCAGTTCGATTATCCGCTTTTTGCTTGGTAGCTGCATGTATTTTTAGCCACTAGAATCCTACTGTCTGACTAGCTTTCCATTTGGAGATCTTCACATCACACCCTTATTGCTAGAGAAAATGTTTCTACATTCTTGCGGACTTGCTATGGAGGAGCGTCAATATACGCGTCGCTTAGGGACTCAATCATTATATCATAGGTACGGAGTACTTCCAAGCCTATGTATAGACCGAGCACGACCATATGTTCGGACCAACCTGGGTACTTGGCCGTGAAATGTACAGTCTATAGTCTTAGAAACTCGTGAGAATCGTGATAGATGCATGTCATGCTGAATATGCGCCCGAATGCCCGTGAAACGACAACCAAAAAGGGGACGAGAGCCGTCACCCAACTTCTAATCCATTAATGAGGAACGCTTTCTTCCTCGCTTTCATCTGCGGTTGGTGCAGAAGCGGGGAACTCGGGCTCGTCGAGATAAACTGCAACAGTATTGATTAGCGGTTGAAATTAGAAGGGGTGTAAATAGCTCTGACGTACCATGGGGTCTAATGAACAAACTACAAATGAAAGCCAATCCAAAGGTCGCAGTTAGGCAGATGAAGACCGTCTGCCTGAACTTACCGACCGTCGCACCGTAGATTGCATTGAAGATAACGGGCCCAAGAATACGACCCAAGGCATGCAAAAGGCCCACGGCTCCCAACAGCTGGCCGGTGCGGTCTGGAGGAACGTGTTTTGTGAGAGCCGAGCCGAGAGTAGGAGAGCCAATGCCACCTGCAGAAGCTAGGGCACCTGACAAGATGAAGGCGCCGCCACTTCGAGCGAGAGTATAGCCCAGGAACCCTGCCATGTCAAATAGCACAGCAACACGGATGACGTAAAGATCGAATTTGTCTGAGCCAGTGTTGCGTTGCTTGGACGTCCCAGTGGATCCGCGCACAAGACGTGTGACGATGGGTAAGAGGACTATCAGAGAGATAACCCTACAACTGTTAACGATCGAGACAAATTTGCTGGTTTCGAGGTTCCCCCATCCGAATTCAATGTTGGTGTAGTAGACGACGATAGTCATCGCGCCCATAGCAACGCTGAACATAATCAAGTCGACAGACGCGAGAAGCATCAAGTTCCGGCGTATGGCACCGCTTGAGCCTTCGCCAGTCGGATAAAGAATCTTAAGAGGTTCGACAAGGGTGTAGCTTCGAATTTGGTTAATCCAGTCTGCAGCGGGTCCTAATCTTTCTACCTCGATCCTATGTTTCTCTTGTGCAACAGTTTGCCGAGCTTTAGAAAGAGATTCTGGAATGAAAATTAAGAGGAAAAGAATGAAGGCGGCATGGCATCCGAGCGCAATATAGAACGCGGACAAAACGGACCCGGTGCCTTTGATTATATATCCGGAAATGATAGGTCCTAGGGCAATGCCAGTGAAGAGGCAGCCATGGAAGTATCCGAATGCAACGTTCCTTAATTGAGGAGCAGTGCAGTCAGTGGCATAAGAGTGGGCCACAGCCATGCCGACAATGAAGGAACCCGTGAGGCCGTCCATGGCCATCCCCAGGAGAATCCAATTGACGCTGATAGTATCCGGGAATGTGGCCGTGAAGATAGTGACGACCTCTCCTACGAGCATGCCCAACGTCGTCAATATGAGGATTGGCTTGCGACCGTGTCGATCGGACAGAGCTCCTAGGTATGGACTCGTGATTGCTGATAGCAAGCCAGAGATCAGACTCCCGTACAGTGTGAATTGCGCAACGCGCTTCTGGACTTCTGGTATTCTGCATTGGGGATTGTCGTCACCAAACACAACTGGCAGTAGAGAGAACTGGGGGTCTGTCCTTGAGGCTTCGGCCATGTACTCGCGACATATCAGGGTTAGAATAAGGTTGAGTTTTGGCACAATGATGCCACCGAAAGCGAGTGTGAAGAGAAGGAAGGGTGGCAAGAGCCAGTAAACCTGTCACTCGGGTTAGAATCACAATTGTGATTGGTGAGAGAGTCCAGACTTACCGAAGGCTTCTTCCACCACGGCAAGCCGTTGAAATCTCTCATGCCCTGCCATGCAGGGACAGCATGCTCTCCATCGCCAAAGGTTGAGACGCTGCCGTAGTGACTCGACGACCCATCTCCAAGTAACGGACTCTCCTCAGTGCTATCATATTGCTCCAAATTAGTTATGCCACCTTTGTCTACCCTATCGTCATCTCGGTACCGACTCGAGGCCCGACTTGGTGCGCCAATGCGCACACCAGCCTCGGCGTCGGCGTCTGCCGTGAACACGGCTTCATTATCCATGCTGAAATCGAGGGGAGAATGTCGAATTGGGCCAAGCTACCTCAACGAGGCAGATGGAGGATGATTGTGAGTCCGATAAGGGCGCAAGAAGCACCTGGTCGGTAGTTGATAGCGCCCAGGTCACGTCTCATGTCTATCGCAGAGTCCACGCAGAGCCACTAGCATGTCCGGATCATAGAGGGAGTGTAGCTGCGTGATTGGGTAACAGTGAGGGGAGTCGTCCGAGAATTGGTGCGTGAATGGCGCTGCTTTCTAATCCTCGTCGGAGATGGCTTTATATCTCGTCGCCGGAAATAAGTGAGGGTGTATAATCGAAGAAGTGGTCTTGATTGAGGCTGTCGATCTAGTGGGTGCGCGATGGACGCAGTCGCGGTGGTGGAAATGGTGATGCCAGGACCGTGGACGCGTTGTTCGTACCTTGATGGGATGAAACGATGACGATGACGACGTCGAAGATCGGCTGAAGAGAGGCCGATGTGGCTGAGCTGGTCCCCCTTTTTCAGCTTGTAGTTGACTACACAGCCACTCAGCTGACATAAGTACTTACGTACGTAACTATGCACTTAGACACTCACTACATCTCACGGGCTGGGTACGAAGTACCCATCATACAGCTGAAGGCTTTTGGAAAGCTGGCATCCTGAGTTTGCTCAGATAGTAGAAACATGATTTAGCAGGGACTTGCGATTTACGAGATGGATTACAGTTGTCTGCATGCCATCGACCATCAAACCAACCGTAGTCTATGAATGCGGATAGTCGATGTATAATGCTTCTCGTCCATGGAAATTGAATCGCATAGCTGAGAATCATCAGTCTATTAGTATTCTAATCAGTTGCGGGACGACTGCGTTACGTTACCTTGTTTGTTTAGCTGCGTCTCCGGCCTGTGAAGTCTACTTGATAGTATTACAAGATTCATGCCTGGGTAGGATGTCGTTCCGTTGTTCCCATTTTCCTTGAATCATACCTGCAATTTCTCTCTGCAATCTTTCTTCCAAGTGTTCAATCGTTGAGACCGACCGATGTCTGGCTAATTTACTTCTCCAGCATCTACCAAGCCTATGGAGCTGGTCTTTCTTTTCGTCCACATCTTTTCCCGCTCAAATACCTGCCCATCCTTGCTCATGCGTCTCAACCACTTTTCTGGACTCGTAGTGCTTATAGAAAGTGAGTAGTTGTTGGGAAGACCGTCTTTTGTGACGTCGAAACTAGACGAAGGAAGCTTGCGAAAGTCAGGCTATCCCTTCTTTCATGACAACACCGAATTGCTTTGAAATACACCACCAGTAGTTTCATCGCAATTAGTTTCCACGTCATATTGGAGGCGCAGTAAAAGAAATACGTTACGGGGCTTCCAATTGGTCTGAACGAATCTGGGCGGGACACAAGTTTACTATATGTAAGCCTTAAACGGACTTCCGAATGATATTCTGTCATCCCCTTCCTAACCGCTACAACACATGGAAAGAAGAAACATGATCGAGACGCTGGCTATACTGAGTACCTGCAGATCGTACCGAGACAATCTCGAACGCTTTAGGAGACAGCCGTTTTGATCTGGTTTCTCCCATCAAGTATTGCCCATGTACAATGCACGATAACCAGACAGCCACTTCAAATCGGGGACAATGTTTCAAGAGTTCCAATCTAGTCCTTCGAGGTAAACCCCCGAAATGGAACTGCAATAGCTATATATCTTCCTCTTTATGGTCGTCGCAAACTCCTACTACATAAAGTGATCGATGTGGGTGGATCGTCTCACAGGGATCCGATTGTTTCCCTTACTCAAAGACCATGATCGAGACGGTTGAGGCTAGGGCTCTACTTCAATGGACATGATTGGTCGATCCCGCGCAAGCCTCCGCCATTATTCACCATAACTTCAGGTTAGAGAAAGCGAAGAAAGAAGACTGACGTATCCCTTTTATAGTATACACGCTTCACTGTCCAGAACTAGATAGGGGTATGGTTGATCCGAATAACACCCGCGTACAGCTGCCAGGTGGGCGTTCCTCACAATGTGACAAGACGTATCTTTTACTTTGGCTGCATGACTTGCACGACAGATTTCATTCCTTGTTTTCCACATTCGCCAGTCGGACATCCTTGGAGTAATGCTAGAGACTTCTGCCTTCGTGATTCTCTGCTGTTATTACGTCAGGCAGGTGACTGCTCCAGATGCTTCAACCAACCAAGCCCTCAACGCTACACCTCGGTGACGATCTTCCGAAGTGTCGTGACGATTGCGGAGGACGAGTGGCTTCAAGCACTCATGCACAATGGGTGTGCTTAAAGAAGGCATCCAATCAAGCGCCCATTGATTCAAAGCCATTGGCAATATTGAGCCACCAGTCATTCGGCAGTTACACGAAGGAAATGAAACGACCTTTCATTTGATCACCTTGCGAGGCTGTGCACAGGTCCTTATCGCTGCATGTTCATCATGCGCGCTTCGGCAAATTAAACTTGCCTCGTGGGAGCGACGCAGAGATGATTGGTTCGAATTTCAGTCATTGTAGCCTGCATCCATCCGCTCCAGGTGAATGGACTTCGATTATCGTGTTTACCCCGCGATATCCTCGAGCAAACCTGCTTGGATGCTCAGCCTGATTGCTTTAGCCCCAAAACGGTCAAGGGAGAACGCAAGGAGACGAAAATAGCTGTTCGCAAGGCGAGCATCGTTTCGGTTGTTCGCCTTGTTGCCTGACATGCACTCCTCCGGAATCCATCACAAGATTGCATTATTAAAAGCACGACATCAGTTTCAGAAGCACCGCGGAAGCATACATCCAGCGGTAAATATAGAGGCTAAAAATTTGGATGCCTAGAGTTTGATAATGCTAGTTGAGTAATTGACTTGCGCGAAGAGCTCGTGCTTACCAAACACTAAATTCAGCCTTATCGGTTAGAACTATGCGTCACCAACACCTGCATCTAAGCATAATTTTTCTGGGAAGAGTTCTCTGACAACGACAAGTAAACAATGACCACCCCGTTCCGAAGAGAAGAGTTGCGAGAGACAACTTGAGCACCCATTGGCCATACTTGGATATAAATCCAGCTTTGAAGTGCTGGCGTCACCCACAACCAGAGAACCAACCGGTCCGCCTGCATCTCTGCCCGGGTGCCCCGCAACTGCCAACTCAGCCTTCATCCACCTACTATACTTGATTCGTCTGAGAGCGCCTTGCTCGACATCCCGCGGAACAGCAAACAGTTGCATTGCATTCTTTGCCTTCTTTCTCAGGCGGGACGACGCAAGTGGTATGTCTGGCACCACGGGTTGCTACATCCGGCGTCTCAAGAGAGACACTGCATTTGGGGCGTAAAGGGCTTTTGGAATAGTCCACTGCGAAAGCTTCAACGGAGTTCTACGAAGATAGACGGAGATATTTCGTTACACATGGGTTTCAGCCTTCAGACAGCGAAACAAGATCGACACGAGATTTAGCTCTCGCGAAGCGGGGAATGCTATATTCGGTTACGTGATACGTCTCGCACGTTCACTTGCTCGTTTGCTCCTTTTATCCGCTCGACACCCACGGAATCTTCCGCTCGCTGCGCGTTTCTGCACATGTATGAAGGATTTACCAGCCTCTGAGATATCCTGGGGTAAGCAGGTTGCCTAGCATCAGCAATGAGGTCGTAGCCAGCTAGGATCAATCTGACAAGCTGCCTCTAAGCAGAGATTACTCCCTTCGTACGGAGAGCTGACACAGGGTTGAAGCTGAGTCGCGCTTTCATACTCTGCACGACGGACTCAAGCTTGTACTTCAATCAATGGCCTTCCGGGAGAATGGAGCATGTTGTGGCACATAGGACGACCGTATGGATGGAGCCGAGCGAGAAGGCGATGTCGGAGCTCAGCTGCCCGTGTGGTAAATAGGACATAAATGATGGTGTTTTGTCTTACGGCATAGCTCACCTGCGTCGGCTTCGTGAATTTTCTAGATGCCTTCTAGATAGCACTAGAATTTCAAGAATGCTATTGGGTGGGTTCTTTCTTCTAGCGTCGTGGAGATGTGCGCGTGATCCCTGACCATACCACCATCTTTCCGTAGTGGTTGCTTAAGTTACTATGCACAGAGACATGCGAGACTGTATCTGACTAGTGCATTGATGAGAAGCCTTAGACTCCGCCCAGCAGAGTTAGGACACGTGATGCAAGGGATGGGACCGCAATTGTGGCAGTACCACATTTCAGGCCCGAGGAGTACCGCGCCTTCAGAAATCAGACTTGGAGTAACCATGATAATGTTTGCCTTCAATACTTTGGCCGCGTGAGAGCCATATGACTATTGCGCATGGTGGTACGTTGTCTTCTCATGTCACCAGAGTTAACCGGAGAGACCAGAGCGATGGTATAAGGCAAATGCGTAGTCAGGAGACAAATGGAGGAAGTCGGACAGCTCAACTTAGCTTCTCGGATGGTCCCGGCCGCGATTCCGCAGCAGGACGGTGCTGATTCATGATAGTAAACAAGGTCCATGTATTCGAAACTTGGAACTGAAACATACATTGCTACTCACAAACCTCCCTATGGCACCTCGCAAGATGAGATCCGATCGCACTTTAGAACATGATCCTACCTCACGTAGACCTCTATTAAGCTGCCAGGGCGGAACCAAATGTCGGATCGAAGCATTGAGCAGGAGAATCACTGCTCAGGGGAAGCTAAGTAGTCCTCTCACCAGCAAAATGCATGTAGACGCGGTTCCTTTCCTGGTGTGCGCAACAGTCCCATTTACTTATTGCCATCTTGTTTGCTATCCCGCCATTTCAGCCAATAAATATTGCTGCCTTTTAAAGTGTTTGAAAAATTTATACTGCTTCCGGCTGTATGGATTATGAGGGGGTGTCGCTGTGTGCCTCGCAATCGGATTCTATAGCAAGTTAGATTCAGAGATTCTTCAAGAACTGCCATATTTAACGTAAAAATTACCACTACCAGCTATTGCAGCTCCACTTGAGGATTATGAATATTTACCTTACGGGTTTTCCAGGAAAGGCCGGTCCTCTACGTGGAACAACCGTGAAGTAATTGAGCCATTTGCGTATGGGTATCCGTAGGCTCCAGAGCTATAATAGAAATTACTCATGTGATGCTCTGGAAAAAGCCACTACCGACTCAAAGGTAACCTACTCCGGGTAAAAGGATACAACGACTGCTCTGGTTGCCCGGGTATGGGCAATGGGATTGCAATACAAAGGGTTTCCTCAGAAAGCTGTGTAGAATACTAATGTCGTCGTAAGAGCGCTGGAAGCGGGTCTGTTTGACTTGAGATGCTCGATAAATTGGTTGTGATTTCGAAAGTCTTCGCATTTCCATGTTTACTCCGAGGAATCACAAAGTAGCAACACACGTCATCTCCTATACGTTGTACTAGGGAAATTTGAGCAGGCCGAAGTTTGAGCAGGTTGAATTCCGCAAGATTGCTTGCGTCCAATGGTCCGGCGGGGAGGTTCAACGACTGTCTGTTGCGCTGGACTCGCTGGCGTATTCGCTGGCGTATTCGCTGGCATCGCTGGCCAGTCTTTGACTAACACGATGCGTGTCGCGTGGTTTGAAAGGACTCCCTTGGTATCCATGTCCGACGGTTTATTCAGATTAGGACTCAAGCATAAACCTTCCAGATTCCCTGCCTTCTTGATGCCCAACGACCTGTATGTATGCGCATCCGGTGTGATAGCAAAGATGTTAATGGTCGCCCTGTTATAATGCTCGGCTTTTTTGAATGGCCGTCCATCATAATGCTCTTCCACTTTAGATTTGTGGCCGGTAACATCAAGGCTGGAGGTTAAGGCCTCCCATTTCCCTCTCATTTCTACGCCCTGAAATGGTGGACAACTACAACACCTGATCCAGGTGTGCCATGCCAAAAAAACAGCCCAGCTGTCACATCTTCAGCCCAACACTACCCGAGGATCGTCGAGGCCCATCGAAGTGGTATTCTGGTCGATGCTGCCCGTTTCTAACAGTATTGTAACGACTGGAGTGTCCGTCATCAAGATAACGGCGTCTCCATGGCTCCGATATATTTGCCCATTTCGACCGTATATGGAGACGTAGTTTGTTTCGATGTGCGATTTAGTGCGCATCCTCGGGTAACTCTTTCAAAGACTCAAACATTTGCCTTGCCACAAAACGATAGGTCCTTTGTTCTAATTGCGACCAGAGTCGTTGGGGCACAATGACACTGGGGCATGCGCCGCTCCAGTATTGAGGCGTGGAGTTGTTCCGCCAAAGCCTTCTGTTGCCTGGTGCTTAGCTGCGGCGCTGTCTCCGTCTACGTTCGTAGCCGCTGAGGCAGGAGAGACATTGATCGTGTGAGACGTCTTCCTGCGTTAGCATATCAGTAGACTGCAGATAGTCCGCAAGGAGGCTTGACTTTAGGATGAAGCCTAGGGGCCAAAATCTGATGTGCCGTAGCCTCGTGGTCTATCCTCAGCCTTGTGGTCTGTCTTCAGCCTCGTGAAAGGGCACACTTTCACCGAGAGGGCAGTCATTGATGATGAGGTCTGACTCCTGAGGACTCGGGACCATAAGCAGAAGCCTGGAGGGGGGGTTGAGGGGGAGCAGCTTGTTGGTCAAAGGCCATCAATTTTCCATGTTGCCTCGTGAAGGCTCTATCTCGAACGTGATGCGGGAGAACTGTAGGGCGGAGGGTAGACTTTTAAGTTCTCAGGGCTGAGTCCTAGTCATATGGCAGGGAGCGCTCTCCGGTGAGTCCTGGAAAACTGGACGCGAACGATGCAGACGCTCTGAAGGCAACCTGGTGAGGCCTCACGGCGCGAAGGCTCCGCATTCCCACAAACATACCAAGGTATGGGCTCGCGCGGAACTGCATCATGATGGACTAGGGCTTGCGCCGGATTTGGAGAAGGCTGGCGACTAGTTCACATTCTGTCCATGTCTAGTCAGGTTCTGTCCATCTCGTCACGAGAGCGAGTCAATCTGAACAACGGGGGCCTGGGATGGAGGGGTGGGCGCCAAACCGGGCAGCTGACGGTTCTGGAAAACGGATCTGACATAAATTTCTGCCTTCAAGTAGGCGAGTGGGGCGTCAAGGGGCCGAGCCGGTGAGTGCGCACTTGAGCCGCAAGCCTGGGCTCCCTGTCGTCCGCCTAAATGCGAACCACGAGGCAACAAACTGCGGACCCATGTCTAGTCCTCTCCGGCCCGCTGCTCATAGAAAAGGTCAAAATGAAGCTCCGTCCGGCATCATACCGCACTTCACCTCTTCATCGCTCCATTTCATGGCCAATAAGCTCATGACCCGTACTGCATTGCCCCTTTCAGGTACCCCCACCCGCCTTGAGCCTGAGATATCAGGTTGGCACCCCCGCGTTTGAGGCTCAACGCTCACCGGAGTCAGAGTTGCCGCTTCGGGTCGCCGATGAAGTCTTTTACTAGCGAAGACATCCGCAGATTACATCGTCTAACCATATACGACTCGCCGGAATGGCAGATTTCCTGCAGTCCAAGTACGTCCACCAATCTTTGCCCCGCGCAGCCAACCAACCATCCCAGATATACACAAGCCTTGAGGACGCAGGCGAAGACGGCCGTTGCTCAGGAGCTGTCGTGTCCCTATTGCAGCGGCCGTATCTTCCAGAATGACGACCAATTGTGGGATCATGCCGTCTCAGACCACTCCCCGATCTTGCTGGGCATGGGAATTGACCCTCAGAACCCCGGCCGATTTCGAAAAGTGTTGCGAGACGAAGCTGCGTAAGTTTAGTTTTTCTGCATTTCCAAACTGGATCACCGCAAGCTCTACATTAGGGCACCGCAAGCGAACCCCGGACTGACTGTTACCCAGGCGGTCATTGGCTGACCAGACTGCACGAGAGTCGCACATCTCATCCGAGGCGACTGCAGGTGCTGGTTCCACCCCTGATCTAACGCAGCTGTCATTGTTGGAGACGAAGGGCAAATCCCAATCACCTCCGCGGCCAAAGAAGCGGCCCGCTGGCTCCGATATTCAACCATCTGAGTTACAGTCACGTGTGCCGATCCGGGACACCAGGCGGACCAAGAAGGCGACTGGCTACGAGGACCCCTCCGGGCCTTATGTAGAGGACTTAGACTACTCAAGAAACATTCCCTTCTCTGTGGGCGCTGATTCATCCCCTCAGCCTAAGTCCAGTCAGCGTCAACTCTTCAATCCCCATGATGCCGCTAAGGGTGCTCCCACGCTGTACTCCCAAGGCACACAAGGCACACCTAATGCATCAAGTGAGGATTGGTCCGTCGTTGCAAACCCCCACGGCCAGCATCACCCAACGCCGCGACCTCAACCCAAGGCCCAGAGACAATCGCCCTATGGCAGCCCAAGACACAGCATCGGTTCCGCCCCCCCGCAATACAACGTTGCCCCCCAAGCAAGCTCTCTCCGACAACGTGGCATCCTTGAAGTCCAGCGTACCAATCCTCGCTATCCAGATCTCATCTCACAGCCCGATGCACGCCCGATCTCCCAGGAACAGTTAGCTTCCGAAGTCAAGTCCATCTACGCGGGTCTGACCATGGTCGAAACCAAATGCATTCACGTGGACCGAGTGCAGGCGTCTGTTCTACCTGATCCCGACGGAGACACGAAGCTCGCCAACGACCACTGGCAGGCCCTCATTGCTCTGCATCGGACCTTGCTGCACGAGCATCATGACTTCTTCCTTGCCTCTCAGCACCCGTCTGCTTCTCCCGCACTGCGTCGTCTCGCGTCCAAATACTCAATGCCGGCACGGATGTGGAAGCACGGTATCCACTCCTTCCTTGAGTTGTTACGCCGACGGCTGCCAGAGTCGCTAGACTACATGCTGGCGTTCATCTATCTAGCTTACCAGATGATGTCTCTGCTCTACGAAACCGTACCCACATTTGAAGACACCTGGATCGAGTGTCTAGGAGATCTTGGTCGGTATCGTATGGCCATTGAAGACGAGGATTTGCGTGATCGTGAGACGTGGGCTGGAGTTGCACGCTTCTGGTATAGCAAAGCCGCTGATAAGAGTCCATACGTTGGTCGTCTATATCACCACCTTGCCATCCTCGCCCGCCCGAATGCGCTGCAGCAGCTCTACTACTATTCCCGTTCTCTCACGTGTGTCGTTCCTTTTATGAGCGCTCGGGAGTCAATTCTCACGTTGCTTGACCCTATTCTAGGACGGTCCAGTGCTTCATACACGCATTCGCTGCCCATTGATACCAGCTTTATCAGAGCTCACGGTATTCTCTTTGGGAGGTTGTCGACTGACGCCTTTGAAGAGTCCAAGGATGCTTTCCTAGGCCAGCTAGACAACCACATTGGGCGAGTAACAGCAAAGTGGAACGAGCAAGGTGTTTTCATTGCTGTTACCAATATCGCTGGTTTCTTTGACTACGGCTTTCAAGACTCGCCTTTGAGACTGATCTATCAGTCATACGCTGAGAAGATTTCCCACAAATCTCAGAGATCGTCCAGTCCTTCGGAACAAGACTCTTCAAGTCGCTCGCCATCTCCTTCTGTAGGATCGAAACAACTCAGCTCGGACGAAACCTCGTCGCAACTGTCCAAATTGTCTCACGATGTCGCCTTTTTGTCCGCCTGTCGTCTTACCTTTTCCACTTTTGCTCTTGTTCTTCGGCGTATCGGGGATAAGAATGTTCTTCCACATGTTCACGTCCTTCTTGCTTTCCTTTCCAGTCTCTCTACCATACCATACGTCTCGGCCTTAGCCGACAACGCTCCTTGGAACGAACTCGTCACCTTCCTCAATACGTTATCGAAGTCTGAAAGGCTCGAACCACTCGTTAATAACGATATTTTCCCTTCAAAGGATATGAGCGACAACGTTCCTTTGCCCGAGGACTACCTTATACGTGGGCAGGTGTGGAGCCAATGGTATTTCCCAGAGAGCTGGTTTGGTGGTGAACATGATGAGGAAGAACGTTCCCTTGAGCTCGCTTCAACAACAAAGGACAGGACTGAGCGGATCCTACGCCTGGGTCATCAAATCGCAACTGTGAGTTGAGAATCTTTCCACACCACCCGCTGTTTTCATCACTAAGTCATGAGTAGCTTGAGCGCTGGATACATTACGACCGATCTTCTAATACGTGGTCTATGTCTTCTGCCTTCTCACAAGTCGTGCCAGGACACAAATCTGGTGAATACGTCCCTCAACTCACACATACGTTACTGGCCGACGACATGGACATAGACCAGCCGGCGCAGGCCCAAGAGAAGATTTCTTTGAATATATCATACGACCTTAGCGAGGATTCGCCGGAGATGAGGGAGATTCAAGCCGAGGAGGAAAACGATTCAATACAACCTCAGCATACCAAAAGCTTGCAGCCTTCTACAGCCCTTGTGAGCTCCGATAAGCAGGCACGGTCATCAACGATGACCGCTAGTAAGATGTTTGTTCAGAGTTACACAGTAAGTTGATACCATACTTTATAATATCACGCATTTCTGATCGCTGGGCCGTAGATAATCGTCTGTGATACGAATCTATTGTTAAAGCAAAGAGACGTGTTTGAATCTTTAATTCAGAATGGAGACTGGAGGGTCGTGGTACCCGATGGAGGTGAGAGTAGTCCGGTGTTTCGAAGATCTATCTGACCCAAACTAGCGATTACATATTTACTCTTGCTGTCAAGACGAGTCGGACCAGAGGGTACTCTTGCCCACGAAGCTTTACAACGTGTTCGATCAGCCATCGAAGAGAATAAAAACGTGCGAATAGCAACGGACAAAGGTAACGATGTTACGCAGCTATTCCTCTCCGAGAAAATGGGAGGTGACGACCCGGAGGATGTGAGGCAATCAGAAGATAGCATCATCCGAGTTGCTAGGAGCGAGAGTGATCTCAATAGCCAAGTGTCCGGAAAGCAAACGGGCAGCCATGCCCAAGCAAGGCCTGCCGTCCTGCTTACTGAAGACAAAGCCATGCGTATCAAAGCAGCTACTTATGGAGTTGCGGCCATCGCCACATCCATGATTAAAAAGGTGCTCAAGAAGTCGGAGCCAGAACAAATGCCAGGTCAATAACAACTACTAATTGGTCATATTTTGTTGCGATTTCTTCTTCTTGTCAGACGGAACCTTCCTCAGGATAATATGTTGGATGCGTTACCGCGGTGCTCAAAGTCTAGTGTTGTTGTCCCCATGGAATCAACCTTACACGTTCCCGGTGTGACGGCGATGGACCAAAGTGCCGTGGCAGGATCTCTATGGGTAAAGGGGATGTTCAAGTGGCTGAGGGTGTCTGTACATAGTTATTCCGCCATCGGATCTCTTCCCATTTGGACAGGACGTCGGACCAGATATCCCGGAAGTCTGTTCGCGCTCACTTTCCCAAAGCCGGGATCTATTGGACTTTGTACCCCTTGGTTTTCGTTGCCATATATTATGCCTTTGGAGGGATTTTTTTGAAGCGCCCATTGGAATGGCCTCACTTCTAAGTTTAGACTATCATTCGGATTTATTGGACAACGTCAACCCAACCCGGGGAGAACTCAACCACATCCCTTCCCTGCCATCATGAAACCCCTGCGCTGGCTCACCAAAAATATACGTTTTGCTCTTGAAAGTTCGATGATCGATGCCACGCGTTGGTGTCTCTATGGGTACATGGCTAAACGAGACACAAAACCGTAACATACTCATGTGCATCCTACGACTGCCCAAACCCCCCTTGTCTCCTCTTCAAGGCCTTTCGATGTCAAGTTTCAGCCCTGCGAACGTGCTACAAACCCCACAGTCACGCGGGAGATCGCTGCCCCCCACACCCGCCACGGTCCATGCCCGTCACGAACTCTTTCCCCGCCAATCATATCCTTCCCACGACATTTTTTTTTCAGCCTTACGGACGCCCTAGGTGGCCCTGCATGCGGCTAGCTGGCGGAAGCCGCCAGGGATTCCCAGAACAGGTAACAAAAAGCTCTTCATTACGCCCTGTTCATGCATCGAGCCCTTTTCTAGCTCATAAAACACGCTCTTCTAGACCATTTCCATTACCGTCCTTCTTATTTCACCGCCCAAATGATTAACCTGCTCTCTTTTGCTGCAAGTTTGCCTTCTCCCCGCGCAATTCCCTCAATTCTCTAACTGCAATGAAACGATCACGTCCGCAGCTCGCCTAGCGAGGACTACACCTTCCTTTTGAAGATGGAAGTCAATCTGCAAAGGATCATGCTCTCCAGATACCTGGGTCGGTGTGTTGCTGGCATGTTCACCGATCACGATCGGTACGACTCGCGAGCAACAAGGCAGAAATCCTGCAGCCATCCCGCGCGAAACGTATAAAAGCAACGGCGCATGCGCGGACACGAGAGCAAGGATCGAGCAATTTGACGCTTCGCTACCTACACGAAAGCTAGTCACGCCATGCGACTGCGTGGCTGACCGGTGACAGGCAGCAGAGTCTGGTATCCTTTCCAAGCGTAGCTAAGGACCACATTTGGAGTCATCGGACCTTTTGTAGGCACCGCCCTTTTTTGCCTGCGTTCTGCAGGTCAGAGCGAAGAGCTACGCTCATATTCTTGGCACTGAAGCCTCCCCGAAGCCTCCGCCGAAGGCAACCGTCCGGCTCATACGGAAAACGGCAAACGCGAAAGTATGCTGACGCGGTGTATGCGCTTCGGGTTGCGAGCACCGCTTCGTATTTGCGAGAGTGGCAGTGATGCGAATAATTGCGGGTTTGAAATCATATGTCGGACATGGTTTCGGTATCCGAAGTTACTAGGAACTCCGGGCATTTAAGTAGGATTTGTGAGCGAACAACGACTTATAGTGCGTTTTGTAAGTGCTCAGAAAAGGGGTATGATCTTCTTTGCATGGTGGAATGGTATGTTATGGTAGGTCTACACGGTCTTTCTCACTTCAAATCTTTACATCTTCAATGGTTACCACAACTGTGCGTGTTCTACTGGTCAAGGACGACGGCTTCATAGATTGCAAATGACGTGGACGGAATTCAAAATTGTGGTACGCAGCAATGGAGTTTGCCCAAGAGCTAGTATTATACTCGGTGCCCCTATAATCTCTAGTATAGATTCTAGCAATCAACATCATCTACTTCGGTCCTGAATACCCTTGTGCAATCCATAATCAGCATAAGTCTTTATACGACATGATCGTGCTGGACTGTTGCGCCTTCTATGGAAGACGCTGCTCGGTTGGAAGTGAATTGGTGAGACGTCCCAGCACTTAGCTAAGTTCGATGCTAGAGAGTGAGGCGGAGGCATACGTTTTCTATGACGCTCCGAAGAATCTCTGTTCTTTCCAATGTCTATTCTGTCTCTTTGCAGAGGTCTTGTCGAATATATACTGTTACGTTTGTCACATCGCCCCTAAGTAGCCTGATTTCTTGAGACTTGACAATGAGGTCGGTATGTAGAGCTAGAATGTACGAGTACTCTTCGCTGGAGCGACGAATATAGCATGTAGAAAAGGGTGGAGAGGGTGCCGAAAGGTATGCGAGTATCTGAGGTTGCTTGCGTAAGTGGGGCCTGGCGGTTCCATTGAGGAAGTGACTCTGCTCACTTGTTAGCTCAATTCACTTCATGTCATTTGAAGATGAACATTCACAGAAACGTTTTCCAACTTACCACAGTGTACACGCGAGAGTGTATATTAGGACATACAAAATGCAAAAGGCCCTACGGCTCTTGCACTAATCTATTGCCGTCGCGTCCACTGTCTTGTTCCATTACTGTCCATCCTAGACAGTGACATGTCAATGGCCAACACTCCAGCCATAGAAACGTGTCGGAACAGTATGACACTCCGACACCTCAAAGCTAGCTGGCAAGCTTGCAATTGGGGCTATAACCTAGGGATCGGATGCTTTTCAGAACTCAAAGCTTATTGAGCGCAAGGTCTCAAGGATTCGAATGGTGATGCCAGGTAACAAGAGGGACTGTTCTCGTTGTACATGCTGTGCTAGGTGTCGATGACAGAGAGAAATATTCCTAAGAGCAGGTGGTGTACAAGACGCAAGTGCTGTGCAGCACCTGCGTGCTAGTTAGAGGGCTTCGGACAGATATATGGAATCACTTTCGCTTCGAGAGAGTTTTGCAGATGTCCGTACAAACCGAGGGGTCGTACAGGAGCGAGCGTTCATTCCATCTTGAGACCCTCAATGCACGACGAATGTGGGTGGCATCGCATTGAGCAAAGCAATGCTCATGCCCCAGAAGAGGAGGATGAACATAGAAGCAAAGGATATGCTTAGAGGATGACCAACATCTGACTACTGGAGCTTTCAGTGTCACAAACCTCAGCAGTCCGGCCGTTTCTGAGGACTTACATTACTAAACCACGCCACCCCAATGAGCGTATACTCCTCGCGTCAATACACCAATGAGACTATTTCAGAAGAACACTATTCGGTATAGTCCTCAAGCCTCACAATAACGCCTCACTGTTGCCTTTGTTTCAGCACTGCCCCTTAAAGTCATCCTTCAGATCCTCTTATCCCTTTCGAAACCAAAAATAGAACATCTGACCATTGGCCAAACCCTTCGGTCCGAGCCTAACCTGAATAATAATGTTGTCGTCAGCCTTTGCCTTCTTTTCAAATGTCAGCTCAGTCTCTCGGAGTCCAGGATCTTGTCAAGTTAGCATAATTGTGCTAGGTAGGACCGGCCGACTCGTTTAGCAGGATTTGTATAGTCCCTAGTATCAGCTGGGCAGGCATACTGGAGTGAGGCGATTACGTTGAAACAGAGAGGATTTTCATGCATTGAGCTCGGTGTGGCCGTGTGTGGTGATGTGGTTGGACTACAAGGCTGAGGCTGAAGGTGGCTGTGCTGGTCGCGCAGATGTAGGGACACGTAACGGTTGTTAACCTGCAACATGAAAACGCGGCAAAAGGCCCGAACTTCCTGGTGGCTACGAAACGAAGTTTATCTGGCAGTCGTCGGGTGGGGGATGTTGACAGGTATAATGAAGTGTTGAGTAGGTTCGGATTTTGGCGAGGGGTCGGTCGTCTGACCAATGAAACTTTGTGGTACGCGCACTAATTCGTTGAGATTCTCTAGCATGATAACAGACATGCAATATAGCATCAATTGTAGCTAGTGCATTGATATATAGATATTATGTTACTCTCCTAGACTGTTATACTGATGTGTCATGGGAATAGTAAAGCAGAGATAGTCCTACAGCTCGACGAATGTATTGTTCATATCGAAGAGGCAAGACGTATTTTCTAGCTCACGGTACATAGATCTTACACTCATTTGTCAGGAGACGAATGGAATTAACGGGTGTATCGGCCTTAGAGTTATGATGAGACACTCATGCTGCGAAGACCGTTCCGGGCCATCCGGATTGCGCAGTGCCCATGCGAATGGATTACGTTCAGCAGTTTCAAACAGAAGAAAAAGAACGGCAACGAGACCATGACAGTTGACGGGTGTTAATAAGCTTAAGGTGTATTTTAGGCATCATCACGTGACTAACAAGTTCCCCCTGACCGTCGAGTGCAGGGAGTGTCATTACTCTGTGCGGGGTAGTTTACCACTGTCAAACGGATTAGAGGTTTAGTGATATGGCTAGTAGAGGTTCTCCAGATTGGATAGTTGATAGACTTGCACGTGAATCAACTCCTACGCCGCGCCGCGTCCCGTCAGCTACGCCGTATACTCGGGCAGAAATCGGTTCTACCGATACCACCCTTCTGGCAAATCAATATCAAAGACGGCTGTAGTCATTATGGGTGACTAGAGCGTCATTATCGCAAGGGCTTCCTCGTCTCCTTGAAACGCTATCTGAGAGGTTCTCAAAAAGGCGTGTTGCAGGTAAAGGATTGGTGACGATGTTGCTGTGCCGTGGACGAGTGGACCGCTAGGCAACAGTACAGCTCCTCCAGAAGAACAGCGGTGAGAGTCTCGCGTCGGATGGATGAGACACTCGGGGCCATGAAAAGTTCGGGATGCTGTGACAGGTCGCCTTAGATAGCTTTCCCGCCAGCCCCTGTCCCGTTGCGAAAACTGCACAGCATCGTCTATCCCATGTAGCCACCCGCATACCCGCCAAGCGACGAGTGGTGTACGTTTGCTAGGTTCCTCTCACAGAGAAGGCAAACACTAGAGTTGAAAAGCCACGAGGGCGCGATTTCGAGATGGCGGTCAGGGTGGAGCTGTGGAGAAGTCGGGTTGAGTCAGGTATTGATTCTGATTCGATAGAAAAGAGATGCAGTGTCGCCCGTGCTATGTTGCCTGCTCAAAGACTGGAGATGTGCCGCTCTGGGGCCGGGCTCCCTCGGTAGGTGCTTTCCGTCATTGGTGGTGATCAACCCGCGCTTCGCCATGCCATCGGAGAGCCCGACAGCATATCCCCTGAATGTGGCCAGTAGAAGGCTGTTGCCTACCCACACCGATCTTGTGTCGAGGAGACGGCACAACGGGACCGAGGGAGCTCGAAATGGACAATGAGAAACGGGCGGTGAGAACGAGGCGACACAGGGTGACGGCTGGTGTGGCCTACCAGGAGCATCGAGACGTGTCTCTCAAATCATCGCTGTGGCAACAATAGACTCTCTTTGAAGTGAAGGGACGCTGTGAAAAAAACCGGTGGCCACAGCCTATCATGCGACATAGCTCGTCATGGGCGGTCTAAAACCAGATAGACAGGAGCACGGACGGTTTTCGTCTTCGGAACATCTACAGCTGAATCAAAAATTCATGCATTAGGTAACTTGTGGAATTGACATCTACGGGATATCAAGTGTTGCCACCGTGGCGAGCTGCATTTGAATTCGCGATGCGGGCGCACGGGCCACGCCCCTGGGATATTCGTGCCCCTTGGAGTAGTCGGAGGCGACGAAGGCGATAGAAGAGAGAAGAAATTTCGAGGAGAATCTCCGTTGAATATCGAAACGAGTTCTACGTATGAAGGATCAGTCGAGCTTGCAGTTCGGGCTAGATGCACAGCCCACAATGTCGCGGTGACCCTTCCGCTCTCCGATCGCCACTGCCAATGTAGGAGCATCAATACCGTTCAAGTATGCCCAGAAACTGTCTGAGGCATGGGGATAACGGGGACAGATGATGACTACGAAACAATGCGTAGAAGTCACGAGAGAGTTGAGTGTTGGGGCAAACACATGCGAGTGGCGCAAACATGAAGACCTGAAAAGCCGTCGACTGGTTGGAAGTATGCGACACGCGAAAAGGAGAATTCGGATCGCTGTAAGACGGACGCTAGAAAACAGAAATGACAGCTGAGGTACGATCTGAAGATGCTGGGAAGAACAACCCATTGGAGACCCGAGCAAGCTGAGAGCCGCATGTGAGCTGAAAGCGCCCGTGGAGTAGCAGCGTTGAAGGTATTTCTTTCTGCTTAGATAAAGAAGGTGCAATTGAAGACTTGGTACAGAGAGATAATTAACGGAACTTATGCTCATCGGCTACGGCTAGGTCAGTGACATAGGGTGAGGTTGGGAGAGAGTCCGCAGTCCACGATGGAAAGGTCGTGGGGCCGTAGGCGGCCGATTCTGGCGGCATCCCTTTCACGGTTAGACTCTGCCAGGGCGGTCAGTGAGACGCGCCTTAACCCAACTTCCCGACACGTATCACGATTCTAGTGAATATATCAAACTTGCTGTTTGAACAGTACTGTTCTCTCTTTTCTTCCTTCATCTCCCAGCCAATGCCCAGGACGTCTTCCGAACTACTCTCCTTTCCGTGTGTCCCGACGTAGGGCACATTAATGGGAATTCAATTGCGTACTTGAGCCTGGATTGCGGGTCAATCATTGGGCGGAATGGAAGCCATAACCAAGCTTCTTGACACGGGCGCTAAGATCCTACAACAAGTGCCGCTGTCGCTCCTTCTGTTGTTCCTTGCGTTCACCGGCCTCGGTGGTGCTATTCTGGTACATTCATCCTACCTCTCTCGTGCTTACTAGAATTAACGCGTGACCATATACAGCTCTACCTTGCTCTCTTTATTGTAGCGCCTGTACCACGATCACCGCGAGGATCAGAGAAGGGATACAAGACCATATTACCCGATGGAAAGCGCAGTGAAGTCAAGCAGCTGCCTTGTTGGATCGATTCCTGGAATGCGAGGAAACAGCTTGCCCGGCGGAAAGGCGTGCCGCTGGACCCCAAAGAGCAGATGGAAGAGGCGGAGGTATTTATGAGTGTGGTCGTACCGGCATACAACGAGGAAAAGAGGCTAGGGGGCATGTTGGAGGAAGCTGTGGATTTCCTCCAGCGAGAGTACGGCGATGCTCATAGCACCCCGGAGAAGCCTCAGGGCAAGGGTCGGAATAACACCCTCCAAGCAACGAGGAGGGGATGGGAAATTCTGGTGGTGTCAGATGGCTCGACAGACAGCACTGTAGACCAAGCTCTGGACTTTGCGCGAGAACACCAGCTTTCTCAGTACCCTGTTCCTGTTCCTGGACCACGCACACCTCACCCTATACATTCGACCCATATTCCTCATGGCTCGATTCGAGTGATCACGTTAGAAGAGAATAGAGGTAAAGGAGGAGCTGTCACACACGGAATGCGACACGTGCGCGGCCAATATGCCGTCTTCGCTGACGCCGACGGCGCAAGTCGATTTGGGGACCTTGCTAAACTGGTCGAGGGATGCCAAAGCGTTGAAGACAAAACAGGCAGAGGCGTCGCAATTGGCTCGAGAGCTCACCTGGTTGGAAGTGAAGCTGTTGTAAAGGTATGTTCCCTAAGACTACCCATCTACGACCTGACGAAGCCCTAACTTTCCCAGCGCTCCAAACTCCGCAACTTTTTGATGCATTCATTCCATTTCCTACTGCGCCTTATGACACCTCCGGCTACTTCTTCAATCAAAGATACTCAATGTGGTTTCAAGCTCTTTTCGCGCGCATCGTTGCCCTTCATCATTCCGTACATGCACTGCGAGGGCTGGATCTTCGATGTCGAAATGCTCATGCTCGCGGAAAGCGCCAACATAGCCATGATCGAGGTAGCAATTGGTTGGAAAGAAGTTATGGGGAGCAAATTAAACGTCGTCTGGGATTCTCTAGGCATGGCTTGGGGTTTAGCGATTTTACGCGCAAGTTGGGCATTTGGGGTATATCGCAGGAATTAGATCTTCTGGGCGCATCAATTGGACTAGTTATAGAAATCGTAAGGAGTTGACTTGATCTTTCACCGTCACGTGATCAGTCAATGTGCTGACTCAGACCAGCAAATAAGGATTATGAATCCTCACAATAAGCCTTAAGACACTTCAAATTGAGTCAAGTCATATTTCCATCACGTGTTGTCTAGTAGACGGCATATTTATTCACTCTATCAAAGAGTCCTGCTAATTCAGCAGCCGAGCAATTAGGCATTCTCACCCAAGTCAAAGCCTTTCAATACTGAAACTTCTTCCCGCTCTTCTCAATCGTCTCCAAGGAGAGCTGGAAATCCTGCCAAACTTGAAGAACAGTGTCCAGATGATCGGCTCTTAACTTCTTCTCCTCCGACACCGCCAGCGTGCGTGCCGTATTGACCGCATTCGAGATCTCGCGGCCATTCATCTCAGGCTTCGCAAACTTCTCAACGCAGGAACCGATATCGATCTCCGCCTCCTCCTTTGGCAGCCCAGCAAGCTGTTGCGCCCACAGCTGCTTGCGGCGTTCGACATCCGGGGCATCGTATTGCAGCGCCAGATGGATACGGGAGCGAATAGCGCGGTCAAAGACTTGCACTCGGTTGCTCGTCAGGAACAGGATGCCCTGGAAGTACTCGAGCTGTCGTAGGAACACGGCGACAAGGTTGTTCTGCGCGAATTGGTCGCCGGGCCCGCTTTGGCGCTCCTCGAGGAAGACGTCGGCTTCGTCGATGAGCACGATGGCGTGCCAGATCGAGGCGTAAGCGAGATGGCGCTTGAGTTCTCTTGAGATGCCGTCGCCCCAGCTGCCAAGCTCACCGGTGGATATCTTGAGGAGGGGTCGTTTGGTGTGCTCTGCTACGAGTTCTGTGGTTCGAGATTAGCGTGTGATGTTTAATACTGACTGATTCAGTACCAAGACAAAAGTTTGGGCACTCCTCGCAACTGCTTGGGATACCCCGATAGGCTTTTAGCACTCCACATACGATGTCAAGGCAGCGCAGTGGAGTTTAGACTACCTTATGACGAAGCCAATGCCTGCTAGCTGGGGTACTCCTTACATTGGTGTCGATCGAGCAAGAGTGGAGCCGGAACTGTGATAAATGCGTGTGCCTGAACTAATGACCTGGCACTGTAGAAAGATTCTTACCAGCTGTGAGTGTCTTTCCGCTTCCTGGCGAGCCGTGCAGCAACAAGATCAGCCCTTTGCCCTTCAAATGGGCCTCATCTCGCGCTTGGTCGGGGAATCGGTGAGAAGTGACCAGTGATCGAATCAACCTTCGCTGCGCATCAGGCAGAATAAGTCTATCCATCGCGTTTTGCGCCCATTCGATATCTTCAAGGAAGTCGACAAAGAATTTGCACCTGCGTCCCCCATTAGCCAGTTAATTTCCGTAGGTTGATTTGTGCCACAAACCATTCCTTCATATCCAGATTGAAGCCATAGACATATGGCGGACAGAGCAAGGGATCCGCTTCGGGATTCTGTGGGCCCGTAGGCTCGCGCTGGTTGGGGTCTTTGTGGTCGTCGCAGCATGCCCATTCTTCCTTTTGGGATCGCAACTCCTCGACGAATGTTTTGCAGTCGACGACAACTCGACCTGCCGCCGATCGAGGAAGCCATATCCCATCGTAATTGGCTCTCTCATCGTAGTGGTCGTAGGGAGGTGTCTTCAAAAACATAAATAGCCTCCAAAACGTTAGCAGCCAGCCTAATAGTGGGCTTATTATTCTTACCCTTCGTAGTTGAAGCTTTGGACCCCACGGATCTTAAGATAGCGTTCGCCACGCTCAATGAGACTCTGTTTGATGCTTTCTTGTTCGTCGCCGAGGTAGTGGAAGGGGAATGTGGATAGTGCGGTGATGCTCGAAGGGCTGATACCGACGAACTCCTGCTTCTCCCAGATCTTGAGATTCACCTGGTAACTCGTCAGTGGATATGCAACGAGAGTGGAACGCCCTAGCTCACGTTCGAGGTGCCAACCCGGCTTCCATCACAGCTAGTGTATTCGCAGGTCAGCTCGAAGAACTTCCCAGACGAGCACTCCGAGTCCTGGTAGCCGGTTTTCGTCAGACGATAGAGGCGCTCGTGATTGTACTCTTTGGTGTAAACGAGGTCTCCAGGTTTGAAGATGACCCAAAGGAGGTCAAAGGTAATCAGCCTGCCCTCTGTATAGATAAATGATTAGCGATGTTAATTCAATTGAGGTTCTAGGGCTTACTGTCAAGCCTCTTAGCCTCCAGACCCTTGTCTCCGGCCTCGTTCTCTAGAAAGTCTAACAAGAGATTGACGTGCTTGTTGGCCTCCTCGTCACTAGCCTCCTCTCCCCATTGAGTTATCTCTTCCACATGATGGTTGAGTAGCATGAACGGCGAATCAAACGAGACGCTTTGGTCGAAGTGCAACGGCTCGGCCGGGTAGTACTCGACCACCTCCTTCAAGCAAGCCAGAAGATGAGGCGAGTAGACATCGACAATCGTCTTCTCGAGCTTATCTTTCTCATTGAAGACTTGTTTTGCAACCAATGCGTATTCATTGAACACACTCTTAAGAGAGGAAAGGTACTCGTCTTTTTCCTGGACCTCACCATCGCCCTTCTGGGCCAGACTCTTGATCTCGCATTTCGAGCCTTTGGGGGCCTTTGGTGTTTCATCCACCTTCTTCTCTTTGGCGGTACCGTTTTCTAGCTTGGTGACTTCTTCCGAGGCGACGCCGTTCTCGGTAGAACTAGCTGGGGTGCTCGTTTCGACAGCCATGGTGGGATAGTGGGTGCAAGTTTCTTCGTAAGGGCGGAGGAATCTGCAGTCGTCTTACTCGAGTTGCGCGCCACAAATATTGCGGCGTGAGTCGGTCAAGATATAGTGGACGAAGTGGGTCACTAGAAGAAGGCAAACCTCAGCTGGTGTTGCTGCCTTGCTAGGGCGGCCTCCTTGATTGCTGGAGTGCTCGAGCTCAGCCCGTATCAGCCGCGCAATTGGCTGAAGCTAGATGGTACCTTGCGCGCCTAGTATATCAATATATCAATTCACGGTGAACAACCCGTAGGCATAATTTTCACAGGGGCTAAATTAATGCTACTCAAGTTGGTGAGCAGTGTGCTACGGAATCCGGTCAACGTTCAGCCGCTCTCGTGGAGAATTTCGAGCCTTTCCCAAATAGTGCAATGTGCTGTCTGAATATAGCTAGCGGCCCCATGATACGTTTGTGAAAGTCGACCCACAGGATTACATCACATCGGATCCTACGAGGCATATTCCAACCGAGAGAGCCACAAAACCATAGGAAGAGACATCCATTCTACCGACATGCTGGGCCCTTCACTAGAATAGTCTCGAGTCGCGAGCCCTTCAGAGACCCCCGTCATCCTCAAAACACATAATCTTTACGTCTCCTACGCGCCCATGTCATGTGCTGTGCTATTCGTCAATTGCCGGGCCAGGTTCCAGCTCATGACCGCCCTCCATCAGGGTGACGGATAAGCCTTGGAGATATACCGGTCAGTTGAGATTCAAGAGCTCGGGAGAATATGAACGTCTGCCATTGTGATCAACAGCTCTATAAAAATATATTTCCGAGCTTTGGATGGCAGCCTTAGTGGTAGGAAGTAGTTTTGTATGTCAGACGACTAGAGCAATGGATTCTAATATCCGCCTTTGATGGGTTAATGGAAAGTTTAAGGGATCGAACAGTTGTAAGGAACAAAAAGAGAAGATAATCGCGTGGTGATAGCAGAAGACATCTAGGCGGCGTGGTAATGGATTCGGAGAGATATTGCGCCTCACTGTGGTAGACCTCAAATGAATCCTCCTTTTAAGGCCCATATCGATCCAACCGCTTAGCGGCACTAAAAGGGTTTTGAAGAAGTACTACAAAGCCGAGTGAAACCCGAAGCCTAAAGCCTCTTTAGGAGCACCATGAGTTATGGACGTGACGCAAACCTTGAGATGAGTACGAGGCATTAGTAGGCGCTTTAAAACACCTTATGCTAACTGTGGGTATCTACCACCTTTCAGTAGCCAACTCCTGAACAAAATGCAACACGCTCTTCTATTCAATACCGTTTGACCTTGGCCGTTAAACTTGAAATGCCACCCCTTGTCTCTTCACCACGTTCTTGCCTCCGCCTGCGAACCCCGTTCCCTCACTCCTGATTTCTACCAGACCTGGTTTGAGACCTCGCTCCTTGTCCTTCTTATGTTCCTTGCCATGCTTTGCCTTCTTCTGCTGTGGTGTAGTCAAGTCTGCGTCGCAGACATAGCAGTGTATTGTTTCCGGTTCAGGATCCTCGTCGTGAGCATCGCGATGATGCCGGTGATGTGGCGTCATGAATTTTGCTACGCATGGTTTGCACAGTACGTGGCCACATGGTATCGCTAGACACGCTTTTGTGGAGTTTGTGAGTGCTTTCCGACAGCTGGGACAGCTGGGGACAGACCCACCGTCGGACGACATCTCCTTGGTGAAATGTACTGCGGTGAGTGTTTTGAGAGATATGTCATGGGGAGAGGAGGTGCTCGAAGCTGGACACGTCGGATTGTGCTTTCGTAAGGCGGAAGTAGTGTGGTTAGATGATGGGGTCTCCGAAGGGACCCAGAAGGAGGGCAAATGTGGATGAGCCGCTCTCTGTCTTAGATGTAAGCATTTTACGCCCCTAAAACTTCCAAGGCCTCTTGGCAGTTGTGTTGATCAGGGAAGTGGCGTACCCTTTCCTCATCTAGAGCCAACTTTGCTCGGCCTCTCTCCTCTTTCGCAATGCGCAATAGCTCCTCCTCGTCGATCTCGAACTTCCGCTTCTTGCCTCTCCCTTGCTCCGGGGTTTCATCGTCCTTGAGGTCCTCGACTTTCTCTACAACGACCTTTCCACCTTCGCGCCCAATGACCTTTCCGCCAGCTCCAATCTTGACTTCGAGTCCCATCTGCACGGCCTCAAAATCCTTCACAGCTCTCTCCCTAGCCTCATCATCATCCTGCGCCTTCTCCTCCTCATCTTCTTTCCTCTGCTTTTCCAAATCTTTCTCCAGCCGTTTGATTTCCTTCCGCTGTGCCAGCAAATTGTTCATGGCGCACTCGCGACAAAAAAGGTCACCGGACGGGCATGTTACTGGGTCGACGGCAGGAAGGAGGCATAGTTGACAGGATCCGAAGGTCAAGAAAGAGTCTCTGGAAAGGCGTGTCGACTGTGAGCCCCAGGTTGATTTGAGTTCGGCGCGTTCATGGGAGGTGAAGAAGGCAAGAGACGTGTTGCGCTCTGAGTAACGTTAGTAGAGTACCAATGCCGACATGTAGGTTCTTGAACGTACTGCTATGTGACATGGCACGAGAGTTGATAGTTCTATCGTATTGTAGGAAGCAAGTAGAGCATGGGGATGTTCACTAAAGAAAGTGGTATTTCACGAGGCCACTTAGCGCACGGGCCTCACTCTGAACGTCATTTCATCCGCGCGTCCTGATTGTTCTCAACATCTTTTCTTCACTAACACCACATAGGTTGATATATTCTCACATCAGACTAATACAAAAGACCAAACCGCCACGAAAATGCTCTGTTCTCAGATGCCCTTGACTACCAAGCATGTCTCGAAACACCATTCAAGTCCTGATGCGTTTCAATCAAGACCGATATTCTCGAAGTCATCCGATCCGGGGTCGTTGACTTCGATTTCCCGATGTACTTTGAAGGAAGTATTTTCAATCGGGTCGTTCTCCTCTTTCTTCGGCTCTTCGAGCACAACAAACACCTCCGATAGCTTCTTGAGCTTCTCAATTCTCGTGCCGGGAACCTTCAGTGGCGCGGCATTTGGTCCATGCCACACCTTCAGCTTTCCTAGCGGGCTCTCCGGGCTGTACTCCTGTGCTGCCATCCAAGCCTCTTCTGCGCGCTTGAACACGCTCTTCACTTGCCAGTTTGTACCGGCCATTTCTTGTGCAGATGCCACTGCTTCCGTAGCTCTAAAATGAGTCAGAAATAAGCCTCATAGCCCAAGATGTCAAGTTCAAGAACCAGAAATAAACATACCTCGAGACATAGATATGCCCGTCTCGCCATTCCGGCTTGTGGAAATCAATGCTCATGGTCCTGATATCCTCTTCCGTCCTAGGCGTTCCGCGAAGCGCCGTAGCGGTCTCCGAGAGCATGCCTGCATTGGTCCGGAACTCGTAATGGCCGAAGAAGTATAAAATTGCCAATTCTCGAGTTCCTGCCTCAGTCCAGGGCTCCCCCTCGTGAGAACGACGCTCTTCTGGGAATAAGATGTTTCGCAAGCGGCCATCACGTGTCTTGGCCATGTCATTGCGCTGGCGGCCTTGCGAAGTATCTGTGATCCTAGTCAGCCCTATCGAGATCTGGAATGGCTTCTCGAGTATCCTACGTGTTTGGTTCTCTGGTACAGCCTCCTGCTGGCCGTCATCCTCTTTCGCAAAGGCACGCTGAACTTTCCTCCTCAATCCTTCGAACATTTTCTCAGAGTCCGTTTCGTACTCTTCCGGGATATTTTCCAAGCGTTGCGTGGGTTGCTACTTATATGGCTAGACCTTCAGGTTGTTGGAGATGTTAATATCTTCAAGGGCGTCGTACAAACTCTCCAGCTGCGCCGAGGAAAGATGGGGTTCCATTGTAGTTATAGGATGGTGGTGGTGTGGTTTGCGGGTTGGCAAGTTTGCAGAGAAAACACGATGCTGGATTGCATATCGGGACTTTATACCAAAGTTTCGTCGATGGCAAGAATTCACTCCCTGGTAAACAAGTCTACGAGTTGATCGTCGAACGACCTCCAAGTCGTGGGTGTAGACCTAGATTTTCAACTAATACATTTAGGTAGAAGAGAGCCGATGCCCTTCCTTAGCTACATCGCCTTCAACCCTCCCACCAACCCCAAGCTCGGATAGGCCCTACTGAACAGTATACTTTTCCTCTGCGACGACGATATTTTTAGAGCGCTTTTGACTCCGGAAAACCATCAAATCATTTCGATTCCATACCCACAGCAAAATGCCAGGCTGCCTGGATGGCCAAGAGCGCTCTTTGGGTTCTGCTCCTTGGCTAATTTCCAGATTTTCTTCACCTTGCGAAATACGTTCTCGACTTGTAGATCGTCTGATAACATATCGTGACAATTAGCAGCCGCCTTGGTCGTACTAGAACACGTTAGAAATGCTCTAGCATTCAGCTGGCTAATAAATTCCACGTAGGAGCAACATACCGCTTGACGATGTAATGACCGTTCTTTCTCTTCGGCTGCCAGAAGTCGCGTATGAACTCTCGGATGTGCTCCTTCGTCCGAGTGGTTTCTCGCGTTGCGGCCAGGATGTCGGAAATGATCTCAAGGTTCTTCCGAAACTCTAGAGGGCCGAAGAGGTAGAGCACGGCGAGGTCTCGAATCTCTAGGTCACTCCACCGTCCATCAGAGTTGGTTTAAGGCACTTCCAGCTCTTCGTCCGAGTCGGTATCTGAGCTCGTGCCGTTATTCTCAGTCTCTTCTGCTGCGCCATCCTCATTTGATAGACGCCCGTGGAGCTTCCTAAGCTTTTCTGAGATCCCCGATACCGAGAAGTCCATATCAACGTCCTCTGGCCCAACCACTAATCACTTTTCCTCGTCCGGTGCACTGGAAACGTCGATGTTTTGAAGGTCAATGTCTTCGAGATCCACGTGCTGGAGAGCGTATTATACAGTTGACGGGCCGTCCCAAGAAGAGGAGGATCCATGGCTGCAATTACAGGAACTAAGTGGTGATGTTTGCGAGTTTGTAAAGAGATGCAGGAGGTTGAATTGTCTATCCCCTATTTATACCTGTTTCCTCCAGGAATTCAACTTTCTTACATTTGGTTTTACTGATTTGCTGGATTGAATTAACAGTGAATGTTGAATTCAGTCTCTGACCACCACGCTGGGAGCTTAGGATCTAAGTTCACCGCTCGGTGATTTCTACAGATTCACTCGCAAGGGCCTTTTCGTGGCTTATAGCGTAAGGAGTGGTCCATCACCATGACAACAAACACTCCATCGCTTATTAGGGGGTAGAAATATATTCACGGTAAAACGAACACCAACTGTGGTGACAGAGAGCTAGAGATCTTCAAGAGTATATATGTATGTGCAAGCTTATCGAATGTGTTTGACTTCAAGATATCAAGCGGTTAGATAGGATAGGTTTGTCTGCAACATCTCAGTGCGAAATTGATTCGGAGCTCAGCCTCAGCCAAACAACACTCTAGGGTGAGACAATACATCTTGCTATTCTAGCAGGCTCTGTTACTACTGACTCCCATCAGCTTTGTTCCCTCATGTCTACAGCTATCGGGTGCACCCACTTCATTACTTCACCATGATATCGTCCGCCCAATGCAGATCTTCCTACGATAGACGAATGGCGCGCTTCCATGTTGCATGAAATCGCTCTACTTTCACAAGGCAGAGAGCATTTATATGGACCTCTAAATCCTAGGATCAGGACATAAGTTTTGAGCAGCCCATGCAGTTGCTTGGGGCACCCCAATAGGCTTTTGAAACTCCAGATACAGTGTAAGGGTCGATGCAGTCGGAATTATATTACCTTGTGACTAAGATCATACTTGCTAACTGGGGTACTCCTCACAGTGGTATCAAGCGAGACGTCAGGTAGGCGAATGGTCGGATTCAAAGTAGCTTTGAAGTCTTTAGTGTGCTATCGAGCTACTACCTGATGATGTCACTACTGGCAGTGGAATATGGCAGTGAAGAGCGTCCGCAAGCCACGGACGGGGGATTGCAGCGAGTGAGGGCGATGGCGAGCCTCTCGGGTAAACGCAGTTTCATCTTGTTTTAAATTACTAGGTTACTTGAGGAGTCTTAATGGCGCGTCGAACGATTGCCTACATTTGTCAAAAGGGGCTGGTGAGTACCAGAGGGCCACCTCTAATCATCCTCATCAGAGAAATCTACACAGCCTCAGGTCCGCTTAGGTGTCCCACAATCGTTAGATTCATGCTCCCTGGGCCCACGCCTGGTTGCCAAGGTTCTTTTAACAAAAAATGATAGTCTACGAATCTGTGATTATAGTATAGGACTTCCTATACTTTAGATACACACCCACTGTAGGGCCAATTACACCTGTCTGGCACCGCTTGAGGCTCTCCAGTATGCTATTTATGGATCGGAAAACGTCAATCCTGACCCGCGGGATAGCTCTTCGAACCACTGCCAGCTCCTGTTCAACGAATCTTGGTTGTAGGGGCCCCATTTCCGTTTCTTTCCTCCTTTGCTGGAAAAGCCATTAGTTCGAAACGCTTACATGCGCCATGGCTCGTGCAATTCGTGAATGCCTTCGAGATCAGCAAATACCAACACCGAGATCAGCGTAATCGGTCCGGGGCGTTTAACATAGAACTTGGTGTGCATTTAGAGCTTTGCCAGGAGTAATGTTTATATAAAATTTGCGCAACCTTTCACAATATTTTATGTCAGACTTCGTTCCTCATCTCTTGTGAAAGTGCGAGCAAATCCATTTTGAACTTGTCTATACTCAGGGTTTCCGGCCTACGTGCCTAGCCAATTACAACTTCTACAGAGAGGGGTTGGGGTACGGTGGCCTACCCTGCCTACCGCTGCCTACTGCTGCCTCTAATTAGTACTTATGCCTACGCTCCCTATGTAGTATATAGTCTGCTCGTACGGCTTCACAAATCAAACAGAGTTCACGTCAATTTGCAACCTAAGTTCTATCATCTATAGCGTGACTCTCATTCTCGATATTCTCTCGGCTGCAATGAGAGCTCTCGTTGCTATTCTCCTGCTAAGCCTGCAGACTCGCTGGGTCCGTGGACTCACAACTCCGACATTGAAAGGTTTGCATTTGGCTTTCTTCTATCTTCTCATTAGTACACCTCAGCCAGATTTCCGAAAATATATCGAAGGGATCCAAGCAGTGTCAACCATGTGTGCGGTAACAGATCATCTGTGCACACTCATTTGCCACTGCTTGGAATACTCCCGTTGATGCTCAAGATTCTAGGCGCGATGTTGGCTGGCCTACTGGCGAAGGGGCTGCTCCTGACAGGGGTGTCTAGCTTCCAAAGTTCCACTCAAACAGAGCTGATTTCGGCTACAGCGCGCTATCATCGTCCGGAAGGGGTTGAGCTTCTTGATGACGAGTACATCGTTCTACTACGTCCCGGTTATACAATAGAAGCGGATTGCGAATGTATCGGGCGAGACTTGCAAAAGGACCGCTCTTTCCACCATCTTGACTCCATCAACGGATACACTGCCCAACTAAATTCGAACACAGTTCACGACCTTATTCGCAATGACCCAGGAGTTCGCCTTGTTGAACATGGCTTCAAGGTTCAGAATGTTCAACCTGTGCGTACAAACTCCAGCGAAAACGTCGACGACGCGTCTCCTCGTGCGAAGAGTAAACATACCAAGAGGTGGGATATCCACCATCTCCAATACTATTGGTGGCATAATATACAAATATCAGTAGAGCAGAAAATTGACCCTCTCCCTGATTCGGGAAACGTTGTGAGTAATGTCGCTGTCTCGAGAACTTCTGATAAAGTTGAATGAATTGACATATGCGCCTAGGACGTTCTCAAAGGAGCAGGTACAGGAGCTGTGATCTACGTATTTGATACCGGGATCCAGATTGATCATGGATGGTTCAGGAAGGACCAGGCTAGGGATTTTAACCTTCCTGATCCTAGCCAACCGTCCTTCGCATATGAGGACATGGTAGGCTTTTCAAGCTATCTGAGTGGACCCAGAGAGGACGCAATGCTGACTGGTTGGACAGAAAGACCACCACGGCCATGGTATACATGTAGGGCTACTTGAACTTACTCTTCCTGACCAAAGTAGCTAATATCTTGTTAGGTCGCCGGCATCGTAGTCCAGGCAGCGCCCTGGTCGATAGTTGTCAACGTGAAGGCTATGAATGGGGATGGAGAAGGAGAGTACCCGGGTACCTTGCGTGGTACGTTCTCTTGCCTATTTCTACACTCTTACGTTAAATGTTGTTCTAAATCTAAGAAATAGCCTTGAATGATGTTATTACCGAACACAAAATGTCAAAGCCAAAAGGTAGGCTCACTCCCAGATTAAAATGTGGAATCTTCATTAATTAGAGTTTGGTAGCCCGATTGGTGGCGAGGTTCCGTGATCAACATGTCTCTCGCAATACCTAGGGCTCAGGAAAGCACGGAGGATGCCCTCAGGCCAGCCCACGACGCGGGAATACCAATAGCGGTGGCCGCAGGAAATAACAACGAGGATGCATCAAATACGATGCCTTGTAGATAAGTGGAACCCCACGTTGCTTAAATTTCTACAGTACTAGGAGGCCATCAGTCTGGGCATAAAGATAGTACCGCTTGATTGCCACTTTTGAAAGCTAGGTACCACTGCCAGGAGCAACTCCGTTGCCGTGAAGCGTTTCAGTCAAGAGGCAGCGCATATCCCGCTGTCTGAAACTTGACATCGCGCCTAGAATTTTGAATACCCCTTGAGGGCACCCCTGGCAGTGGCAAACGAGTGTGGACAGACTTATGGCCTGTCGCTGTAGCTGTGAGACTCTGGCTTAAAATTACAATAGATACTCCGAATCAGTCGTATGCATTGCTGCATGTACTAGATTCTACACCAAAGCAGATTTCTCCAATTAAGGCTACGATGTCGCAGTAATCGCACCGGGAAAGGACATCATGTCTGCAAAGCTGATCGACCAGCCTGGCTGGCCGACTGGAACCACAATGTCGGGAACGAGGATGGTCAGTCCCTTCATGGCCGGTTTGATGGCCATTTCCGTATCGGGGGAGAAAATCACCTCGGACAAGCAGAAAGTCTATTCGATTCTTGACGGCAACACCATCGGGTCAATCATTGACGGTTTCAATCCGGGTACAGTCAATAAATTGGCCAATAGCGGCATACACGCCTACAATCGGGGGGATGGGCCTTACGCGGGCCCCCCCATAGTCTCTCCGGATTTCAACCCCCAGGGCGGTGACGGTAGGTTCCTTACCCCGAGACGCTCCTTAACCAGAGATCTGAGTTCACGTGCTGGCCAAATGGCAGGCGCGACAACTTTTAAACTCTTACTGACTTCTATCCGTAGACATCCCAGGCGTACCAACGGGGCCACTACCAGCTTCCACTTACAACTTGGAACCATTCCTCGTTATCGTCGACCTCCCTACTCCAACGCCTACGGGTACTCCAACGCCTACGGTTCCGGCGGACTTCAATTGCGATTGCGGCGAAAGTGGGTGCTCGCTAGATAGTATGCCATGCTGCGCGAATGGGAGCTGTCAGTGTCATTGTGGTGAAAGCGGCTGCCTGCGCGGAGGCTCTTCTAGAGTCGAAAACGGACACAGCGCGGGGTGCTCCTCGTCCAAAACTGTAACAACTATTTGCGTTATTTAGTGAAGCTATGATGCTAGGCTCTGCTTTCAATATTCTCGCTCCCTTCATACTTCTGTGACGAGGACCCTGACCAGCATATCTTTAGAGAAATGCAAGGTAACCTAACATCCACTGCATTTACTGTTTATATCAGGTAATAATAGATAATTCTAGGTGTGTAGATACAGTATTACTCAAGCTCTACTACTATACCAGGATAAAATTGCCACTCGGGTAAGAGGATACGGGCTTGCGACTCCAGTCAAATGTAGTATAATGGTCATGGTCACTTCGATTAGGCTTCCCAGTTTCAATCTATAGGATTTAGCTAACATTCCTCTCGTGACCCTTTTTACCCCTAGATACACCACCCGTGCTCTAATTAACAAGTCAGGCTGAAGGAGACATCTGAAATGACCGTAAAGTAGTCATGCCACATTATAAACTGATCGCCGCCTGCGTGGACGTGATATAACGAACATATATCCGTCCCTAAGCCATCTATCCCAGATAAACGCTTAGTGGAACGAAACAAGCAACAAGCCCCCCAACCATCCATCATCTAAATCAATACACACAATAAAGAGTACCACAGAACATACTTACAAACATTGATACTGTGAACCTTCTTTTACGAAATCATCTCGTTTCCATTTCACGGTACTTAAGCATCGCTCTTCCGTACCTCCGCCCTCCACCTCTTCCCCAACGCCAACACAGTCAACCCACCCCAAACAATCCACCACGTCCCTAACACCGGCAAACTAGTCACTAAAGTCGGATTCGGCCCCCCCGCCCAAATATCAAGCAGCATCAAATACACATTCCGCGCCGGCAGCGCCCACGCCCACCGATAAAACCCCGGCACCACCTCAAACGGACTGACCGTACTCGTAACATTCATAATAATAAAGGTGAGCACAACCGCCGGTACCGCAGGCACCGGGGCGACCGCGAGCACCGCGTCGAAGAAGAGGCAGTAGATGTGCATAGCCAGCCACAGCAGCAGCCACGTGAGCGCGAATTCTTTGCCGTAGATGGGCATATCTTCCTTGAAGATCCAGATGTAGCCGGCCATCATAACAGCGCAGCAGGCGGTGTAGAGCAGGGTGATGATGAGACGGATGAAGGTGACGGTTTTGAAGGAGGGGTGGGCGAGAAAGTAGGCTTGAGCCGAGACGGCGTTGAGACCCATGAGGAAGAAGAATTGGGGGAGGATAGAGAGGGGCGTGAGAATTGTGTTGATGAAGTTCTTAGAGGCTTGCGAGGCGGGGAGGATATTGATGCTGGTGGTGCCGAGGGGGTTGAGGTAGGCGCGGAGAGCAGAAGAGTCGTTGAGAGGAGGTGGGGAGGTGATGTTGAGGGTCAGTCGAGCGGTTGCGACGACTTGGTGGATTGAGTTAAGGATTACTGAGGCGGCGAAGGAGGGGTAGCGGGCTTCGTTCCAGACGTAGGCGAAGGCGTCATCGGCATTGTATTCCTGTGCAGCTGTGCCGCCTTGGAGCGCAGCGCGAAGCCTTGAGGAGGCGTCAGGTGTAGAGTAGATCGCGGCCCAGTAGTGATGATGTTGAACGGATTTGAAAATGTCTTCGGAAGTACTGTATTCGACGACATTCTTCGTTTCGAATGTTGGAAATGTGGGTTGTTCTAGGAGAGCATACGCTTCTAGCATTGCCTGCCAAACCATACCGCCGTCGTGATCGATCATGAGAATTTTGAACGCATGATACTTGCTGGCTTGCTGGTAGGATGCCCCAAGGAAATATGTCATGTTGCCAAACACGAGAAGTATCATGGTCAAAGCAACTACACTTGCCATGATAGCAAGCTTGCGAGGCTTAAAGCCTGGGGGTTCGGGCTTGTTATCAGGGGGTTGGCCATAGTTGGAGTCGTCATCAGATCCCAATGTTGATGCCTTTCCAAAGGATATCGACGACAGTTCGATAGGGTAGTTCGCATAGTCTAGAGGTTGGAATATGAGTAGAGCAGAGTTACGAATGGAAGACTCGTGCTTGGCGTGATCAGTCTTTTCAGGAATGCTCTCTAAGTGAGACAACATGATGAAGGAAATCTTTTCGTAATTTTGAAGTGTGAGGATGAAATTTTGGGATCAAAATCGCTATGAAGATGAGAGTAAGGAAACACATGTTAGGCAGCAGGTCCTCATCATCCTCTGCTGTACTTGCCGGAGTAATCCGAATAATCCTTTCAGCTTGTCGGCGGAGTATAGGCGCCGATATAGCGAAGTGTTACCATGACAGATGACCCCGAGTTGCACAGAACCAGGTTATAGATGTCCTTCCACGTATAATGAAGTTATCGTGTCGAGATGCAGTCCCGAGTCTTACATGAGCATGGCTGTGCTGATGCTACAGCAGCAACCGGTGAGGGTGGATGTTTCAAGAAAGAACAGTGGTGTTGTATGTTCAAGTGTTCGAGGATCGAGGAAGAGGGTTTAATGGTCCGAGCTGCGGCACGTGGTCTGAGCCGCTGGCTACGTAACGCCTCAGGCCTCCAAACTTTTCGCCGCGCATGCAGAATCAACTCCGTTCCTCACCTCTCTCCAATGCGCCCGGAGGAGCAGCCCGCCAGCCCCAGCCTGCCATGGCGCACGAGCTCGGTCTTCACCATGGCCGTGGTGGGCCTCCTTTCACGCGGGTTTCTATACGGCTTGAGCAGGACGGAGACCCATGGCCTTGACAGGTTTCTAAAGCTCCTGGACGAAAGGAAGGACGTAGAGGGAAGGCAAAGAGGTTTGGTAACAGGTGTGTCAGGCTAATTCTACTTTTTTATTGGTCTGACTCTGACTTTATAGTTTCTAATCACGTCTCTGTGTACGTATGTTGACCCTCTGGCATTGCGACCTCCTTGCGACAGATCTCGCTGATATTTTGCGCCGCAAAGACTGGATGATCCTATGATATGGGGAACTTTGCCAATCCGATACTTGTTCAATCCCGACAACCTGAGATGGGGTCTTGGGAGCTACGATTTATGCTTCACGAACAAGTACGCTTCAGTCCCCGGCCCTTTAGTGCTTCGCTGATGCCTTGACAGGGCCCTTTCGACCTTCTTCAATCTCGGACAGGTGCTTCCTACGCATCGTTCCCTCCATTCGAAGTTTGGAGGCCTGTTCCAGCCTACGGTGGCTCAAGCTATCCGTTTGCTTTCCGCAGGGCCTTTCCACCCCAATGACAGCGCGACCAAGGCAAACAAATCATTCAGGAGCCCCGACATTTCCGACCCTTTCTCGAACGGACACCTTACCTTCTCCACGAATGGCACCGACACATTCCCTTCGCCCTCCGCGTATCTCAGTCGAAAACACAGCTGGGTGCATATATTCCCGGAAGGCAAGGTGCACCAGCAAGAGAATCACACCATGCGTTACTTCAAGTGGGGTGTCTCGCGCCTGATTCTGGAGAGCGAACCGTGCCCAGATGTGGTACCAATATGGATTGAAGGGCCACAGGAGGTAATGCATGAGAGCAGGGAATTTCCGCGCTTCTTACCTCGCCCTCTCCGCGACGTGAGCATCACATTTGGCGACAAGTTAGACGTGGAAAAGGTGTTTGGGGATCTGCGTGCGAGATGGAAGCGACTGCATCAGCGAGATATTGGACCTGGACCGGAGGGCAAGCCCGAAATGGGCGTTTTGAGCTCTGCATTGAAGTACGCGGACGAAGCTGTCGAACTGAGGAAGGAGTGCACGGTGCTGGTGAGGAATGCGGTCTTGAATGTCAGGAGGCAGAGAGGGTGGCCAGATGAGGATCCCAAGGGTGGCTTGGCCGAGACCTACCGCGAGGAGGGAGTAGGGAAGATTGAGGGGCAGATGAAGGACGGGAGCTGGATCAAGGACACGTGAGTATTGGGACCATGCATCGCTGTATAAACACTGTACACCAGCAACATACCATCGGCTTGGAAAAGGACTCGAGGGCAAGAGTCCAGGGTCGGCTACACTTTGGTAAAAAATGACCATAGATTTCTCGTTTGAGAGTAATGCTCGTGGAACGTGATGTATCAGTCTATGAGCATGCCTATGAACCCAAGACTTCACGCGCTACTGACGCATTGCGCAGAGTTATTGCAAATACGCACAGAACTGACCGCAAGGAGCAATCTCTATTGGACACGTAGGGTACGCGGTGGGGTGCGCGGTGGGGGACATGGTGGAGACGTATTGCTCAAATAAGTTGCAAAGAGTTACAGATCCAACCGCGTGGAGCGATTTTTGCTAGACGCGACGCATATGCGACGTGGTAGGTAATGCGCGTTGAAAACTGGCAATGTTTCCATAACATAGTATCACTGTTGAGTTTCATGATGAGCCACGAGACCTATCACCCGGAAACTGCTCAAAAGGACTCTCAGTCATCTCCGTCATCGGATACGTATCCTTGATTGATTGACAGAAGTATGTACTGTACAGAGCTGTAAGGCTCCAATAGAACAAAGACAGCAGGAAAATAAGAAGGACGTCGAGTAAAAGACAACTCGAGAAATTGAGGCGCATTCTTTGTTGCGCATACCCGATGCCATATGCAGCCAACCACGGGTCTCTGCAGATACAGTAAACGGCTGTCTGCGGGCCTCTACATACAGTAAACGAACGCCAAATGCCATCACCTCAGACTCCCAGACACACAGCAGAGCACACAGCAGCGTTGTCAGATTAGATCAAGTAATTACACCCGCATCGACTGCCGGATCAGGCCCAGCTGGTGCCTGGACGACGACGATACCTCAGCTTCGCGAGAACGGGCTTCGAGCGTCGTCCAGCATGCAGAGGGGAAGAAGAGGCATGCGGTAAGAAGCCGCGGGTTGTCTCGGGAGAAGCTCTATCATCATCCAACACTGCTGCCCCCCGGAAGAGGCGGTTGTGGTGGTGAAATTGCGAGCAGCGGCAGACACTTGGAGGCGGGTGAGGGCTTTGCTTGGCGGCATTCACCCCCTGCTGGTCCAAGGCCCAGTGCAACATTTATACCGGCCTCTGCCCCTCGCTTTGATCTCCCCGACCCATCCAAGAAAAAGCCTCGATCGCCTGCACGCCCCTCTGTCAGCCTCGCCCACCACACAGCGCCGTGAAAAATTACCGCCACCGATTCTCCGGCCTGACTCAGCTATCGATAACGCCCGTTCTCGTCGCCGTACCTGCACCTAAGCCGCCTACGCATATAATTGTGCATTACTGCAACACCGCGTCGCTGTTGTGCACACCGCGCACTCGTTCACTGGGCGCACAGCCGCCCTAGCCGCCGCACCGCCGGCTTTCTTATGGAAAGCCCCGACGCCTCGTGGGCGCCCATAAGCCCGGACCTTTCTGGCTACCACTCCGCTGACCTCGAGCCCGCCGTCCCTCTCCAGCACCAGGGCTACAGAGGCTCCATTTCCCACACCACGCCCTACTCGCCCCCAACCTCCTCCCCCGGCAGCCAGTTCAAGCAGGATCCCTACAAGCCCCAGCCCATGCCGCCGACACTCAAGGACGAGCGCGACGACGATGGCGAGTACTATCCCGACGCCATGGTCGAAGAGAAGCCCTCGCGCGCCCGCAAGGCGAAGCAGGAGGGCAATGGCACCAACAACCTTGTCGGCACCGAGCACATTGAGGTCAAGACCAAGTTCCCCGTCGCACGGATAAAGCGCATCATGCAGGCCGACGACGATGTGGGCAAGGTAGCTCAAGTCACACCTGTTGTTGTTTGTAAGTTTTGGTTTTTCCCATTCCTCCTAAGCCCCACCATACCCACCCTCATTGAGCCTCACTCAATTTTCATCATGATCCTTGCTAACATAGGCTACAGCCAAAGCACTCGAGCTCTTCATGATCTCCCTCGTCACCAAGGCCGCCGTTGAAGCTAAAGCCCGCTCCTCGAAACGCGTCACCTCCGCCCACCTCAAGCAAGCCGTCACCAAGGACGAGCAGTTCGACTTCCTCACCGAGATTGTGTCCAAGGTCGCTGACGCGCCCGCCGCCGCGGAGAAGAGCGAAGATACCGTCATGGAGGGCGAGGGCAAGAAGCGGAAGGGTGGTGCCAGGAAGAAGAGGAAGGCCGATGATGACGATTTCTAGACGTGTTCTGGGTTTCTGTCCCATGCCTTGCAAGGGTTCTTTTGAAGTCCACGGGTGGATGGCTTCAGCGATGGAGCATATCTCGGTACGGTTTTGTTTCTTCGGCGTATGGAGGCAAGGTGTCTGGATATATCCTATGTACAAGCGAGGACGGTGGGCTCTTCGGTATAGGAACGCTGCATACGGCCAGGCGTTCATGGTAGCTTGCTTAAGTCCATATCGGTAGGACTTTGGGAATGCTTGTGCAAAGGGTAATTTGCACTTGCCTGGGAGTTATTTGATATCTTCTAGAATCATTGTCGGTTCTCGAAACACCTACAGAGAAATTCGAATAACTACAAATTTGAACTTTTACCTCATTTGTTAGGTCTCCTACTTGCACATCGAACGGGACAGAAATCTGAAGGGGTACGATTGATGACCAATGAGAGCGCCCTCGAAGTTATCGAAAAGACTGCAAAAACGAGAGAGTCGTCTGCTAGCAATTCATACCCAAAACAAACTATATTAAGAGGTAGGTTCACACCTACAGACCTATGTCATTTTAAAAAGTTGGATATTCCGGACCGTGCAGCGGCATGGTGCATGCCAAGACTCGCCATCTTCATGACACGCCCTGACGCCCACGCTCTCAGACCCCTTCAACCCCTCCAATCCGTCTTCGTCTTCCCTGCTAATTCTTCAATCATGAGCTCCTCTGAAAGCGAAACCATGGAGAGCGAAGACCCCGTAGACGTGTCGCAGCCTATCACGCTTGCTAATCCCAGCGACTTGACTCTCGTCGTTGGCCCCTATGGTCAGAGTATCTACGTATGTAGAGGTGCCTTGTGTCTCGCGAGTCCTGTCTGGAATGCTATGCTCTCGGATAAGTGGGCGGAGAGGTCAGAGAAGGAGGTAGAATTTCCGGACGACAATCCAGAAGCTTTATTGATTGTTTTGGGCATTGCGCACCTCAGATTCAAAGAGAGGCCGAAAGTTCTTCTTTATCGGCAGCTCGTCGAGCTCGCGGTTATCTGCGACAAATACGACACTGTTGCTGTCATCCGCCCTTTTTTGCAAGAATGGATAGGGTTCGAGGAGATGAAGGTTGGCCCTGGAATGGAAGAGTGGATTTTCGTTGCTTGGACTTTTGGTATCAAGGATAAGTTCATTAGGGGAGTTCAAGACTTGGTACGAGATACATCAGCAGATTCGCAGGGACGTCTAATACTCAAACACCTTTATGGAGCGGAGTTGAATGTCCATCCTGTGAGTTTGCGTCTGCCCTTGGATCTCTTAGGTATGTATATAATCGTTCCCTCTCTTTCATCAATATCCAATTCCGGCTCAACCCAAGAAGGATGCGGAGTCAGATCACCTATCCATCATGCTGACACTATTGTCTAGATTGCATTTCTCAAGCTCGCCAGGAATCGATCACAAAACTCATGAACCTCGCGTTCGGGCACCTGGAGAGATCTGTATCTACGAAAGAGTGCGTCCTAGGAAGCCAAACTTGTATAGGGAACACAATTGGCCACCTACTAAAGGGACTGCACGGGGCGGGAATCTGGCCGAATAGGCCTGAGGCATCGACTTACCCAAGGTCTTTCCAATCGCTATATAAGGCGATATCCAAAATCAAAATACCACAGTACACCGGCCCGGTGAGGCTTGTGGGGTACGACGTTCAGCACACGTGTGGGCGCGGTATCGCGGGTCTTCAAAGTGAAATTGACGCTCTCAATTTGTCGATTCCTTTTGGGTACAAAGAGCACCATCTAAAACACATTGAGATACAGGCAGAGAAGTAGAGCGCGTAGGTTAATCCATCGTCATCTATCACACCACAAAGCCTACTTCCTAATTTATTTTCCTTCAATTGGCTAGCTTTCTTGGTCATAGACGATTCGAGCAGCTGATTACGGTGCTCTGTCAAAGTCTGCTCGTACCTCTTCCTCACTGCCAGGCCTGCTTCACTTTGTTGCGAAAGGATATTCGGAGCAACATATCACACGCCCGCTCTATAAACTTATATCTACTACCACCTGAAGGGCCATGGCAAGGCAACTGGTCTGCCAAGTAGTAGGTTTGAAGCCCATGCTGAGTGCCAAAATTGCTTGAAGCGCTTCGAGCGGCGTTGGAACGGCGGTTTAGTACTGTGGGTTGATGGACGACATTCACCTCGTTCACCACAATCCAGCCTACCACGGGCCGAATTTTCACCGAACGCGATATCTATCTCATTTTCGGGCCCGCAAACTTCTTCCAAAGTGGTAACACCGACATGACATCAACTTCACCACCACCGGGCTCGCAAGCCGGATCCGACGGCAATGGCTACTGCGACGCCATGTTCGACAACGCCACTACTAGGCCCACTCCCCGCACCATCACGTTGGACGACTCGAGCGACCTTACACTTGTGATCGGAGAGGAGTGCTCGAACGAGCCCGTTCGAGTTGAAGTCCTCAAGGGTGCTCTTCGTCTCTCGAGCTCTGTTTGGAAAATCATGTTCGAACCGGGTCGTTCGCTAGAGAGTTCGAAGCCAGAGGTGGCATTTCCAGACGACGACCCGAAGACAATGCTCATGGTCCTCCGCATTGTGCGTTTCCGCTTCCGAGATTTACCTGAGGGGAAACTCAGCTTAGCAAAGTCGTTGGCCCTTGCTATTGTCTGTGACAAATACGCTACCGTTGGCATCGTCAGACCCTGGCGTCATGCCTGGATCAATATCCCGGGGAAAGTATCGAGCGAGTCCGAGTGGCTGTTCGTCGCATGGACATTCGGCGATACGCGTCTATTCCAGAACATTGCAAAAAGACTAGTCATCTACTTAGACACGGACTCAGACACGGACTCAGACACGGACTCAGACACGTATCGTTCTCTAATGCGTGATCCAAAGCCTCCTGGTATTGCCGGTAAGTGCTGGATTCCGTATCCCCACTTTACTACTAACGTATACCCTAGAAAGCATTCTCCAGGCCAGAGAGCACGTCATACAGCGCATCCTAGATATGTGCTACGCCACCCTTGACAAAATTGCTGGAGACGACCGTAACTGCTGCATACACGGCTCTCCTGTTTGCAACGCAACTATTGTCGGCTCGTTGGTGAAAAGCTACTATAAACTTGCCATCCTGCCAGATCGTCTCAACGCCAAAACCACCAGAAGGAGTGTTCACGATCTGACGCTAAAGCTAAACCAACTCAGACTTCTCACTCCTTCGGGAAACAATTCCCTCAACGACCCTCACTTCACGTGCACAAGTACCTACGCCAACCTGTTTCGAGAAAGCGCAAGAACTATGGAAGAATATGCCCAATGTCGTCAAGGGCATTCATCTTCGACATGTAGAGGCGCAGAGGAAGGCTTGAGAAGGCAAGGCACGGAGAATCACAGTTCCAATCTGTGTACGGCCCTCTATTGCTGTCTGAGGTGGTCTAGTGACTTAACTAGTTGTTCAGAATAATGAACATACCATGAGATACCACAGCCAGTGACAGCCAGTGGCAGAAAACCGTACACATCTCTATGACGAGGACGAGGCATGGAAAAGGCTAGTCTGCGAGACATAAATCATGCTTTTAGGATACATTAACCACTAATTCAAGGCGCTTAAGCTCTGGTGAAGATGTGACTGCCATATTGATGCCTTCTCTCCATCTCCTGCTTATCCGTTTAGGACGAAGAGCCACAAATAATCGTCTATGTTACGAAAAGGAGAGGCTACCCTTGTGACACGAGACTGAATCAGCATTTCGGCCCAAAATTACAGTACCAATCTCTGCTACGACTACGAAGTACCCCGCGTGCCCCGCCAAAGCTCTCACAAGCTTCAAAAAATTATTTCTCAAAATTTACCTCAACTTACGCACCACAATCAGCATTGCACATACTAACCATGCCCGAGCCAACGTTCAACCTCACTGTCCTCATCTCCGGAAACGGTTCCAACCTCCAAGCCCTCATCGACGCCTGCGCCTCCTCCGCCCTCCCCTCCACGCGCATAACACGCGTGATATCAAAGTAAAATCCCACTACCCCCCCTCATATCCACCCTCACTAACCGCTCTCCCAGCAAAGCAGACGCCTACGGCCTCACCCGCGCCTCCAACGCCTCAATCCCCAGCACCGTCCACAGCCTCGACCCCTACAAAGCACGCTTTCCCAACGCCAAAAAGCCCAAACTCTCGTCCCCAGAAGCCCGCTCGGAGTACTGCAAAGACCTCGCCAAGCTCGCTCTGGAGGTTACGCCGAAGCCCGACCTGATCGTCTGCGCGGGATGGATGCTCATCCTCACGCCCACGTTCCTAACGCCGGTCGCGGAGGCAGGGCTCAAAATCATAAATCTGCATCCTGCGCTTCCCGGGGAGTTCGACGGGATCGACGCGATTGGGAGGGCGCATAAGGCGTTTTTGGCGGGCGAGATCAAGAGGACGGGGGTTATGATACATGAGGTTATTGAGGATGTGGATGCGGGGAAGCCGGTTGTGACGCAGGAGGTGGAGATGCGGGAGGGGGAGAGTAAGGAGGAGTTGGAGGCGAGGATACATGAGGTGGAGCATGGGTTGATTGTTGAGGGGACGAGGAGGACGTTGCTGGAGATTGGGGACAGGAGGAAGACGGAGGGTGGGGCGTGATAAGGGGAGCGGGAGAGTTTGGGTTTGTGATGGAGTTCGGAGAGAAAAAAGTGTTGAAAAAAAGGCGGTATGTGTTTTTCTTGTATGTATACTTCGAGGGATTCTATTGTATATGAGCTTTCGGTGCTTGCGTTGGAAGCGCGTGTCTGATCGTATCAACCGGGGAAACAACCGAATTGGCAAAGCCATATCCAAGACTCGGTCCTGCTATGCAGCAGTCAAAACAAGCCATTCATCACTAAAATTCTCAGAAAGGAAGTTGTGTTCACGTGATGGGCACGTGACATCATAAAGGAGATATCGAAGGACGTCATAACGACCGAAGAGAGCTGACGTAAACATATTTAGTTGCCATCAAAATAGAGAAGTAAAGACATAAAGCATGTGCATGCAATTCGGCGCACATTTACCGATGAAGCGGGTGAACGTAATTTAGTAGGTGAAAGTGATTTAGCAGACGAAAGTAACTCAACCCAATCTACCTAGGTATATATTTCATAAAATTCTGAGGCTCCTCCATAGCGCCATCGGTGCCCGTCCGGGGGCACCACGTAAGTCGCCCCGATGGCTGGGTTGGAATCCAGCCTCTGGTGTAATACGACCTTCCACACGACAAAGATGTAGTGCAGGGCTCGGCCCGACGAACTTTTGCTCCTTAGTTGTTCTTTTTGGGACCCGTTGGCAAGGCCTAAGTTCGATCCGCGATGATAAAGAACTTCTTTTTGCTGTTTTTTTTCGCAAAACTAAAGAACTAGAGATGCTGAAGAGGATCACCAATGTTGTGAGAGCTTACGCACCAAGCGCACTCTTTACACATGCCGCTTGGTATTAAAGACAGCAGTGTAGGTGACTTGGGAGGGCGTGTTCAGAGATCGAGTCTTCATGTCTAGTGGACGCGAGAATCAATTGAAAACCCAGAGACAGCTTATTTCTTACAAAGTTACAAATATTCTCGCTCTCCCGGCCCTTCTACCAATTCTCAAGCTCCAAGGCCTGCCCCTCGGACTGTCCAACCACATTCCTATGTTCCAGCACCTATCAGCATACCACGAATGGGTCCTTCCCCTCCTTCACCAGAATGGTGACCAATTCAATCCGTAAGGCTGCAATACCGCTGCATGCGCTTCCTTAGCTTTTCGGCATCGAGCCTCTCTCAGCCTGCCCGCAGCTCCTCCTCGCTAGAGCCTCTCTGGAACCTCCCCATCCTCTGACTCTCCTTCTTTCCTACGCTTCCTCGTCTCCGGGAGTCCTTCAAGCAGCAATCTAGGATCGTTGCAATCCAGCCGCACTATAGCGGTGATTTTATCAGCCGTTGGCATTGCCAGTGGTCCGTTCGGGAATCCTAAGGTTGTTAGCAAAGGTAAGGAGACTCTGTGAAAGAGGGTCGGAGAGGAAGCTTACCATTATCTCATAAACATCCTTCTATTTATATTACTGTAGTCTACTATAGTTATCAACGAAGGAACTGATAGCCAATAGATGCAATGTCATAGATTTGTTAGCGATTACTTGATTACCACCACTGAACTCATCGTTGAATAACCACAAGATTACGAGGTCCACTACCAAAACCGCAAACTTTTAGGAACGCACCAAACAAAAAGAAATGAGCCACAAGAGAATCAACCACTCGCATCCACAACCTCCGCAAACCACTGCCTTAGCGCCGTAGCCAGCACGCCCGGCAAATCTGCCACATCTCTCACAACAAGATACCACCTGAACGGGAACCGGTCCATATACCGCGTTATCACCATCTTGCCATCCGCTCCAAACTCCACGGACTTCAGATCCAGCACACTTTGCTTCTCCTTGCCCTTCTTCAGCCCCTTTGCACCAGCCCCATCCTCTCCATCGCCAGAGGTAGCAGTCGCATCCACAACCACAAAGACAATCATGACTCTGTTCTCCTGCGCCTTCCGCACCAGCCTCTGAATCTCAGCATGCCCGTCGCAGATCCCATCAGAAACCACGAGCATCAACTGCCACAGATCGTCCCCTCTTCCCTGCCCTCGCATCCTCGCCTCTTCGAACAAGCCCAGAGACCTCTCGACAAGCTTCCGCACATCCGTCTTCTGCTGCCCGAATCCAAATTGCTGGAAGACATTGGCACCCGCATCGCTGGTGAATGGCTTATCAAAGTCATGAGCGACCTTGACGTCGTCACCAAAGCCAACGACTGCAACCTCGCCCACTTCAAGCATAGCCAGTGAGCGCGTAATTAGTGCTAGAGTCTTGAGAGCTAGATTGGCGGCGCCGGACTCAGCCATACTGCGACTATCGTCCAGCGCGACGAGAATCTGGTAAGCCCGCTTCGAGGGTTGCGAGCGTCGGAGCCAGATCTTGTCGCGTTTGTAGCCGGACGCGATGTATGGTATGATACGTTTGAGATTTAAGCGCTTGCCGGTTCGGAAGTCGCCGCGGAGTTTCGTTGCCAAAGTGGGAGCGAGGATTAAGCGGAGGTGTTCGGTCAGGGTCTGTGCAAGGGAGTGTGTAGTGGACTCGTGATGGAGCCAAAGAGCGCGAGCAGTCTCTACCGTAGGGAAATCGGAGTTGACGTCGAGATGTGTCAAGGACAATTGATTCTCGACTTCAGAGACGGAAGAGGCGACATCGGAGTCGTCATCGAGATCTTCGGGAGCATCCTCCATTTCTTGGTCTTCGTCTTCTTGATGAATGGGCTTCTGTTCGCCGACGAAGGCTTTGGGCCTGCCATCACCATCTTGCGGTTGTTGGTCTCGCGGGGTGTCATCAACGGTATCTACCATATCAACATCTTCGTTAGCTTCGTCATCCGGCTTATCTTCAGGCAAAGCAGGAATGCGTTCCTCGTTTTCGTCTGTTGGAAGGGCCATGCTCTTGTCCAGTGTTTTGGCTTGCTCTTCAGTTGCTGTGCCCAAAGCCTGCGCGTCAGCCTCCGTCTCTTCATCTTCGAGATGCTCAAAGTCGGCATCAGCCATGTCGACTTCTTTCTCGGTCTGCTGCACTTGCTTGTCGTCTTTTTGGGTAGCATCTTGAATCTGGCGTTGTTGATTGTACCATTTTTCAAGAGTGTCGCCTAGTTTCTTGAATGGCTGACTTGCAGCAGACTCTGGAACATCATCGCCCCGTCCTGCGCTGTCAGGGTTGGTACGGCCCGTCTCCCCTTCTTCTGCGGTGGCCTGGTCATTTGGGTCTGACGCTTCGCCTTTGGTACCCTCGTCCCGTTTAGCAGCATTAGCAGAAGCATCTTGGTCGTTTTGAACGTCGTCTTGGGCGTCCATTCCTGCACCCGCTTCGGCACTGGTATCGGCGGTGGCTTCGTCTTCCGTTGGTCTTGAATCGTCCGGCATAGGTTGATCATCGGGTAAGGGAGCAACAGCTTCGTCCATGTCTTCCGGCCCCTCTGACTGGTCTTCTAGGTGCTCTGCTTCGTCTTCAATGTGACCAGTCGTGCTCCCATCCGCTTCGTCCTCTTTGATGTCCGGATCAACATCGTCTGGCTCCGGGGCTCCCTCCTCCGCATCCATCTCCTCTTCAACACCCTCATCGTCCATATCGCCTAAGATGTCGTCATCAGACGCCTTCGCATCCTTCTCATTCTCATCGTCCATGTTCAACTCATCTGGCAGGTCGAGTGTCTCGCCTTGCTCGGTATGAGGATCCATCTTTTCGTTTTCCTCCATGCCGACATTCTCCTGTTCCTCTGCACCTTCCTCCGGCTCCATGTCTTCATCTTCCTGGCCCTCTCCCTCCTCTTCCTCCTTCTCCCCATCTTTCTCACCAGCAGCAACCTGCTCATCATTCTTTTGTCCTTTCCCGTCGTCTCCATCTCTATCCTTTTCAGCTTCGTCGCTACCCTCGTCCCACATCTTCTCGTCAACAGTCGAAGGCCCTAGCTCGTCTACATCACCGACCTCGCTTTCGACGTCACCCTCGCTCTTCTCGCTACTATCTTCGTCATCTTCCTTGTGCTCCACATCGCCCATCTCGCCCTCCATCTCCTGCTCGCCCATATCGACAGCATCTTCTTCGTCCTCTATATTCTCGTTGTCTTTTTTCTCGCTCTCTTGCTGTGCCAAGTCGGTCAAGTCCTCGTCATCGCCTATATCCTTGCTGATGTCTTCCGCACCTTCGCCATCGCCGAGTCCAGTTCCGTCCTCAAGCTTGTCTGATTTGTCACCCTTCTCATCAGACTTCTCGGACGGTGTGCAGAATCCTTTCGTGCCGACTTGGAGAAACACCTTCGCTAGACGGTAGGAGAGCTTGCAGGTTGAGGCGTGGAGAGCTGCGTATCGGTTCATGAGCTCGAGGAAGATGGCGTGGTATTGTTGGAGAATTGGCAGCACAGAGGCAAAGACGGCTACTACTGTCTTGATACCGCTGTTTGTTGTGTCTATGTCTTGTACTCTCTGGATAGAGTCCGCCAAGCCTTGAAGTTCTCTGGCAATCAATGGAACTTGCATCGCGTTGATAGTCTTGAAAAGAGTGGTCTCTTCTTTGATGAACCAGGCGGAGTCCTCGGGAGACAGTGGCAAGTTGGCAAGAGCCGATTCGACGTCTTGCATGGAACCGAGAATGTTATCGATAGTAGAAAAGATTTGGTGACTCATGTCCTCGACGGTGATGTAGGTGGCCTGGTCGATTTCGCCTAAGGAAGATGCAGATTCGAACCGTACGAAGGGCAGGATCTGCTTCAACGTGCATTTTACCACCGGGAAATCCTCGACCCATTTCTTGACATCGCTTTCAAAACTCAACAGGCGTTGTCCAACAGATTCGTTGACCCTAATATGATCTCTGGTCCAAACGTTCTCTGGTAGATCGAGAAGACCATTTGTTTCTGACAGAAGGTTATCGAACGTGATTTTCCACGTTGCGAGGCCCGTAGTAATAGACGACAGGTCAAGTTTGGCAAGCTTAGCTTGAGTGTTGATTAGATCAATACCAACAGCCAAGATTGCCACTAGCCACTGGACAACGTTGAGCAGCGATTTTGCATCTTTCACTTGTCCATCAGAGGTTCGTAAGAGGTCGCGTTCGTCGGGCGCGCCAAGATGCGCAATGCGAGAAATGGGATCCTGGAGTGCTTGGTACATGGAAAGATCGCTCGATGGCGACTGGGAAGTCTCCACGGTCCTTGCCAACGTCGTTCGTTGTCGAATGCTTGACTGAAGCAAGCTCTCGAGGAAGCCAATAGCTCGGGCCACTTGCTCTCCAGTCAAGTCGCCAGGATGTTCCTTAGCAATTTCCCGGACTTGTTGCATGATACTTAAAGTTTGATAGAGATGGTTCTCAGCAGCAGTCTCTGTATCTCCGCTTGTCGTTGTGGGTAGAGCTGGCAGTCTGGCTAAGACAGTCGCTAACGAGTCCTGGTTTTCGAGCGCATCGGTACCAAAATTCCATTTGAAACCCATCTCCTTCAGCGTCTTTAGGGTGTCCACGAAGAGTTTCCGTTTTCTGGACTTAAGGTGCTTTACCGCAGTCTTGTTCTCCTCCGTTAAATAAGCTGGTGTAGCCTTTTGCAGTTCCGCCATAGATGACTCCAGTTCCGCAATGAAGTCATTGACATGTTCAGAGGCATTAAGGCTGCTGGGATTGGGTCGGCTTTTGCTCCGCATGATTGACACGGTGACTGGGACATTCTTGAACCGAGATTGCCTTGAGTTCCAGTCCGAGATGTGGCCGCTGCAGATTCTGTCTAACATAGCGTTGTCCACGTGGGCCATAACGACTTCGGGGTTGCTTTGAATTGGCGGAAGACCTCCAAGGTCCGGGAATCCTTTGCTTAAAACGCCTGCGAAAGACTGATTCAACAAGGTCCTGAATTTTCTTACAAGCTTTGTCAGTTTGCGATGCGAAGTCTTCGCACTTTGCTTTAGCGCCTCGATGTTAGTGTCCTTCCAGCTAGCGAGTAGAATGACTTCTTTGATTTGCTTCTCGAGCACCTTCCGTCCCTTGGCCAGTGTTTCTTGTACCGGAGTCTTGAACTTTGAGTAATACGAGATAAAATTCTCTAGTGCAAGATGTATTGGCTGTAGCGAAGGAACTTCTTGTACACGTAGCTTGACGTGGTTTGAGAACTGTTTTAGAAGACGAAGTCGTTGGTTAAATTGGCCAATGGTCGTAGATGAGAAGAAGCCTTCTAAGGCCTTCAAAAGCCCCTTGGCATGCGACTGTACGGCCTCATTAGAGGATTGTAGGGATTCTGGAGCTGCGACTATGGTTTCATAGGCGATGAACCACCAGCTCTTTGCGGCATTGTTACACTTTTCCATCTCAATGTCAAATAGTCGGGCCCACGTCGTCAGCTCTAGTCGTCTCCAGCTGATCAGAAGGTTGGTCAACTCGTCATAGAGAGCTGATGTGCTGAACTCTCTACTCGCAACCCGTTGCCACTCGTACATGTAGCTATGGAGTTTTTCTGCCTTGGTCAAGAACTTGGCGACCGGTTCGATGTGTCCAAAGGCAAGAGCTTCATCGCAGGTTCGGAGAACTTCTCCAAGTGTTGCATGTTCAGGCCACACTTCTCTGATTTTGCGATAGCGATTTTGTAGCTTGTGAATGAGGTTGATGAATCTCTTGCCTTCTACTATGTTGGGGTCAAAATAGAAGTTGTAGGTTTGTGCCACTCCACCGGTCGATAAGGTATTGATTCCTCGGTCAATCTCGACAAAGATTGCGGGCAGCATATCTTCAAGGCTGGACTTGGAAGCACATGCTGTGTCTCTCTTGGTAAGCTTGCCAATCTCTTTAGCAGACCAGTGAAGGAGATCCTTCGCCATCTCTGGGCCTGAGTCGTTTCCAAGGAATATCTTTTCATGTAGATCGGATAAACGGACAACAAGGTCTTGTGAGAGTCTTGAAGGCAAAAGAGCTGAGTCGTCAACCTCCATCTCATAATCTGGGAACAACGACAGATCTCCCTCATCGATGTCCTCATCATCCCCACCACGGTATGTGTAGAGGCTGTGGTCTGCCGCTTCTTTCTCCTGATCCAACTGAAGTCGTTCTTTCCACTCGGTGAAAAAGCTCGAGAACACATCGTGTGTGAGATTGTGTAGTTCGTAACGCCCAAAAGGAGCCATTATAGCAACATCGATGGCCCTGTGTTGTAAGAAATGCCATCGCAAGTCCGTATCGGGGTGCTTCTGCTTCAGGGTGTTCCCAAGATCGGCCTCATAGAAGCTTGCGGTGGCCTGGATTTCGTGCCTACTGAGACCCAAGAACGGAGTCTGTGCTGATAAGTAGGCTACTGCTTCGGAAGAAGGTGTGCGCGCTAGGTGACTTTGGGCTGCAAGACTCAACCCAATATTCAGGCAAAGCAAGAAGCCTACAGCAGGACCAGTGATGTCGTCATAATAGCGGTAACCCTCAGTCAAGCGTCGAATGATATGAGAAATGTTCTGACGAAAAGTATGGTCCTGGGAAATGTCTTCTGCAGTAGCAGTACCTTCGAGTAACGGTCGTACAACATTGAGCAGATTGTCGAGTTCTCCTTGTAAAACCTCAAGCTCTGAGACATCAGGCCTTACGACAGCGGCAACCTGTGGCTCTTCTCCCAATGTCTGCAGCGCTTGTTGCACGAGACGGATGCGTAAGGTGGTGTCATTTCCGGTGAAACGTTGTTCGAAAAGCTGAAGAGCATCCAGCCTCTCTTCTATCCCAGCCTTATGATCGTTGAAGAAGCGGCGTTCTATCATCGGTCGAAGGGCCGGATCGAAAGGTCGATCTGGTATGTAGAGCTTGATGCCGGCCAACGCGAGGCTTGTCCATGCTTTAGATGCGGTCGTTAGGCTTGATAGGTCTTCTTCTGCGAGTCTCGAGTATTCCAGACATTGTCTTAGATTTGTACTGATGAAGCTCTGAGACCTAGTGTCTCCTAACCTATCGTCGCTAGTGAAAGCTTCGAAAATGCCGGCTAATTCGGCTGTCAGAGCCCCCAGATGATCTTTGAGAGTAAGAAGCTGATTTTGGGCCAGACTTTCGCTCTCGGAACCAATCAACTGCCCAAGGAGATGCAATTCAGATTCAAATGAGTCCAATTGCCTCAATGACACACTCTCCACGTGCGTTAGCTTATCAAGTGCAACAGCCTGGAACTGGTTCGAGAGCGCGATATCCTTGTTGCCGGAGTCTCGCGCTCTAAGATAATTGCAAAGGTCAAGAAATAGTAGACAGGGCGTGTTTCCGGTTGGAGACATAGCTGACTTGGTCGACCTTCTGGCCAGAAGTGATGCCTTGGAGCGCGATGCTCGTGACTGATAACTCAGGCCGCTATTGTCGGATGAAACCAGGTCGAGAAACTGGCATATACCTTCAAAGGCTTGCTCGAAGTAAGGCGTGATTTGATAGTCGTCCTCCACAACCTTCTGCTCCAGCTCATGAACACCATTCTCAAGGCTTGTAGCTAGTTCTTCTCCGTCAACATTGACTTCTTGTAGCAGGCCTATTGCACTAGAGAACGTTTCTCGCGTGCGCGCTAGGTCATCGAAAGAAACATCCGATCTCCACATAATTGTGTCGAATCGATCCGCCAGAGCCTCAAGCTTAAGAAGAGTGTCCAGCGCCGGGGTGGATGTTGACGTCGTCGGCTTGAATCGCGACCACACCAGCTCCATACAAAGGCCACTGGACAGATGAGAACCAGATCGGAGTCCTGTCAAGCTTGTAGCGATTGCGTTAGACATAAGGGCTGCCGGGTGGTCTAATTGCTTCAAGGATGTCGAGACATTGGTAAACATTGCCAGGTAGGTATGAAGGGCCGCTCGGTCAAAACCTACTGCTATTGACATATTGTAAAGTTCCCAAAAGAGCGCCCTTATTCGATTGAGGGAATCTAGGAACGGAAAATTGAGAGTCTCTGCTTGCCAAACCTGCTCCAGCCAAGTCGAGAGAGCTTGCCAGAGGGCGAGCAGAAACTCTGGAATCCTGTTCTTCTCTGGCCATCGCCCAAAAGATTGTGTCGTCATATCGTTTAGGGCAGACTTCATCCTTTCGATTTCGACGACAAAGTCATAGATGAAAGATGCACCAATCGCCGCGTCTGTTAGGCCGGTGTTTCGATACACCACAACTTCGTTATTCAATGGATGATATGGCTGTGAGTTTGCAAAGTTCCAACCGAGGCCTGCTTCCGTTGCGATCTTGGTGTATATTTCTTTTGCTTTGGGGATCCAAATATTTAGAGGCTGTAAGAGAGTATCAAACCATTCCTCGGGTGAGCGTGCCTGAGCAACTTCATTCGGCTTTACTAGTGAACTCTCTGTTGATGTAGTAGCCTGCTCGCTTGCAGTACTATTGAAGGTACTTAAATGATGTCCATTCGTAAGCTGAGCGTATGTATGTATAGCTGCATTAGAAATTAAGCCTTTGCTAACTTCAGTGGCGAAACTCTGAGCGTGGCTCATATCACCGATTGAAAGATGATCGAAAGCCAGGCTAAGTTGGCTTACGGGCAGAGAAGGTTGCTCTGTGGTGTGCGTTGTGAAATGCCGAAACCTGTACATCGACGACTCCATTGGATAGGCAATGGTGTACTGAGACTGAGGCTGTAATTCCGAGGACCAGTCTGGCAAAAGGAATATTTCCACGGCCCTATTCCTCATTGCTCGCGACAATTCTCCATAGCGAGGATCCATGGTCATGATGACCCTAAAATTCGGGTGTGGCTTAACGATTCTGGCTTCGCCATCTTCTGTAGGGTGTTCGTTAATACTCAAGTATCCATTTGGCTCCAGTAAAGAGTTCAGCCGGTCCAGAACGGAAGCACTACACAGGTTCGCGTTATCAAGCACAAGCCAGCTGCCCTCTTCCAGGGCCTGGACAAGTACCCCATCCACCCATTGAAAGCGACCACCGTCAATGCCTTGAGACGAGCTCTGTAAGTAATTTATCTCTTCAAACAAAGGTACACATTGAGAGTCCTCTCGAGCGGCCATTTCGAGCAGTGAAAACAATTCGGAGCTGACGCAAGTGATGGATGTGTTGATGTGCATCAGAATAGTGAGGTAATACAAGGACGCTTGAGAGGTCTGATCTTCTACAAGTCGGGATTGCACGAAAGACTTGAGCTTGGTGAAGTATCGATGGATCTGTCGCACAGGATCCACTTGCTCGAAGCCTCCAACAAGGTCCATAGCATCAATATCAGCATTCATTGCGAATGTGACAAGGGTAGCCCCCGTAGCTCCTGCGATATGATTTATAAGGCTTGACTTGCCAGCCCCTGGTGGACCGACAAGGATCACCGGCCAATTCTGCTGTGCACAAATCATCAGTGACTCTGCTGCCGCATATCGAGACCTTTGCAGAATCTGGGTTTCTTTGCAAGGCGCGAGGCGATTATTCCTCGGGAGAAAGCCGAGTCCCACTTGTATGGTACCAAGGCCGAGGTTATGGTAATAGCTTTTTCGAGCCTGCTGAGCGCCATAAGTAGCGTGAAATAGATCTACCAAGTGCGTCCTGTCAGACTCGTTCCTGAATCGCTGGGTGAATATCGTGTCCAGAAAGTCTCTAGCATTCCCAGAGGGTGAAAGTCCGTTCGTAGTCGTAAGCAGCTGGAGCCATCGAAGAGTATCGCGCAGATTGAACTCCCACGGACTACCGTACGTCCCAAACTTTCGAAGGTTGACGACCTGCTCATCAAGTTCAGCAACAAAAGTAATCAGTTTAGAAGCTTCTTCGCGGTCGAATTGAGGATAAACCTGTTTGCATATAAGCATCAAGTCCTCAGGCTTGAAGATATCGGCATAGACGACAGTGAACCGGTTGACAAATGAAGCCGGTAGACCTTTCCGCCCGCCACCCTGGTGATGCGGGTTTTGTGCGGCGAAGACGCGAAAATCTGGATGCTTATGGAAAGTCTGGTCCAATTCGGATATGTAGACCTCACCACGATGATCCAGGACCGCATTGAGGCCTTCCAGAACAGACTGCGAGGCTAGGTTCATCTCGTCTAGTAGGACCCATTCTCCACGCTTCATAGCTTTCAAGAATGGAGCATCGCGCCACGCAAACGTTCCAGCTTGTGCACCTTCGATTGGAATGTCAGAGCCAAAGAGATCCATCAAGTCGGTCTGTTCCGAGAGATTAAGACGCGCTAGAGGTCTTCCAACAGCTCTGGCTATAGCTGTGACAAGAGTCGTCTTGCCTACTCCTGGGTTCCCTTCGAGCAGTATTGGTTTTGACAATTGGAGAGCCCTTACGACTCGCATCGCGTTGGATCTCGTGGTAGGCGCTTCGAGCGAGAAGAACTGATCCTCCTGCGTGACATGAGCTTTCGCAATTGAGAACGACCCAAGGGTGAGCAGGTCATTAGAGACAGTGATACTGATGTCGTCGTAGTAGATCTGAGAAGCATCTATGCCCAGGAGTTTACCAAGATGATGGAGGCACTCCTGTCTCTCGACATCAATCCTGGAAGAAGAAATGGCTAAGAGACCGGCAGGATTGGCTCCGAGGGTATCTACAAAAACCATGGCGGCGCCATGTACAACGCCAAACAAGGTGTCGGGGCTTTGGCATCCATTGATGAAGTTTACCCATGCAAGAGTGTCTCGAATCGAAATCGAAGATGTGACCGATGTGTTGTACTTGTCGTTAAACCACTGTGCGAAAGACACTATTGACTCCGCATACTGCAACGCCTCTAATTTCAGCTTAGCGCGCACAATCTGGACGATATCGTTGACATCAGATAGTGAGGGTACCCAGATCTCAGTAAATCGGTTTCGCAAAGCTGGCGAGAGCTCTTTCTTGCCATAATCACCTCCGGGGTTCATCGTTGCAAGGAATTGGAAACCCTCATACCCGACAATGAGAGAATCTATGGGTCCCTTTTCGGCCAGAAGTAATGTACGCTGAGGTTCGAGAACACTGTTGAGCCGTTCCAAGACAGAGTCGTCGGCGAGAGATATTTCGTCCAGTAAAAAGAATTGGCCTTCTTTCATTGCGTGAACCAAGCTGCCGTCTGCCCACTCAAAGAGAGCTGCGGCTTTCGTCCGGTTAGTCTTGATCTCCTCGCGGTGATCTATAGGTATCAGACTTAGAGTGTCATAGTCAAGTTGATCGTAGAGAGCGAGTAAACGCCCGAGATTCATTTCAGAAGGAGCTAACTTGACTCCCGCGGCGTCTAGATCGACAAGAAGACGGCGATGTAGATCAGACTCGATGGCAGCTCGATTCCGGATGGGTCGTTGGGCTCCAATTAAGTCGCCAGTTTCCGTGTTTTGATGAGCGTTGACAATGTGTAGCTGCTTCCCGAAGGCTTCGGCCAGTAATTGGCAGACTGTAGTTTTCCCGCAACCAGTATCTCCCACTAGTAACACAGGTTCGTTGTTACTAATAGCATGCGCAACGAGGACGAACAAACGACGCATAGCTCCAGTCCAGACTGCAGAATCGTTGGTGCCCACTCGGTCTCGATAAGCTCGTAGCTCCACGGAGTGCTCGACACTGTAGAGGCTTCCTTCGTCAATACTGACACGAGCTCCAGCTTTGCTCATCACGGCCTCGATGATTCTCTTTACCGCTTGCCGTTCTTCGGGTTTCCGAACTCTTTCAGCAAGGAGCATGTATCCATTTACAGCCAGATCTTGAAGGCTTTCTGCTTTTCGAAGAGCCCAACGAAACAAGTCCCGGAGCGTTGCAAAGCTCTTCTGTTCGAATAGCCGGTTTTCTTGGCGCAACATTGAAAGCTCCTCGTAAACTTTGACGATACGTTTGCACCATGACTCGGGGATCTGCGTCCTTCGGCGGAGAATTTCTGTCAGCTCCTCCACTGGAATGTCGTCGAAGTGTAGTTCCAAAAAGCGGTTCCTGAATGCCCGCGACAAGGCTTTGCGACCTCCGTACAGCCCGGCCGGGTTCTGGGTTGCAAACAACATAAAATCTTCATGGGGTCTTACTACCTCCTGCGTTTCTGGAATTAAGAGCTCTCGGTTGTCATCCAAAAGCCTGTTCAAAGCTTCTAGCACGTCCGTGGGAGCCAGATTGAGCTCGTCGAGGACAATCCAATGGCCTTCACGCAAGGCTCGGACGAGAATACCTTCTTGAAAAACGAGTTTTCCATCAGCACCAGAGATGTAAGTGCCGAGGTATTCTTGCAGATCCGTATGTTCGTGATTGTTTATACGAACAAATTTGTTGCCAGACCTCTTGGCGAGGTACTCAATCATACTTGTCTTGCCAGACGAGGTTGGGCCCTGGATGAGGACTGGATATCGTCTGGTTGATGCCGCTCGGATGAGATTGTTCATATTTCGCCTTATGAACGGGGTAATGATGTAGTGAGATTGGTCCTCAATAGGGTACGGACCTTGCCGTAGCCAGTACGACCCTTCTTGGACGTAGCTCCGAGAATTGTCTGGTTTCTTGAGGGGTTTCCCAAGCTCGGTCTTGATGCTCGACTGACTGTTGAATAAGTGCTTCTTGATCAGAGGAGCGGCAACGTCTTCGGAGGCTCTACTGAGAAACGTGAGAAAGCTCATGTTGAAGCCTTCGAACAGCGCTCGTCGCAGGGTACACAAAGATACCGTTTCCCGGGCATATGACAGAGCTCGAGTCAAAGTACGAAGACTAAAATGGGCCTGCTGGTCTGCTCCGTCAACCAGAAGGTTAGATTTGGCCAGTCGCTGTATCTCCAAGTACAGTTCAGTAACATCAAGAGCAATCTTTCGGGTTCCTGGGTCTGTCGAATCTCCGCCAAGGTACTTTTCCACGATACTGCGTAGACTCCTCACATCGCTATCTGGGCTCTCAACGTAAAGCTCGGTGAATCTTGATCGGATCCCGGGAGGGAGATCTTTCTTGCCTACATCGGTAGCGGGATTCATCGCTGCGAATACTCGGAAGTCTGGATGAGCAACTACTCGTTCGACGTTACCCGTCTCCGTGAGTAGAATGGACGGCCTCCCTTCTGAGCCGCCTCCGAGTAGATCTGTAAGAGCTTCAAGAGTATCTGAAGTTGCAAGATTGATCTCGTCTAAGAGAACCCAGTCGCCATTGCGGACAGCTTTGACAATGTTTCCTTCGAGGAAGGAAAAAGCGAAGCCTTCAGATCCAGCTGAAAGTTGAGCTTCGAGATTATTTAAGTCGATCGCAAACTTATCCCATCGAGACTTAGGGAAATCCGCAGGCAAAGAGTCCACCTTTCTCTTCTTCTTTGGTTGCTCGCTTTCGGCGTCCTCGGAAGACGCTCTAGACTCCTGTGACATACGAGCAGTCTCCAGCATACGAAGAGCCTCCCTCCATAGCTTACAGACTCTTTTCCATTCCCCCTTCGCCACTTGCTTTCCTAGAACCTCAACGAAGCGATGATTCCTTTTCCGTGAAAATGTTGCGTCGAATAGAGCATCAAACTCATCTTTCATGGGAATAACGAGGCTGCGAATGTTAACGGGCTTGTAACCACCAAGAAGGTCACCACTCTCACTCTGCTGAGAGAGGTTAAAGGGAACCAATTTGCGACCTAGCTGATCGGCAAGAAATTGTATGCATGTTGTTTTTCCTGTTCCCGTTTCCCCAACAAGCAAAAGCGGTTCCTTGCGATCAACAGCGACTGCTATTTTCTCTAGAAGGCGTAGAGTGTACTCATTCGTGGAGAAAGGCCTCGCAGATACATGTCTATTTGCAATCGCTTTCCGGTGCCGTGGTAGCTTAGACCGGCCTATCCGCATCACTCCTAAGGACGTGATCTTGGTGTTGACCTCAAATCTAACCTCGCGTCTCGACAGGAGGTGATCACGTCTCTGTGGATCAATATGGAGTTCTTCTGCCACGTAAGCCATCACTCTTGCCCGAGCAGGATCACTATGCAGGCTGCCAGCAAAGCAGTCAAACGCCTCCATGAAAATATCGTCCATGTTCTCGGAGGTAAACGATGAAGTCCCAGCGAGCAAAGCAGAAAGTCTGTCGCACCACTTAAGAAGATCCCGCGGAGTAAGAGCTCTCAATGACGTCCCATTCTCGGAAGCAAAGCGAGCCTCCCGGTATAGCTGTTGCAGTCGTGAATACACTCTCAATACCGCAGGTATGTGCGGCAGTATCGCCCGATGATTCTGGGCAATGACTTCGCGGAATTCTTCGAGGGAAGCCATGTGAATCCCGACTGTCCTCCAAAATCGATATCCTATCATATTCGATCTTGGCACCAGCTCTTCGCCCTTAGAATTTAGGGTAGTCCGGAGGGTCGCGATAATCTTGAAGCCTCGTGCTGCTCGGATAGTCTCACCCCTGCTTGGTATAAGAAGCTCTCCTCGCTCTATCAAAGGCAGCAACGTGCTGATGACCTCGTTCGGTGCGCGATCAAGATCCTCGATGAATATCCAACGCCCTTCTCGAACTGCGGTGGTGAGAACTCCTGGTCGCCAGCTGAAGGTCCCAGGCTTCGCTCCAGTTGCGTACATGCCCAATAGTAGCTTGGCATCGCTCTGTTCGTTCAGGTGTAACGTGACCATTGAGGAGAGTTTCCTCAAATGCCACGCAAGGTGCCGCACTAAGAGAGTTTTTCCCGAGCCAGGTAACCCAGTCAAAAGGAGTGGGCTTGGATCCAGTAGTCCTATAGCAAGGTCTTTGAGATTCTTGGTGGTTGTTGGCACTGAAACGACTCTGCATGGCTCCTGTCCTCCCGGGGGTCCATCCAAACGTGGTAATAGTACACCATAGACGTCAAGAGATAAATGCGAAATGTCTTTACGCAGTTGGGTGAGACCGTTAGCTGCAGAATCAGTGGCTTGAGTCGCTTTTCGACGTAAGGAAAGTTGCCTAGAACGCTTCTCCTCCCAAAGGCTGAAGAATCGGTAGTCAATTACGATGCCTTCCCATTCTCCGTGGATGGACTCGGAGTCTAGTCCCCGGTGAACGTATTTCGATATAAGTTCCTCCATGGCAGCATCTGAGGCGTGGAGATAGAGGCACAATATTCGAGCGGTAAGATACCGCGCTATCTTGCTGGAGTGTGATAGTAGTTCCTGCAATTTCAAAGGACGAATGTACTTGGCAAACTCTGAATCATCAAAGCTAAGCAGCCTGAATACTGCTAGTAGAAGTTCGCACAGTTCTCCCTCCGGTATTGAATCCGAAGCGGGACCGAGAAGACCTTCGGTATAAGTTTTCGTCAGAAAGTACTCCACATGCTCGGCCAGGTGAGGTGCAAAAGGTATGATTCTTCCAAACGCAGCAAGTTTTGCTGAGACTTGCGAAGGTGAGGAGATCCATCGTGCGCAAACATCCACGAATAGAGGTTCGTTCTCCAGAAATATCGTGTCGGTGGCCTTAGTATTAAGAGCCTCCGCGGCGAGCACCACTGAGGACGCCATCGTGGAAAGATTTGGGCGTGAATTTAATTTTCTGGGAGAAACAAGGGTCTTACGAGATTACCCAAGGTTTGCACTCATTCGATGAAGTGAAAGAGGCATCTCACACGTGAAAGAAGGACGTGTATAAGTTGAGGTCTCCGATATCAAAATTTCTTGGGACAACTTTTTTGCCAAGCCGCCTTTCCTAAAGCCGCTAGATCGGCATTTGTAGACCTGAGATTTTGACCGCAGCGACACGGCCGGCATCAACTACGACTCTCGCTCCCATTCTCGCCATCATGTCCCCCCCCTATCAAAGCGTCCTTCGGCGCTGTGTCTGCGCCGCCAGATCATCGCCGCCCTACTTCCGTCCCTCCGCTACCACCCTCGCTCAGCACAAGACCTCGCGGAGATGGCAGACCACCGAGGCCGCACCTAGCAACCCCAAGATCGCGACAATTGTGGATCAGATCAGTCAACTGACGTTATTGGAGACTGCGGACCTTGTGTCGAGCCTGAAGGTATGCTCCACTCCCATATACAAGTCCATGAAGCCCTTAGCTGACCCTCATAGTCACGCCTCAACATCCCCGACTTGCCCGTGGGTGGTAGCTTCGGTGGCGGAGCTGCGCAACCAGCTGCCGTAGCAGCCCCAGTGGAAGAGGAGGACGCGGCACCGGCCGTGCAGGAGAAAACGCTCTTCACCCTGAAGCTTCAATCGTTCGATGGGGGCGCGAAACCAAAGGTCATTAAGGAGGTCAAGGCGATGCTAGGATTGAGTTTGGTGGACAGCAAAAAGTTCGTGGAGAGCGCGCCGAAGGTGATGAAGGAGGGTGTACCAAAGGAGGAGAGCGAGAAGATGATAGCGGCGTTTAAAGCGCTAGGAGCTGTCGTTGTGATGGAGTAAATAACGAGTCGCATACCTCTGGCGAGGGGACGTTGATGTACTTGTATGGGAGTGTGTTGGCATTGTACAAATATGGTTTCGAGATTCTTGAATGTGTTCAAAAGCATAGAATGAATACCTAGGGTGCTCTGCATGGTATCTCCGTCCCTGAAAGACTCCTTTTCTCCGTCCTGATGCGTCCAACCAAACGCCGACCAGTGAAAATAACCGCCCAATACGCTAGCAAGATTCCAGGTTTCATCCATATTCCACAGTTTGTCTTCGCTCAGCCGCGTCTTCTTCTGCAGCTAGGTAATCATCCTCTCCAATGTCACTCCCGTCGTCCCACATCTTCTCAAATTCAGCATCGTCATCCCCACCGACCGCCCAGATGCTCTCTCTCAATCTCTTATGGCGTTCTCTGTCTTCCTCGATACGCTGCTCAATTTGTCGCTTATCCAGCCTCACCGACCCGTTAAATCTGCTACCATGTGGCATTGACGATTTGCTGGAAGCACCATTCATCGGCCCCTCCGCCAGCGCCGGGTGGGCTGGAGTAATATCTCGTTCCTTGAGACACTCTTCGAGCTCCGCGACTGTGTCGGCCATGAGGACCTTCTTTTGCTGCAGGGCGTGGAGAACCTAGTACGGTCATGTCAGTCGCTACCATTGTAGTAGGCTCAGAATATGGTATACCTTTCGCACTACTTTCACGTTAGCAGCTCCAGACCCATCACTCGGCGCAACAGCATCGATAACGCGCAGTATATCCCTCTCTATCATCCGTGTGAACTCAGGATGGTGTTCTCGCAGGGCCAGGTCGCATAGGTGCTCGATGAAGTACATGATATTCGCCCGGTTGTTCATATTGTTCTATTACAAAAGCACTTCATTAGTAAGACTGTTCTCTCTTGGTTCCCCATAGTGAGAGACTGAGAAGAAGAATCACCAACTCTTTCAAGCTGCTCCAGGATACACGAGTGTAGATCCTCGTCCATCTCTCTGTTCTTGAGCGCATAGTTCGCTGCTTTCTGCGCTGAAGTCACGGAGGCGTTGAGGTGTTGCAGCTGGCTCGTAAAGCGCATGCGCACTTCAAACGGGTCCGCCATAGCTAGTCGAGGGGGTCTTCAAGGAGTGTGGAGAGACTGCAGAGCTCTGAAGCTTTGCTGTTTCATGAATGATTTGCCGCAGATCACCCGGCTAGTGGCTTGCTTTTGTTTTCTCCCAGATTTCTTTCCGCCGCAACTTTTCAGAGCCCCGATCATCAAACACCACGCCGCGATTCTCCTCCCAAATACCCTCGAAAGCACTCCAATCCTCGAATCCGACCATGTCTATCTCCGCCTCTGCCCCAGGTCTAACATTGACCGTCCTCGGCTGCGGTTCGTGCGGCCTCGCGCCACCTCACCTCCGCCGCCTACTCACGTCTCCTAGGCACGATGGGCATAGCTATCCTTTCTGGGATCATGTCGTCCCTCTCAAATCCTAAATCGAGCGCCTCGACCTCCACCTCTGAGCCCCTCGAACGCCTCCCCAACAAGTTCATCGCCTGCGACGCCCGCCATGAGGCTGAGAAAACCGTTCGCGACGCTCTCAGCGAGCATCCCTTCCCCCTCACCACCCTCACAAACCAGAATCTGGAAGGCGCCAAGGCCGCAGATGTGATATTGTTGTGCTGCAAGCCCCAGGGCTTCAAGGACATCCTCGGCGAGCAGGGCATGAAGGAGGCGCTAGCGGGGAAGCTCTTGATTAGTATCCTGGCAGGCGTTACGGGCCAGCAGATTGAAGAGTTCCTGTACGGCACGGGGGAGAAGCCAACAGATGCGTGCCGTATTGTGCGCGTAATGCCCAACACGGCCTCCTTCGTTCGCGAGAGCATGTCCGTCATTGCGACATCTACGCCTGCTCTGGAGCCCAAGCAGCTGGAGCTTGTTAAGTGGATTTTCAGTTCCATTGGCCGCGTTGTTCAACTTCCACCATCGTCTATGGATGTCTGCACTGCTCTTTGCGGGTCTGGTCCGGCTTTTGTTGCGATAATGCTCGAAGCGATGGCAGATGGAGCTGTTGCTATGGGTCTACCACGTGCAGAGGCGCAATTGATGGCGGCGCAGGTAATGCGTGGAACTACTGGCTTGGTGCTGAATGGCGAGCACCCTGCAGTCCTCAAAGATAAGGTCAGCACGCCGGGTGGTTGCACCATTGGAGGACTATTGGTGCTAGAGGAGGGAGCGGTGAGAGGAACTGTTGCGAGGGCTGTGAGAGAGGCAACGGTCGTTGCGAGCCAGCTCGGCCAGGGCGCTGTTAACGTCAATGGGACCAGGAGGTAGGTGAATTTCCGGAGCGCTATATACATTCGTAGCGTTCACACGCTGACGAACTTCATTTAGCCGCCTATAAAAGCCGCTTCTAACCTGGGGGACGTTTGATGAGTGATGAATACGGTTGAAGGGTTGCATAGGCTGGCGTTTCTTGGAAGCAAAATGAGGTTGTACTAGATCGAGCGACGTCTTCCGCTCCTATACCCACGGGTCGTTGATTTCAAGGACAACTTTTTGAGGAGGGCATCTCCAAGGTCGATTCCTTAGGATCAGGCATAGAGCTCCTGGAACCATCCGGGCCTCATACCTTTGTAGACTGCCTCAATTACGTATGAACTAAACGAATTAATGAGTCAAAAACAGCGGCTCAGTTGGGTGAATACGCACATATATCTGCAGATGCACGTGACGTGATTACTAATCAAAATGCTCCCAAATCTTTTTTCCTAACCGCACGGCCTGTCTCTTTTCATGCAACTTTGAAATATGCTAACTCTTTCGGATCAGTGGCTGTGTAACTAAAGTCTCTTGCATGGACGACGACAAACCGTCATCTTCTACCCATGGAACCCACATCTCCTCCCGCAGACGGACCTGTAAATCCAACTGCAGCCCTAGACCAGGTTATTTCACGACTCCAAGCAAAGGATGATACGCGCCGATTCGTTGGCCTATCCCTGCTCCGCACGCTTCTCGACAAGCATGAAAGCTTGCGCGATGATCCGGCTGTAATATCACGCTGTTGGAACGCAATTCCTACTAATTTCCTTAAGCGGCTGCTCAAGGCTCGCACAACTGAGCAGCGTAGCCAGGATATAGCGAAGAATATGGTCACTCTGGCGGTTTCGGTAATACAAGCTTTTACTACACTACTAGATGCGCCAGAGCTAGAGGATGAGAGGATGATTGTGCTGTGTGGGAGTCTGGTGGCGGCGCTGTCGGTCACTGCTGATGATACTCGGACTTTGGCTCTTCAGGCTCTTCATCGGGTAGGCGGAGGAGCTAAAGGAGCTTTAGTGATAACTCAATTTGAAGGGTTCGGTACCTTGATGAGCACGGCGTTGAAGAACGACCTCGCCATGGATGTGGTAAAAGTACTTCTTGTCACGTTGATCAAAGAACAAAAGAGTGAAGAGAACACTTCAAAGCTCAAGAAGATTGAAGAGAGTATCTTCACTACTCTGCTTGACTCTCATAAACTAGAAAAAGCACTTCCTATACTTGAGGCCATTGCGAATGTCCTCGAAGAATCAGACGTAAGCTATAGAATTTGCAGCAACCACTCAATACGAGGTCTTTTATCAGTCTCCTCTCACATTGATACATCCACCCACAACACGACCTACATTATTTCGATTTCTTTATATATTTCTGATTTACTACATCATTCTACAACCCAAGCTTCTTCTCAAGTTGCTAATCACTTACACATAGTACCATCGCATCCCAAACTGGCTCCCAGCCCTCACGGCTACTTTCCACAATGCATTCCGCGCCCAACCCAGCAACAAGCTCTGCAGAGCTTGCACACGCCTAATCCGGCGCTTCACCAGCCTAAGCCCCTCCTACGACTTCTTCTTCACCACAAAACCTCCAACCTCCGACGGCCACTCCTCAACCCCCAGCCAATCCTACCCCTTCTCCTACCTCTTCACCACCTTCCTCCTCGTCGACATCCGCTCCACCATCCCCTCCTTACTCGAAATCCTCGGCACCCCAACCTACCCCCCAACCGCCCTCCGTCTCTCCGCCAGCTACGACGTCCTCGGCGCCTTTATCGGCACCCTCGTCGCACTCTGGGACTCTGACGAAGACTCCGCCGCAGACTCCGCCGCATACAACGCCGCATACAACGCTGGCAAGAACCACATCCTCGACATCCCCCCAACCCAGCTCCTCGCCCTCCGCAAAGCCCTCGCCGAAACCACCTCCCTGACCCTCGAGTACCTGCGCGACCGCTTCGACGCCGCCATCGCGGGCACCTCGGGCCTGCACAGCTCCGCAATCGCCGGCGCCTCCGACGTGCAGAAGACGCTGACGTGGGAGAGCCCGACCATCGCGCTGGCGAACGACCCGGTCGTGTTGGCCGGCTCGCGGGTGCTGGCGCTGTGGTTGCGGGAGGATGAGAACGCGCAGCTGCGGACGGAGGCGGCGGGGTGCATGGATGTGTTTCTGCATCTGTATTCTGGGAGTGGCAGTACAGACGCTGGTGTGACAGGGGAGAGGGAAGTGCGGACGGAGTTCAGGACGCATGTGCTGCTGGCATTGGAGGGGATTGTGACGGTGTCGGCGGGCGTGGAGGCGTTGCTGGAGCAGGATGGGTGGAGGATTCTTGTGGGGGATCTGCAGGCGTGCATGAGTGCGAATGCGGGTGCAATGGATGCGGGTGGATATCCCTACCGCGTTTTAAGCATTATCCGCGTGCTGCTTACGGTGGTGGAGTCTGAGGAGGTGGCGCAGACGAAGGAAAGCTGGCTTGGGTTCGTCTCGTTCCTCGCTGCACTTCCGGCGGCCGTACCTGCTGTTTCGAGGACGACTTTGCCGCGGGAAATGGGGGTGTTGGATCCGCTGGAGGTATGGACGGCGGCGGGGCAGTTGGCTGTAGCACTGGTGTTAAAAGCGCCAAGGGCAGTGCAGAGGAAGTTCAAGGGGGATTGCGATAGGATCTGCGCAACAGCTGCTAAGCTGTTGAAGAAAGGAACGGCTACATTGGATGAAGGGACTTTAGAGGGCCTGGAAGAAGTGATTGATGGGTTTGGTGAGATGAAAGTTTAGACGTTACTTTCTGCACTGAAGCCCTCCTCCTCCTCTCTCTGTCTAATTACATTATCTCTTCTCATGTTCTCATTCATAGACCTCCATGATCTCTCGGCTGTATCTATCGCCGAGTAAAAAGTAGATGGCACGCAGTGGTGCCAGCGGACAGACCCTACGACCAAATATACGTTTCCGAACCCAAATCTAGATCTCTCATCCATCGTTGAATCCCCACTCCCCACGTCGCCCTACCACGGATGCAACTACACTACATCAGCTCTCATCCCCTCAAGACATACAGGACTCACTCACCTTATCCTCATACGTCCAAAACGTCCCGCTATGCTGCATGCCCTTGCTCTGGATTACATCGATCATCTTGCGTACGGATTCCTCGGGCGTGATGATGCCTTCAACCTGCCACGAGACGTTGATGTTGGCCATATCCCTGATTTAGGTTAATAGTGTACCGTAGCAGTTACTATGGGGTGTCTTACGTAGCAACTTCCCCGGGATGCATGGCGAGGAGGATGGTGTCGTCGTCTTTGCGCTTTAGTTCTGCGGCCATGTGCTAGGGTGGGTGTTAATGGGAGGGGGAAAGGAGAAAGGGGGAGGGGACGTACGCGTAGGGCCATGTTCAGCGCTGCTTTTGAGGCGGCGTAGGCTGCAAATCCGTCTTCAATCTCGCGGAAGTTGATGGCGGATCCGGAGTCACTAGACATGAAAACGATGGTACCGATTGGGATATTTGTTTGAAGTAGCTTTTGTGCTGTTATGATAGGTCCGATGGTGTTTGTGTGTAGGTGGAAGGCGAATTCTTCAAAAGAGCTAGATTTTGACCGATACATTAGTTCATGCTTCACGAAATCGAAGGCTCTTTTCCAGCTCTTCCATAAGTGAGAGGTCCTGAGACTGATCAAAAGAGATATGAAATATGAGATTTGAGAGACGCACAATTCAGTAGCACGCTAGTAGAGTTAGCAGATGTTCATCCCGAAGTTTCTCACATGCAGTGACTGGGCTCACATTTGGATATCTCAGAACTCCAGCATTGATTACAACATAGTCTATCTTGAGATTGGGTATTGTAGTAAGTTGACTCACGAAATTCTAACACAAGTCAACTTAAGGCCAACTATTCATACCAAAGAGTCTCATACCACAATGCTTTGCTCGCTCAGCACATCACATACATACATCTGACACCGACCATGGTCGCTTCCGGCTTGACCCCATAGACCAGAGGCGTGGCCAGCCCAGGGCTCCCGCACAGTCGCAATGATGCGTTCGTCTCTGGCTAGAAGTTGCCGCACAAACTCCAGTCCAATACCACGGCTGGCTCCGACTATCAACCACGTGGTGAAGTCCTGATCAGCGAACAGGACATCCGGGATTTGGTTCATGGCTGCAAGGCTGGCGCTGCCGAGCTAATGACGCAGCCACGATGGTGCTGGCACACTGGCACACTGGTATCCTGCGCTGGGGGGAGAATTCCGCTACCCAGACACACAGGAATGAGTCTGCAGTTGCGTCAGTTCTATCGGGCTGGCTGATGTGGGTCCCCGGTTGTGACGGTGCACGATCGCAAGATGGTGAAGTGGGAACGAGAGCTTGGAGCTGGCACGCAGTCCTGGAATCAGATCAATCAAGGGTGGAGAACGGACGGCTGCAGAGACGGCTGGTGTCTGGGCGGACAGTGCATGATTACTGGGCTACTGGAGACTGTCATCAGATAGAATGCCGATAGCAATGCCAACAGCAATACCGCAGAGCGAGTACATGCGATGATGGTTCCCGGTTCCGTCTGGTGCGGATTCGGCCAAGTCGTCTCTGACCGGCAGTTGAAGCCGAGATACGGCACGTGACGCCAGTCGGAGAAGGCCGGGAGGAAACTGGCGTGGGTTACCATCACAGCGCCTGCTATTGGCCGGCCCAGCCACAAGGCGAGTGGCTGACCAGGAGAGCGTCGATGCGCTCCCGGTGACGCTTTTTCTTTTCTGCTGGCCTGCCCGTTCTTCTCTCCCTCTCTCTTCACACCCACTCGCCATCGTCCCATCCACCACGTATCCTTACATACCATCCCATCGACGCTCCACCACTCTCCAACACACACCTCTCTCACTTCACAATGTCTGGTTTCGAAGCTGGTACGTTGCCTGAAGTCCTCGCGTCATCCATCAAAGAGCTCGCCACGGGTCCTTTGGCCTTCATCAAGCAATTCAACATCGTCAGATCTACTGCTCCACTGTAGCCACCATCGCGCGACGCATGTTGGCTCCTCTGTACTTATCGGGAGCTGCTTGTCACGGTGCAATGGCTCTGCGATAGCCTGCCGATCTGACGATGTTGTTCCGCGGCCCCCGAGCTCTGCCTTACTCATGAGGCCATAACATCTGCGAATTTTGCTAACAGGTCTCTCAGGCGATGCTAAGAAGGGTGCCAACCTCTTCAAGGTGTGTTTTCTAGACGCGGCATTTTACGCGCCGCGGGCCTCCGGGTGTGCGGATACGAGCTCGAGTTTTATCTAACATCCCCCAGACAAGATGCGCTCAGTGCCACACCCTAAAAGAGGGTGAGGGCAACAAGATTGGCCCTAACCTACACGGTCTCTTTGGTCGCAAGACTGGCCAGGTGGAGGGTTTCTCGTACACGGACGCGAACAAGCAGAAGGGCATCACATGGGACAACGACACTCTGGTATGTGAATCTCCAGACCCACCGTCTGAATCGATACTTGCGAGTCGATAGAGCTAATTTTTCCCCAGTTCTCCTACCTCGAGAACCCAAAGAAGTACATCCCCGGCACGAAGATGGCCTTCGGCGGTCTTAAGAAGCCAAAGGACCGCAACGACCTGATCACCTTCCTCTCGGAGGAGACCAAGTAAATATCAACACCATCAAAACACTCTTCAAAAACACCATCAACCACCCAACAATCTTCTCATACTCGCCATCAACCTTTCTCTCCCATCCGGACAATGTAACACCAGGCATGCTTCGATAGACTTCTATAATCGGCTGTTCTTCGAAAGGTTCTCTGCGTGCTTCTTCGAGTGTACAAATACTTTTTGTGTAGCATCAACGGCGGGTTTTCGTAGACTTGTGGCGGCGTCGACATCAACTAGGGGCAAGCAGCAGAATTCCGAAATACCATCATCTCCTCTTTGGACATTTTCCTTCCTTTCGTGACCTAGATTCGTGATTCTTCCGAACTTTTGCTATTGCCAACAGTACTAATCTCTTTTCAATCAGATCGTTCTACACGCGGTCCAGTCTTCAGGTCCTTCGCTATGTCTAAAGCAGCAGGTGAAGCTGCTTTGTTTTGTTTGGGCCTCTTATCACATGTATGATTATGTCTTGGCAGTATCCCGAAGCCTGATCCCAGGAACTAAACCAGCTACTTACCCCGACCACCGTTCATCGACACTGAAATACACCTAATAGCTACAGCTTGTACGCTTCTCAGCAAGGGGCAAGATCACCTTCCAAATTCGGACTGTGGCGTTAATGACGTCCTCGCCTTTCCTAGCGGCCACCTCGTTCCACATGGCCCGAATCCAACCTCCTACTTCTTTCAAAGTGGTACTACCTAGTCCAACAGTAAGTCTTGTCTACACTCAATCACACATATAGCCCGAGCAGCCTCCCCGGGGTGTCGCCTGCATAACTTCCATTTAGTCGAATCGAAAACTCTTCTAACGAAAGCGTGTATCTTCCAAACTCGCAGCACTCCCAAGGCGTTGCTGGTCTTAGATCCACGACAGTGGTTTCAGCGCTCTTAGGCACAGGGCAAAATGGGGTTACGTCTAGGGTCGGTTTTGTGACAACTTGAACCGTTGTCTCGACGCTTTCGTCACAATATTCCACAATAGTGTCAATATTTTTTATAATTGGTTGCCCCAGTACGTGGACTCTTATGTACAATATCTTCTCAGAAAAAGTTGTAACATTTGAAAAAAGTTGTGCCCGTTAAGTGCACGTTCTCCTGAATAAATTATATAGTAACGTCTACGCTTTCGTAAGTATTTGCGCCGACAAGGGGGAGCTTTTTTGTTCCTTGTTTTCCCGGAAGCGTAGTTGCTTTTAGCAGAAGTTATACCGTTTGTGTGGATGCTCTTGTTAACATAACCTATAGTAGTGTCCACGCTCTCGAAAGCACTTGCGCCGACGACATGTACAGTGGAGGGTGAGGTCAAAGTTAAGGAGGATGTATCGACTAGACGCAGAGCTATATCGGGTTGAGTCGGCGCCCAGGTACTGGAATGGCTTCAATTCCCTTTCATATTTTCAATTTTCCCCTAACACTCTCGTCCAATCTAAGAGCCACGTCAATAACATGCCCAAATCAAGTGGAAAACGCGCGGACTGGCTCCCGTTCATACGTCTCAACAGTGCGATATTTACCTTAATTCCAGGGTCTGATTTAGAGCGCGACGGATTCTGAATCTTAAACTCGGCTTAAAATCATGCCATTGTGCGAACGAATTTGGCTGAAGCTTAAGATACCGGACTGGCTCCCGTTTATACTTCTTAATAGTGCGAGATTTACTCTAAGTCTACGTTCTAATTTAAAGGGTCGCGCGATTGACGTTGCTGAAGTGGCTAAAATGGAGGCTGATTCCAGACTTCTCTAGAAACGGTACTTTACAGCGGACTAGCTCCCGTTTATGCTTTTTAATAGTATGAGCTTTGCTCTATGTCCAGAGTCTGATATAAGGTGTCGCTCAATTAACTTCCACGAGGGGGTGGAAATAGGTCTCGATGTCAGAATCTACTGGAAACGGTGCTCGATAGCGGACTGGCTTCCGTTCATACTTTCCACTGTCTGGTCTGATCTGCGGCCGTTCTCCAATAACATGCCAAAACCGGCCTAAAATTGCACGGAATGGCTCCCCTTCATATATCTTAACAGCGCCAGATCTACCCTACTTCTAGGATCTGATTTGAAGTGTTACTCCAACAATATGTCAAAATGGAGTCCAAATCGCACGGACTAGCTCCCGTTTATACATCTCAATAGTGCGAGATTTGTCCTATTTCTAGGACCTGAATTAAAGTGTCGCGCAACTAACATCGCCAAAAGGGCTGAAATAAAGGCCGATGTCGACCTTTCTAGAAACAGTGCTTAACAGCGGACTGGCTCCCGTTTATACCTGTTGATGCGAGGTTTGATCTAAGGTGTCCTCCAATAACATGCCGAAATCAAGTCGAAATCGCATGGACTGGCTCCCGTTTATACATCTCAACAGTGCGAGATTTGTCCTATTTCTCGGGCCTGATTTGAAGTGTTGCTCCAACAATATGGCAAAATGGAGTCCAAATCACACGGACTGGCTCCCGTTTATCTTCTCAACAGTGCGAGATTCACCCTATTTCCAGGATCCTGATTTGAAGGGTCGCGCAGTTAGAACCTCAAGAGAAGGTGAAATTGAGCCTCAGGAGGAAGAAAAAGAATAGAGCTGCAAGACTTCGAGCACAAGTCCTACATGTTCGCCCATTTGAAGGCCCCCGGTGTCCTGTACGGGCGTGGACATAACGGCATAGGCTGCTGCTGCGCTGGAGCCTCGAATATGATTCCACGTACAACTAACATCGACCCTCTCTCGGTCGTCTTTACGCTTCTTCACCGCATAGCAATCTCGATTCATGCCTCTTCCGCCAATATAACGCCCCTCACACCCCTCCCCTCTCAAACAAACAAAACTCAAACGGCACACCCCCCTCCTCCCTCCCCTCCCCCACACTCTCCCCCACCCACTCCTCCAACTCCCCCCTACTCCTCCTCACCCACCCCCTCCCCCTCGCCCCCTCGCCCTCCAAATCCACCCCAAAAAACGCATCGCACTCAAACTCCCGCCCCACCTTCGTCAACAGCACCCTCCGCGCCCCCTCCATCGCCAACGCCTGGTTGTACAAACTCGCGCCGCCGATCACGAACACCCGGCCCACCCTCACTTCTCCCCCATCTCCGTCATCGTCTTTGATCGCGCCGCTTTGTAATTGTCGCACCGCCTCCCCCAACCCCCCAACCACAAGCACCCTCTCCTTCCCCCGCGCCTCCTCCAACCCCGCCACCACCCCCGCCCGGCTCACAACCACGTTGATGCGCCCCGCCAGCGGGCGGAACCGCGGCGGGATCGAGTCCCACGTCTTGCGGCCCATGATGACGGCGTTTTGGGTCCTTCTCGGCGAAGAAGAAGCGGCAGCGGAGGTGGAGGTGGAGGTGGAGGTGGAGGTGGATGCGGGTGGGAGCACGCGTTTCGTGACTCGGGCGAAGAAGGCCATGTCGCCCTTCAGGCTCGTCCAGGGGAGGGCGCCGGCGCGGCCGATGCCGAGGGACGGGGTGGCGGCGAGGATGAGGGTGAGGGCAAGGGGGCCGGGGGAGCGGGACATTGTGGGTTGGGTAGATTGAGGATCGGGAGAGGGGTCGGATGGCGAGGTGGGTTGGGGGTCGGCGGCGGTGGAGGGTGATTGTTGCGATTGCGGGGCGGATGAGGGATCGGTTTGCGAGTTTGTTGTTGTTGTTGTCATGGTGGTTGTTCGGGCGGAAGCGGTGGTGTTTAAGGTTCGGTTCGGTTGAGGTTAATGTAGATCGCGGGGAGAGAGCCAACGCGTGGAAACGTGACCTATGAGCACAGACATATAAAAATTCACAAATGCAGATTCATACGGCGTGGATCAAGTTTCGAGTTCATGATCTCGTTGATTCTACTACCGTCACTCGCTTGACGAATCCAAGAAGCACAAATATACGGCATCGAATCAAACTGAACCGAAACCCAGCTTTTATAGAGAGAGCAGCATAACACCACCCAGTTCGCCGCCAAATGGTCAGCCAGCCAGATAAGCCAGCCAGCCTCAACATCCACAACCCCATTCTCCGCCCCTCCTAAGAGGGTGTCTATAATACAATCCTCGCCGCACTAAACACCGACGGCAGAAGGCGCCAAAAACTGGCCCAAGAAACACATATAGCTTGCTGCCACGCTGGCAATTCGACAACCAAAAAAAGAAGCTCCCGACTCTGTCCCCAGATGTTCCCGTTGCCCAATGAGTCGATCCACTCGTTCATGCAAAAACGCCTTGTCCCCGCATGCCGCTTCCCGTTACACACTTTACGCCGCATTTCGTACACTTCATCTCAGCTTTCAAGGTAGGGGGTATCTCTCGCGCTGAAACCATTGACCGTTTGCTATGCTCATTCGTTGTCACCGCCAGCGTTGTCGCCACCGCCGCTCTTCACACCGATGGCAATGGAGATTTTCTTGGGCCCGCCGTCTTTGCCGGAGTTGATGGACTTCTTCCTTCGTAGCATGTGGCCGTGCGTTGGTCCGGTGCTTGTTGCGCTCGAGTTGCTGCTGATTGATGAGCGGCGCTTGGAGCTATTTGTTGTGAGCTTGGCAAGCTCGTCCTCTTCGTCTTCTTCTCGGCGACGCTTTTCTGATAATCTTTCTGGTGGACTGACGACGGGTGAAGAAGGTTGAGGTGTCTCGTCCCTGGCTGCTGGACCCTTTGTAGGTCCCTCCGGCTCAGCAGCTTGCATGGATGCAGACTTCTTGACCGGGGATGGAGACACGCTAGTAGTGAGGATATCCATATCGTCATCGGCGTCATCGTCGGGATAGTTGACTAACGGTCGGATGGGGGATGCCCCGTGGACAGGTGATGCGCCGTTTGTGACTGGCTTGACTGCGGCGGAAAGCACGTCCTCCTCATCCTCGTTGTCCGAGCCATTGAAGTAGTTCTCCTCATCCTGGTCTGGTTCCTTTAGGCCGTTCCAACGTCCACCATTGACAGCACCGTTTCTGATTGGCGTGTCACCTTCCTGGGTAGTGAAAGAATGATCAAGTTCCTGTGTAGTCGGTGGCTCGTGCAGCTGATCATAGCGGAGAATCAGACTTTGGAAAGTGTCGACATATGTAATCGCCTGTAACTTCTCTCGATAAGTTTCGACAAGATGGACAATCAGAGTCTTCAGGTTTTCACGCTTTATGAACTCGAAAAGTTCGAGGCAAGCGGAGTTCAGGAGGTTGTCACGCGGCATAGTTTCGAATAAGATGTTCAGGATAGGATCGAAGAGATTGTGCTGAACGACCTGCCGGTTGTGGAAGTCGTCGTGAAGGCCGATGCAAGTTCGAAAGTATTTGAGCGCCGCTGGTAAAAGTTAGCCATCGTTCACATAGATGGTGTACATCAGAGACTCCATACTAAGCTTGAGATGCTTCTCAGGACATGACATAAGCTGGCCCACTCGACTTGCAAGCCCCTCAGTAAGAAGAAAGTATTTGCTTCGGTAGGCATGCTGGCGGATGAAGAAGCATAATATCTCTACGAGGTGTGAATATAGAGACACCTCCTGAATAGTGAGATCGTCCACTGCAAAGGTTGTTAAATATGGGCTAAGAATATTAAGGTACTAGAAACTCACTAGATTTCCTACCCTCCAAATTCTTCAGGGGCTGGAAGAGCTTTTTAGCAGATTCGTCGTAGAACGATTGGATGAAACCCTCCGTTTGAGGTGCTTGCGGCGCCAGGGAACCTCGAACTTTAGCCAAAAAGTCGCTGTTGGTACGCCCAATTGCTTCTAGAGAAGCCGAGTTCGCGTTAGGGTCGAGTAGAATCTTGATCGCATCTGCCATCTGCGCCTTTACTCCGAGATCCACTTCTACCAAAAGAAGCTCAATCAGGGTATCCGTGAGAGGCTTCGCTTTCTCGTTGATGGCCTTGAAGATGTAACCTCGTACCATCAAAGCATCGTGGTCGATGAGAGCTACTAATATGTCTGTTCCGGCGACTCGTACCGAAGCATCCCGATGCTTCAATGAGAATTGAATTACGTCCAAAAGGCCGTTGCTGATGAAGTTCTGGAAGAGAGTCGCTCGTGCATTTGCCTGCAGGCTCTTTGCAACCGCGCAGCACTGTTGTATGAACAGGACACCGTCCTTTTTCCGTTGGTAATTTGGTTCGTCCGCGCCGAAAATGCCGAATAACTCCTTCAAGAATGCGCCGTTTGCCTGGAGATGCTGAACAATATCTACTTGGTGAAAGAATATGAGGGAGTTGAGGACTGAAAAGGTGGGGTCGTCGAGAATGCGAGCAAGGACCACGTCCTTTAGGTACTGGAGCCGGTATGTGTAGTGTATCTTCTTTTTGACGTCCAGATCTTCGATCTTCACCACTTCCTTAAATTTGGATTCGTCCGAGAGATATTGCCTGTGGTTCGCTTTGTGACATGGAAAGTCCGGATCATCTACAGGCGTTAGTCGCATTCGATGTAAGCTACTAGTATGTAAGGCTTACACTCCAATGCACCCACGACGCCCAATATAACGTCGTCGGTGACAACGAACTCAATGATCTGAGTATCGTTGAGAAGTATTAGCAGCTTCATGATATTGCACAGCTTGTGCAGGTCTGGAAGGCTCTCAAGGTCCTCCGCAATTTCCACCAAAGGTATGAGCTTCTGAATGTAGCCGGTGCCAATCACGAACTTGCCCAAGGCATCGCGGCCGGCCGGAGTGTTGTTGGCCATGCGCATGTGGTTTTCCGACTCTTGTAAATTGCCTAGTTCCGGATTTGGTAGCATGATGGAGTTTACGTTATCCATCACATCGTCTGAGAGACCGTCATCTGCACCAATTAGTCGACAATCCCGAGAATATGATAACTCCAAATTGCGCTAACTAACCTGGACCTGCGAGTTGTTGTAACCGGTGCTGAATCTCGCTGACGAATTCCCTGTGATGTTATCAGCCTCTCAACCCTAACCCTGCGTCTTGTCGCACAACGTACCATATCGCCGCACAACCCTCCGCTTCTTGGAAGCTCAGCGCCATATCCGTCCCATTTTGTTCCGTCCAGACTATCAACGTGTCTATTGGCCGAATTAGCTGGTATTGCTGTCATCCGGAGCATCGCATAGTACCTTGCTGTTTCTGGTATCCATCGTCCTTCGATATCTTGGTCTCGAGGAGTTGGCGGTTGGCGTCGTCCTCGGAGGCAACTAGTATTCGTGCCTCATCCTGCATGAGACAAAAAGTCAGCACAACTGCGCATCGTGTTGTTGGGGCCGCGAGGGGCTTTCGGCGCGAAAAGGGTCACGCTTTGGTCGGGGAGACAAGCGCGCGTGTGGCACTCACGTTTTGGACGATGCCTTTACAGAAGCCGGTGCCGCGATCAAACCAGTCGTTGTTCTTGAGCTCGTAGACCTTGACGCGCTTGCGATCGTTGGACGGCGGCGCGGCCAGTGCCATAGTGTGTTCCCGCCTCTGTTTCCTCTCCGGCCTGGGCAAGGAGACCCTCCGGAGCAGGAACAGCGAGCGCTGCGGTCGGCCCCGAGTCGTTGAGCAATGTAGGCTAGGCGCGACAGAGGAGTGTAGGTATCGGGAGCCGGGGAGGAGGGCGCACGGCGATGACGAGAGGGAGAGGCTGGGCGAGTGCGACCTGCTGCACGGCGCAACTCTAGCGACGCCAGGCTGCAGTGCGACGCGCGAGTTCAGCGGGCAGGGAGCGTCGAGGGGAGGAGGGCGGTGGTGATGGATCGACGTTGGGTGGTCGGGATGGGCGCGTCGTGTTTTGCGTTGGAGCCGGTGCCGCGAGCGTGGCCTTTTCCGCCCGAGCGACCTTCCACCCTACTTGTAGGGGCGGCTACACTAGAAATGAGGCAATCGATAAGCGTTGCCGTAGGCTGGGCCGGGGTAGCAGGAAGCGAGCCACAAAGACGGCGCACAGCAGGGCAGTGAGAGACGGAGGGCGGGCGCGCAGTGAGGTGTTGTCGAGAAGTGACGATGTGCGAGGCTTGCTGGGGCGCGGCGCATGGATGGGGTCGACTGCAGTGGTGTTGAGGAAAACCAGGTGCCAGCCCAGGCTTGCCAAAATGATGACATCGGAGCCGCCGTTGTTGCGCTCCGCCAACTATAAATACGAGCCCTGCATATCGCGACTTGGGGTGCCGAAACAGCGACAACAGTGCGATTTGCACCTCCCACAACCGGGGACGAAAGCGTGAGAAGTAGCAGAAAACGTAGCAAATAGAGAAATGGCGCCCAAAGCATGCTTCCTTCAGCACCGCGCGTGCGCCCTCTCCCTAGCCACAGGTCGGTTTCTTCCAGGCCACGGCTGTCGCACGAGAACCCAGATAGCGCATAGCCGTGCCATTTCGACACCTTCTGGAATGCCCAAAGAATGCAGAACTTGGGCGCAAAGGGTTCAGCGCTCGGCCAGATTGATGTGCCACGGCACGGGGTAGAATACGACAAGTATTGACAGTTGCAACCACGCTTCGTAGCCACCAGCCATCACTTAGCACGCTTCGTCCTCCACTTCATCCAGTCGCGACTGGTGTCTTCCAGCTGGGTCCGTTTTGGCTCAAGACTAGGCACTTTGCCACGCCGCATCCCGACCTGTCAATCTGCTGCCAGGAATGCTGACGAGCTGTAGAACCAGTCCGCTCCCCCCGAAGTCACCACGCTGCCGGGACTTTATCAACCGCTGGCGGGGCCCGTTGCGCCGTCGGGAGCACACACCGAGCTAACATGCCGTCATTCGTCACGGTATAGTCCCAACGTTGCTGACCACAACAACCTTACATTCAAGACACTGAGCGTCTCAAATAGTGGCCAGCGAGGCTCCTCAACAGACACCTTTCTCCAGTCTCATGCGAAAGATGCGTTCCAAATAGTGCGTTTGCTCAGCTCAGCCATTCCGAGCACGGGATGCTACAAAGGGTGCGGCCGAGTGCATATTCACGACCCCACCAGCTACGCGAGGCGAGGAACATCAAAACGACCGCAAACGAGTCACTTCTCAGTTCTCTATCTCGGCCATACGACAAGTTATTAAGTCGCGGAGAAGAGGAATAGTTGTGTTGTGGTGTAAATGTTACAATTCCGAAAAAAGGAAATTTATTGTGCTGTTGGTGTTGATGCACGGCTGTGTTCTGGTTTTTGGTGGACGGCTTATGTAAGGTGAATATGCACTCGGCCGCACCCTTTGTATTATTGAGTAGTCGTGTACAACGCACCTTTATCAATGCGATTGCAGTGACCTCGCTACTGTCGAGCTGCCTCCTCGCAGCGACAGGGCATTCATGGCCATGTGCGGCGTGAAGCTTAGCGATGCGTCACCGGAAATCAGCTGCCCATCATACACATCGGAGAGTCTGGGCGCGTGCTCCCAATATTCTGTATCATGGAGCGATAGGTGATTATAGCTTCGAGTGACAGGGACTGCCCCCTTCGGTTCGCCCAACTCCAAATCAGCATGATCTCTGGATGTACAAGAGCATGCGGCGCCTCTCACAACGGCTTCGCCCTCAGCCCCTTCGCCCGGTTGGTCCTTTGGGGCAGACTGCCTGAGCCTCCTTGAGATATCCGTCGCATCGTGGTCGCCACTGTTCCTCACGCCCACGAGGGCTGGTAGATTGGTATTGATGGCGTCTCAACGCAATCAATCCGCACTCAATCCTCAAAGTGGTACCCCAAGAGGCGGATTATATAGGCGTTCGAGTTTGCTTAAAACTACGTATCTTTCCCGTCTTCATTATCTTCGCAGGCCGCTATAACACTATAGAATGATATTTTCGGAACCCGCGGTGCTTCCAGGGTGCATATGTGGTCCGCTATGCTTAACGATTTGTCAAACTCATCTCCTTCTCTTAGTTACTTGAGACAATAAAACCCCTGCTTTCCTTCTGCTTGCATCTGCATCTCAAAATTACCCTGCATCTACAGCAGGCCCTCGTTCAGTCTTGCCTACTTCAGAACTTCTTTCTAGCATCAAGCTCGATCTCGGCGACCAGAAAATAAAGTAAGGTACTGTGTTTATCGCCAACCACGAACAGTAGACCCTGTTGCCTGAGTATCTCTACACTCCCTTCCAGCTCTACCACGCAACGTCTTGTCCGGCCTTGCATTCACGGTGCATCCCTGATATCGGCCCGCACCTCCTTTCGCCATATCAGATACGCAACCAAAGACCGTCATGCCCATCTTCTCCAAGGTGAAGAACGCCAAAAAAGCCGCCGACCAACACAAACGAGCGTCTAAGACACAAGCAGAGACGAAGTCAACCCCAGCACCTTACAGACATGTACCAACACATGCCGCACAAGACTCACTCTCCTGTGCTCCCCATCGCTGGAGCGCTCAAGAGACACGCCAGAAGATAGCTGCAGCTCATCAGCAAAAGAGATTCAACATGAGCAATAAGGCTGTTAGCTACTCACGCGGTAATCTGACTCATCGCCGTCGTCTTCGACTACTAAAATGCGTCGAATGGAGAGCGACCTTTCGATAGACTCGGTTATTGCTTCAAAGGGGCACAAGATCTATCAACCGCGGTCACCGTACCATTACAATGGGCCTGCGCCTCCAGTCATGAATAGCCACGTTGGCCGTCTTGCGAACGCTACTCCTATTATGCCGGCCCTGGTGCCACGAAGTCCGCTTTCGAGCACTTTCACGGAAGTGGAAGAAGGTAGGCCAAGATGTTCAGATCTTCCAGAACCACATGTTGACGAGCTCATCAGATTCGAAGTATACAGAAAGCTCTAAGAACTCCACTTGCTCTACAGCTTCATCTCGTGAGCGATTTCGCCATATATCTCTTTACTACCATCAATCATATTTACAGAAACACTACAAATGCCGCCTCCGATCTGCGCAACCACTAAAGGACTACCGCAACAAACCCATGCAATGGACTTCAACCAGAAGCCACCACAATCCACGAATTTTTCTCGCAAAAGTCATATCGTCAACGAACTAGTCTTGCCTCCTCCTAAGAGGGACGTTGCTCGCCAGACTACACCTCCTCTTCCAGCGACCTCCACCAAAGTGCCCAAGAGACGCAACTGGTTCAGGAAACGTCAGCAAATTGTGGCCAAGTGACTCTCGCTGATAAATGCTGCCGATACGAGACGCTCTTCTAAGAAGCTAGTCTCAACAATAAACATCTTTCGATATATGCGATAGACTGTTAATTCTCTTTTCAGTCGGCGTTCATCGGCACTGCATATCTTTTCATACGAGCAATACCGAGAAGCAGACCTTAGTGTTCCTACTATTCTATTTAGACCCAAGTAGCTGTCGCAAATATATTTATGGATGAAAGGATCAAATATCCCACGTCGTCATTCAATGCCCCTCGTCGTAGAGACACTATTCCTCGACACAACTCGGAACGATAGACTACGAAGCCATCAATGACAGGAGTTTCGCCAAATCAGCAATCAATGCACGCCATTCGTCCATGTACACCTCAAAAGTGAAGCCCTAAAGAGAGAACCTAATCACGTGACAGCCCTCACAAGCGGAATCACCCGCACCGGCCCCCCACTACTCTCCACCTCCAAGCTCCACCAAGCTCAACACAGTCTCTACCTCTCCCTCTCTATCTGTCCCACTCTTACTCCAACTCGAATCCCAAGAAACCTCAATCTCAACCCTCTCCTCTCACGAACCCAATTCCAAATCACAAAATCCCCACAATGGACTCCAACCTCCGCAACACGGCCGCCATGAAAGGTTCCCTCCCC